AGAAAGATATCCCCAATGAAATCACATTTCACATATCATCGAATAGAATGTCAGCCATTGGGATTACACATTTTGAGTCAAAACGAAAGTTGTAGTTCAGGAATTCAGCTTTCTAATGCACCCAAAATCGAGTGTTTTGAGCCAGAATTGACAAAGTTATGGGGTTTTATAGTAATCAAAACTTTCTCTCAGCACTGATCAGCCAAATTCCAGCATCTGTTACAGGTGGTAATCTGGTGATTATGAGGGTTTATTGTTAGTACACTCACCAATATGAACCCCAAAAATACGGAAAAATATGCAGATTGGAGATCTCATACCAAGGAACAGGATGCATATTTTTTCACATTTTTTGCTCTGTTTCTGACCTTTCACCGTGTCCACAGAAAATGCGCCCGACGTTGGGAGCGTACCAAATTCAGAGCTTCTACGAAACTTGTACCCCGCTTGTCAATTCCACTGAGCAGATGAACAGACTTGATTGTGCTGCAAACTGCCACAAACTTAGCTGCTGCGCACAGCCCAGGGCAGCCACATCACTGAACTGAGTAGTTAAGGACTCAAACTGATGGGACATCCAAGCTTGAGCGAGCCAGTCAAATACATGCACATAGTCTATGCTGCATAGTGAACCGATACCATTGTTTGGTATTGTATAATGAAATCGTAGATTTTTCCAAAGATCTTTACAAACGATGTTGTTTGGCAAAAGAAGAAACTGAAGTATCAATCAGATCTGAGCACAAAAAAATCAAATGATAGAAAAAATATTTTGATTGACATGCTTTCTGATAGGTCCTCACACAAGACATAGTCACAATACGGAGAGAAGACAAGATTTTCGTGCAACAAGGACAAACATGAAAGTTTTGTGAAAATAAGCAACTCAATCATTCTTGTGCTTTACCACTACAAGTTCAATCACATTCGACGCTTCTTAGAGTTGGAACCTTCGGCTTCTCTATTATCAATCTGCTGTCGTTTGTTGTATTTAGTTAAACGAGTATCAATTCCAGGCAACAGATATTGTGGATTGATGGTATCAACCATAGGTGATACCGAGCGTGAGCCAAACCGAGATAGCAAGGCCGCGAGGAATGAGGTAACTTCAGTGGATCACCTCGCAAAATAGATCTGAATAAGATGTCACTCACATGGGCCAGGTGTACTTGGGTTCATCCCGTGATCAACCACCGCAGGTAACGCTAAGGGAAAAGTATCAATCTCAGTGGGTTAACTCGCTGAATGAATTTTGAGGAGGTGAACTCACATGTGACGGGTGTGGTTTGGCCTAGGGTAGGAGTTGTTTGACTGATCTCGGTGTCCAACACAGACCAAAAACTATCGGTGGCTGAAGTTGGTTGTGCAGAAGTTGGTTGTGCAAATGCGTTTTGGTTCTCAAGTTCGTTTCTCTCCTCGCCAATTGGAGCTAAAGTTAGACGGACTTCAGCAATCACTAACACAAAAAAGTTTGAAAATACACAATAACTTACGGGCAGTAGTCGCGCTTTGGGTTACAGGTTTTGACTCGTTGTGTGGTGGCGAATTGGGGGTGACAGGGACAGGGACCGGTTCGGCACAAATGGTGATATCCTTGGCTGGTGCCACATCATGATCCTTAAGTTGACCAAGGTCAATATGTATAGTAAATTTGATAATCATGGACGCGTATGATATGGTTGAAAGTTATTATCGAGCTCGCTAATAATAAGATGATCAATGGAGAGGATTTTTGAGGAGATGTGTGACTGAGTGACGGATTTTGAGTTGTTATCACTCACTACTTATACTAAAAGGGTCCAGACAGAGAAAAAAAGTGTTTCATAGGCAAGGGGTATGGTCATGTCTTCTACCACCCGTCTTCGAAGCAAAGCGTGAGATGTAAGACAAGCCCAGCATACCCTTCACCCAGGCGGTTAGCGTAGATAATGAGCCTAGTCTTCTAGAAACTGTGTCTCTCCCTTTCTATCATATATAGATCTACTTGACATTCACAAAGCTTGTTCTTGGCGAACTCTCTCAATTTGTTCTTCTTTGCCCCGCTATTATTGATGCAATTGGGATGCAACATGCGGGTGATCCTTCTTTGGTTCCACTCTCTGAAAGGAGCTGTTGGATCCAAAAAGACATTATGCATGCAACGGAAATCAAGAATAGCAAGAGCTCCCTTTGTGGAAACAGCTGTTTGATCTTGGTAGATTGACACAATGAGGTGGCCTCTGGTTTAGAGGCTTGAAGACGTTGGAATTTGACTTGGAGACGTTTATGATCACCGGATACCCTGTCTCCATTTCGCACATATACACTTGATTGATGTTTCAGTAATCTCAAAAATGATGTAATAGGCATTCTCAGAAAACTCTGAAACATGGGTTTTGGGATCTTAGGGCCTTTGTATACTGGTCTTGCCAAAAGCCTATCCAACAAAGTCCCTTTTGACCGGATAGTTCTTCTGTGATTGAGTTGCCTTTCAGATCATTCCTATTGGAAGAAGTGTCTTTTTCCTTACATTCGAAAGAAACTGATATTGAAATGTATCACTATAAGTAGATTGCTCGGCTCTGCTGTGGTTGTGAAATCAAGCGCTCAATTTGAAAGATAATCAACAAGTATATTCAACAAAGTATAACCAACACAATAAAATCCTAAAAGTGATCGATCATGGCCACCAACATCTCTGGGTTTATCACTATCACTTCTCTCAACATCCACTGCAGCCCAGTTCCCGCACCAGATAGTGCTTTGACAACTTCCGACACACCAGGACCTCAGCTTGAGCCAGAGCCAAGACGGTCTCCGCTCCTTGCTCGTGCCAACACCGAACCTTTCATATATGAACAAAATCCAATCCCTGAAGATATTTGGATCAAACTTAGCACAGTACCAACCCACTTACGCTTCATCCTTGATCCAAGATGTAATCTCTGGGATGTACGAGTCCAGTGTGACCTACTTCGCCAGCTGATCCGGCATTTTTCACCTCATGTTTTTGTCCGTGTTCGCACATCTAAGGCCGAATATGTCAGAATCTTCTATGATAATGTAGTTTCAGAATTTGGGCAATTTTATGGGTACTGAGGTCAAAATAATTTTGGTACGTGTTTTTTTCCAATATATCATGACCCCATTTACATTGAAGTCCCACTCATACTTTTTGATGTTTGACTAGTTGGATTAAAAGTTCATCAGATTACAATCACACGGTTTTCCACCAAGACCACTACTCATCTTGTTTCCAATTCTTTGTCTTGACCTTGAATGGCTCCGTAAAATACTATAAGCATCACATTTCGAAAATCTCTGTGTTCAAATCCATTTCTTCGTCATGATCTTGAATAGCTCCGTAAAATTTACTCTAAGCATGTTCGAAAATATCTGTGTTCACATCCATATTTGAGTCTTTTTCATCTTCTTTTTTCGTAGGCAAATCAGGTCATACAACTTTGAAATGAAAGCAAAATGGCTTTTAGTATTTTTTTGTATCTCTGTTTGTGTATATTCAAATGTAGAAAGTCTCGAAGTGGGTTTGTTGCCTTATTGACCAAATACCAGGAAGGGTGGTTATTTGTTCATTTGAGATCATATGTTATACTTTGTTTATCTTATCTTCTGGATCAGTTTGAGGGTTTGTAAGCTGTGGAGGCTTCTCCTCTTTGTTGTGTTTTGTTTCTGTTCTGTTTGTTAATGAAATACTTTGTCGTGATCTCAAAGCGGTGAGCGGACGTGCTTTTGCGCGGAGAGAGGGACGGGTCATTCTATGTTTGAGTCCAATGTGTGGAGATGTCGGGTACCTCGGGTAAAATATGGGGGTTACGGTTGGGGGCAAGATAAAAAGAGAGATGACTTCGACCTTGTACTATATAAGCCCGTGTCCCACTTCTTTCCCACATTCATACTACGGCAATGGACAACTTCAAAGCACCTCATGTCTGTAACTGCGAGGAGCTTGGATGTGGACCAGAACGCTTTGAGCTTCGAGGAGTCCTCTACACCGGCAAGACCAGAACCCGTCAAAATGGTGAGAAGCACGAAGCAAAACTGCGCCGGATACGTCTAAAAACGTCTAGTTCATCTAATGGCCAATTTCAAGAGAGAAATAATCTACCAGTGAGTCCTTCAATAGACTCAACCGGATTCCACCTTTTTCCGATTTTGGTCAGTCAGAAATGCTGACATGAACCTCTTTCACTTACCAGGCACGCCGACGATCACTGAGTACAGGAGATATAACAGCAAATCAAGCATATATTGATCAATCAATGGGGCCGATTGTTGGTGCAGCACAGCTTGGAAGACGCCGATCTAGCTCTGTGGAAACCGTTCAAGTCTCGGCCAATCATCAAAACACACAGCCTCCAGCTTCAATCACTGTATCAACTGCGGGTTTCCAGAGGCAGCAAGTATATCTCCAGCGTCCCGCATGCCTCATTGCTATGCTTCGAGTCGCACATGCAAGTATCATTCAGAATGCTGTGCACGACGATTGCCGAAAATCACTTCACATGGCCAAGCTTGAACTAGCGCAGTCAGCCAAGGATCACGGATATACTGGACGTCCTTATTGGGAAGATCTTCCTCTCTCGGTTCCGACACTATTCACAATGCTCAATCTCGATGTTAATATGAAAACCGAAGTCTGCTGTCCAGATTGTTTTGCTTTACATGGTCAACCAGGTGCCAAACCTGATGGCACCTACAAACTTAAGTGTGATAACTTGCGGTTCCTTCAATGTCCTGACGATCCCATTGGAACTCCAGTAATCCGCCGGCCCTGTGGGGGAATTCTCTACTCCGACACGCCACTCAAGCCGTACCGCCAATTTCACTATCAATCCCTTCAATCGTGGCTGGCCCGGATGCTGCTTGTTCCTGGATTCGAAGACGCTTTGGATGAATCATTGAAGCACAATAGCAATTCTTCGTCAATGCATGATATTTGGGATGGGGATATGTGGAAAAATTTTGAGCATTCAGGAGAACCAACGGTTGAAGCGACCCGCCGCAAAAAGCGGGTGCGGAGCGGTTACGGGGCGGGTCGCCCCGCAGGCGATACATTAATATCCGGGTAGCGGCTTAAAGCGTCCCGCCACCGCTGCCAGGCCGGAGATCCTGATGTGACGGGGCGCGGATTTAGTGGGGCGCCCCAAAATTTTGCCCCGCAGGCTCGTCTGAGAGCGGTATGCAGCGGGTTATGCCAGATCCAAAGGGATATGTGACAGATATGTCAGTATCTCACTCATATCCTCCCTTGCCACCACCACCAATCACCTTCGACATCCCTACAAACACTTCCAAATCATCCGATACCACAGAACCATCATCGATTCATCTAAGAAGACATCCGATAACGCCCTAATCTTGTCATGGTATGGATTTCAGCATCGATTCTGATGCAGTGACCTCTCTCTCCTTTCGAAAACACCCTAATCTTGTCCAGGTATCGCCTTCAACGATGGTTTCAATCTAGTACGTCATCTCTCACCTGTCCTTGTTTTTATCACAACCTTGGCAACTGACTGAACCCCATTGTTCATGGTATTCAGTGTACCCTTCAAAGGTTTTTGGGGGATTGCACAGCATATCGAACGTCCCCCAGAACCTCTAGGATTGTATTTAAGGTGAGTGGTCTCCAGGACCAGTTGATCTTTCCCCCAGTTGCACATTATTCTGTTCAACAACTTGATCTTTAAAATCTAAAACTTACAATTACTCGTCGTCAATTTTATTTTCAAATATCTTTTGATTCCGATCATCACCATCTCAAGTTCTGCCACTATGTTGTCTCCTGTACCCAGCTCAACTCTTGCTCCCCCTTCTAATGGTTCGGGCCGTACTCTTCGCCCAAGAAGTGCCTCGTCTCCCAAGCCAGGTTTTGTAGTCCAATCTCCAGATTCTAGAGTTTCACTTCGTCGTTCTTCAATCAGTGGTAGTGTTAGTGACCTCCTTGATTTAGATTTGAGCAATAGCCCTTATGTTTCAGATCAAGAGGAAGATAAATCCGACTCATCAGTAGAAATCATCAAGGAGTTATCAGCCCCACCGAAGAAGAAGAAGCAACTTCAATTTTCGAAGTCCAAGTCAGCCGCACGTTCAAAAGGACGACACAGAGGATCTGGCGCTTCTGCAGGCCTCACTCGAGCTCCGGCAAAGAAGCAAAAGAGAACAGCCACTGTTCCTGCTCCGGTATGTCCACTTTCCTTTCCCTTTCAAACACCTGCTAGATCTAACAAAGGTCTTATTTTTTCTCTTATACCACTTTTCATTTTCCCTTGATTCGCTTTTCTTTGTTTTCCGTTATGTACATTTAGGCACAGGCTACCGGTGTTCCGGATGTAATCGATATCAATCAAGACTCAGACGTCGAGATTTTTGAAACCGAAGGTGTCCGTCGTGCTCAGCTTGGACGGGTTTCCAAGCTTTTGGAGTACTACCATCCTCCAACCCATGTCAAAGGCAAGGTGAGTACAGTATATCATCTACGCTCAGATAAATTTTTACGATTTCATTTGTAATGTTTTTTTCTTCCTTTTCATTTTCACCCTTTGATTAGACTGGCGATGATCCTAGGTCTTACAAATGTCGATGGTGCAAAAGCACTTTCACACGTGGCGTCCGTACTCACTACAACCTGTACGCCCACCGAGATGGTGCGAAAGGCCGAGCTCCCTGCCCACGACGATCCCGTGCCATCCAGGCTGGATGCAACCTCCCGCGCTCGTGGCAGCAAGAACAAGCCGATATGGTGGCTGCTTCAAACACTGGGAACGGCCAACCAACACTAGACTCCTTTCTATCACAGGCCACCTTCAGTGTTGAGTTATGCAACACTGTATTGGTCATTTGGATCCTCTTACACGCACTCCCATTCAATCGTTTCTATGACACACCTTTGCGAGGGGCTTTCAAGCTTGCCAATCTACGTGCGGAATTAAGGACTCCTACATGGGCAGCCGGAGTTGCCAAAGAGTTGTATCTCAGCTTGAGCTCGGCTGCTGTGGCTTTGGTTCAAGTAAGTCCAAAGAGTTATATTTTTCATTCTTTCTTAAATTTTTTGTCATTTAATTGTCTTCTCCACTTTACACTTCCGACTTTGACCTTTATGACAGAATAACCGCGGCAAGTTTTCCCTAGTGCATGACGTTTGGACCACCAAGGGCAACCGTTATGCATTTATTGGGGTCTCTGCAAACTTCATCGATAACAATTGGAATTATCAAACAATTCATCTCACTTTGAAATTAGTTGCATGGAATAAGTCAGGTCATCTTCTAGCTCAACCAGTCGCTCGGTTCTTGATTGCAAATCAACTCCACAAGAAGATAAGTTTCTTTTTCTTTTGATGTATTATATGTTTCCTATCTCGTCTTCTTTTGCTTCAGCTTCACTAACCTGCTTTTTCTTCCTTCCTTACATGCTAGGACAGACTACGGACTCTGGCTCATCCAACAATACGATGGCGCGAGAGATGCAACAGATGTTTTGGGATTGCGACAACCCCGTGGCCTGGGATTCATCCATCAATCATGTGCGCTGCTATGCGCACAAACTTGGCTTGGTAGTCAAGAAAGGACTCAAGGTGTTAGGTCTGGCTGCTGGGCACGTCAAGCCCACCACACCTCCCAATGTCTCCGTTCCCGTTCCCACAATCATTCTCAATGACGATTTAACTCACGACGCTATTGACTATGAAGAGTCTGATGATGAGGACAATCTTCCCACTGCCCAGCCAGGCGATTTCAATCTTGATGAGGAGGACTTGGATGACTATCCAACTTATGATGATGATCCAGTTGATGGCTGTGTTGTTGTTCGAGGTGCGATGAAGGCAAGTCTCATTCTCTTTTCTCCCTTAGTTTTTTTTTGTTTCACTCATTTGTATTGTATCATCATCTCAGTTGAAGCAGTTCAATGCTTTACTCACCCGAAGTAATGCCAGGCGAGGTGAGTTTCAAGCCCGAGCAGTTCAGATGGGATATCATGGCCCCTCACCTATCGCAGGTTGGGGAGTACGTTGGAATATTGATCTTGCCATGTACTCCCACCTGATTGCGGGACGAGATGTAAGTAACATCACATTGTTCTCTAATTTAGTCGTGGCTGGTCTGACTATTTGGACCTTTCCTCAGGTCGTTGACTCAATCCTAATTGCTGATCGAAAAACGAGATATTATGAGGGTATTATGATGTCTATGGATGAATGGGACGGGGTGGATGCTCTATGTAAGATCTTAGAGGTACGCTTCCTGGTATCATTCTTTCCAAGTCTTGTTTCAAGTCTTGATACCATTTGATTTCCAGGTCTTCTGTATCTCAACAAAGCATATGGAGGGCAACACCCCTTCCGGCTCGTTCCTCCTTGCCGAATATCTACGAGTGCACGAGAGTCTTTCTAATATGCTCGAAACTACACCTTTTCCTAGCCTTCAAGGTATGATCAAGACCATGTTAACTCAGCTTGAGAAGTATCAGGCCAAAGCTGGCCAAGTCGAAGTCATTACCTTGGCCACTATCCTCAATCCAAAATACCGCCTCAAGTTCTTTGACTTACATTACTCCGACAAAGCTGCCCAAGCAAAGCAGTGCATTGAAGACCTTTTTCACTCGACTTTAGACTCCTGGCCTGTTACCCCACCTTGTAGCCCAGCTCCAACTCCCTCGCCTGTGTCACGTGAAGCATACAATCAATTTGACATATTTACATTGTCAGCCTCTTTTCAAACATCATCTTCAATCCGAGCATCAGAACTCGACTTGTACCTTCAAGGAAACCATCCTATCGTCCCTGGCCAAACTGAATTATCGTGGTGGAGGGTCAGTCAAACTGTTAACCCCACTCTCCCTGATTGCACGCAAATGATTGTGAAACACTACTGATTTCGCTTCTTGTAGCAGGAAAATGCATGTCATTACCCAGTTCTTGCTTCCCTTGCTCAGGACTACCTCACCATCTCAGCCACGTCTTGTGCTGTAGAACGCACTTTCTCGTCAGCGGCCAATATTGCCGTTCCTGCGCGGGGATCTTTATCACCGAAGACCATCTCACGTAGTGTCGGATGCCGAGAATGGTTACGAGCTGGTATACAAGTGGTTGGTAGATTCTCTGAAGCGCTTGCTTATCTCACGTCGTTTGGCAAGTATGGCAAGAAGAAAACATGTTTGTCTTAGCTGTGAACCTCACTGAAGGCACTCAATGTACATATCATCAGCCTTAATTTCCTTTCCTCTTTATTTCAATCTCTTTTTTTCTTTGTTTACATACCCTTTAATGAGTATGTGATATGTGATCTTTTAACTCTCTTATTATTCCTTATGGTTGTTTCAATTGTTTTTCTTGTCGCTCATTATCCCGTTTATTCAACTCTTTTGTGGCTTGGTGCGATGACTTGTCTGTTTTTTATCTTTATAATTTTCATAGTCACTCGTTCTCTCTGTTGATGGATACGAGTTTTGTTTACTCTATTCTCTTTGTAAAAATTTATTTCCTTGTGTAAATTGCAAAAAAAAAAAATGTGAATAGAATTGACCGCTGTGCCCCGCTCCCTGGCCTCCTGATTATCATTAGCGGAGCGCAAGCGGAGCTCATGAATCAAAAGGCCCGCCGCGCTCCATGTTTGATGTAGCGGGTTCTGTCCCATAGCGGGACGATAGCGGGTTTGACTTGAAGCGGATTACCGCTGCGCTACACATTTTTGGTGAAAAAGCGGTGCGCGGCGGTGCGCTTCAAGTGTTGGGAGAACGTTTCACTCTGAAAAGTGGCAACATTATTTTTGGTCTATATATTGATTGGTTTAACCCACACGGACGCGGCTCTCGCAAGGTATCATCCCATGGAACAGTACTACTTATATGCTTTAATTTACCTCCTACCTTACGATATAAAGAAGAAAACTTGTTTCTATTTGGTACAATTCCCGGGCCACATGAGCCAAGATTTGATCAATTGAACGGGATTTTGAAGCCTCTGGTAGTGCAATTTCAGTCGCTTTGGGACGGAATCTTCTTCACTTCAACTCCCAATCACCCTAACGGTCGTGTGATACGTGCTGCTATATGGCCCTTGATAGCTGATATCTTAGGAATGAGGAAGATGGCTGGTTTTGCAGCTCATTCCGCCCATAATTTTTGTGCCCACTGTGCACTTCCCAGAAATGAACGGAACAATACTGATATTACTACGTGGCCGAAGAGGTGTAACCACCAGCAGCACGCAGAAGAATGGAGGGATGCAACTACACTAGACGAACAAGAAACGGTGTTTAACGACTTTGGAGTCCGATACACAGTTCTCTCTGAGCTGCCTTACTGGCGACCTATTCAAGTTGTCACGGTCAATATAATGCACTGTATCCTACTTGGACTAGTCAAAGACCACGCATGCTCATTCCTCAAGCTTGGTCAGGCAGGCGACTCACTCAAGTCAAAGCAAAAATCGAGTGCCTCAAAAACTTCTTTACATAGGACTGTCAAAGTTAGGCCAGATGTCTCGGTCTTAGTGAGTTTTTCACTGACAGAAACTTCCACCATTGTGATTCATCGTTGAAGTTTTCTTGTTTCTCCCCCTCCAAGCCTGAAAGTTCAAACGCATCTCATTCGTTTGAGGCAAGTTTTGAATCTGGGATTAGCTCAATAGAAAAGAGCTCTATTTCTAGCTTTCCGTCTGGAGATTTTACTATGTCTTGCAGCCCTAGTGGCTCATATCTTCAAACACCTATGCAATTCAGCTCCAGTCAGGAATCTCTTCAACTTCTCTCCGATTCTTTTGATCAAGTCAGCAAAAAACGTGACCGCTCTCATGGTTCAGACTGCAAAATAGACCCCTCAAAGCGCCCTAGGACTTCCATACTGCAAAACTCGGCTAGCTCTTCTCAGGCATCCAATGGACCTCAATGTCGCCGCTCGCTTCGACTACAGACCCAAAACAAGGGAAAAGCCGCTGATAATGTCGAACGGCGTAATACCAATTTAAAAAAAAGAGCCAAAAAGTATATTCAACCAAGTAGTAATGATATACCACCCAAGGCTTCTAACCCTCCGAAAGCTCAACGCATACGCAAAACTAAACCTCCCAAGCCGCCAAGTCTTTCATTAACAGACTCTGATCTAATTAACATACATCATGTGATTCGCGCTTCAAAAGCTCCAAGCTGGATGACACGGCCTTCAGTGAAGATTGGAATATCAGGCCTTGGGTCCACAAAAGCATCCGAATGGTTGACCTTATACGCTGTGTACTTTGTGCTTTCAATAATTCCTCAGCTCTACTATTCCAACAATTCCAAGCGCCAGGCTATGTGTCAAAGCTTGATACATGCTGTAGAGATCACCAATTGTACCTTTTCTCGGAAGTTCAGCAATGAAGATGGCAATGATCTACAAATAATGCTCAAGAACTATCGTGACCATCTGCTGACTCACTGGAAGGACGTCAGTGTCAAGCCCAATCTGCATTATGCACAGCATATATCCGAAATCGCTGCTCTTTTTGGCCCTCCGGCTTACACAGCTGCCTGGGTCGGTGAACGTGTGAATGGTGTACTTGTAAAGATTCCAAAGAACTACCACACAGGTGCGATGATTCCAATGTTTGGTTTTGGATAACACTAGCTTACAAATTTTTGATTCACCAGGAGAGGTCGACCGAACAATGTGTCAATCCTTCATCCGTCGAGGGATCTTCAAAGCTGCATTAAAAAGTAGCCCCACCTTTCTCAGTGGAGCTGGCGAGACAATCAACAAAAAAGCAATTGAAAAGCTCACAGGGAGTGTAGCAGAAAACTGGTCTGACGACACCACCATTGATTATGAAACATATCAGGTTTGGCTTCATTATCTGAATTTCCAGTTGAGTGAGTGTTATGGTGTGTTCACGGACATTGGCAACCCTTGGTCAGAAGTCAACCGCCTTCAAGGATATCGCCTCTTGTCTAAATCAATACAAATCACCAAGCAAATTACGATATTTGGTAAATCATACACTGCTTACTCGGAACTGAACGAAGGTAACAGCTTGATTGAATATCAAATTCAAGGAACACAACGGTTTGGTCGTATCCGGTATGCTTTCCGCAGCAAAAATATGGAATCAATCTTTCTGTCGGTGGCCCCTTTTAAAGAACTGGATACCCAGTACTCCACACGCAACTTTTACCCCTCCCATCCCCGCCTGCATGCAGGAATGGTGTCCTCAAATCTAGACATCTCGGTCATTGTTGACACTCAGGATCTCATTGGTCATGTTGTTGCCGTGAAAAATCCACCAGGTCACCTTGGAATTGACCAAGAGACTGTCAGCTACGTCAGTTTAAGAAACATTGTAAGTGTTCCCAAGTTGTATTTTCACTAGACAGATCTTAACTGATAATTGATTATTTTGGATAGAGTACAATTAATCTGACTAGTACCGAAGGATAGGGTGATCTATCATGTAGTGCTGCTTTCGTTTTAACCCACAAGACCTCAACCCGAGTGATCATGTCCGTTTCCCCGTAGCACATGTTTTATTTCTGTTACAATTTACAATTCTGACTTCCTTAAATTCTATAATGCATCATCGATCAAGTTCTTTGATGTGTTGTTTAAAATTTGACTTACTTTTATACAACAGAAAGTAGAAAGTTGGACAATAGATTATTGGAAATTTTGAAAGATGTAAAGCGCAAACCATTCTCTCGCTCTAAACCTATCTTTTAACTTCAAGATACAATTGAGAAATTCAAACAACCTAATTTTGTTTCAACCTAACAGAGTGCGGCATGTATTTTTGACGTTATAAAAGAAAGAAAGTCGCTGGGAGGTTTTTGAGTCAAAAGATGTCTTTTTGTATCTGTTAGTGTTCCTCACCAGATTGGACAATAGCAATTCTCAGGTAGATTGCGGGGAACTCGACCTGAACATTTGATCTGAATAGCTGGCTGCCTCCTCATGTCCAGCCGTTTAGCTGCCCATCTTGCTCCATGCAAGGCTTCCTGCTGTTTGTACGAAAGCTTGTCAAGGAGCTGAAGAAGCGCCGAAAATTCTTCACTCCGCCAAACCAAGCCTATGGCTCGCACTTTCTCCAGTCCATCATCTTCTGTTTCAGAGCAGCATGCCGAACTTGGAAGAAGCTCTAATGCTACAACAAGAAGTTCCCTGTGTTCAATGGCTGAGACCAATTCTTCTAAAGCTTCTTGTCGGTAACAAAAAAGCTGGACAGAACAACAAGTTGTCAGTGAATATCAGAACGTCGAAAGATTGGGTGTACTCTGTAATTCTACTCACGGTGTTTCTTCTCTGAACACACTTCTTGCGAATTCTTGATCGAGATGATTCTTTTTCACGTCCTTGAATCCACCGCTCGATGACAGCCTGTACTACTGCATCACCAACACGCGCCGGATCTACGGAGTAATCAGCAAAGGCTCCATGTTCTTTTGCATATCGCCAGTGCTTGAGAAGCAGAGCAAGCATGACTTGATTCCAATTACATTCCACAGGAGAGCTCCAGGCCAATGTCACACGGGGGATATGATACATCACTAGGTCTTGAAGAAAGAGTCCTTTGAAAGTTACCCAACAAGGAAGCTGGTGCACAAAAGACTTGGTTGTTTCGTCAGCTGGAAGCGATCCTAAAGAAAATATCCTCAGATCTGAAGATATATGCTGAGGTAATATTTGAGGAAGTTGAGCAATTTTGATAGCATTTGGACTGGGTGGGTAGGGTGTCTGAGACTTGATGCGTCCAAGCAAAAACTTGACGTAATCGATGATGGCCCAATAAGATCCTGAATTTCGCTTGGGCAACCATTCTGCTACTTCTTTGTTCTGTGCTTTCAATGATTTGACCGTACAGTTGTCTTTCAAGATCAAAGATGTACTAAGGAGAGCTGTTTTCAGATCATACACCAGAATCAGCTGTAAGTTAATGTTGGTGGTGCGGTATGACTTCGGCTTACATTCACCATTCATATTGAGTAATCAAACACACGACCTTATTGTGTGGTGAGGTTAAAAGCCAAAGTTGGATTGGGACTTGCGATTCACTGAATGAGATCTAGCTCAGCTCAAGTGAGACGAGTATTTATGAGAATAAATTCAATAAAATAGCAGCGCGCTTGCAAGTAGGAAGTTAAACAAATAACACAACAAAAGACACCTCCTTGTCGTCACACTCCTTTTTGAAGCCAGGAAGCTCCCATTTATACAATTCCCCTTGTAGAGAGCCTGTGGCACACAGGTGATGATACACTGAAGCCTGAAGCCTACGAAGACATATTCACCGCATGATCTCAGAAAGATCAAACGTTTGAGTACAGTTGCTTTTATAAAGGATACAATGATTTCTTTGACACCGCAAGTTGAAATACATTCTCACTTGCCCCTTTCTAAGTCCAATCCCCAAACTCACCCCATGTACAAACCTCAAATCACCAATTCTTTTCGATGATCGGACCCTCTCCCAGTTTTAACATCCCCCTTACAATGTTTTCTACTTGAAACACTTTCAAATTAATCTTGTCATCTTCAAACATTTTTATTTAATCTTTTCAGCTTCAAAATCCTCTTGAATATCATCCTCCGAGTCTGTGACTCAATAATTACTTCAAACTCTTCTTAAATATCATCTTCCGAGTCTGCGACTCGATTATTAATTTACAAACTTTTCACAAATTTCATCTTCAGAGTCTGCGATTCGATATTTCCTTCTACGAACTCTTCCGCCTTAATCTGTTCATTTCAACCCTTCATTCTTACACTCATCTCAATCAGTCATGTCTAAAGATTCACACAACCCAGCGACCTGTCAAAACGACCCAAGTTTATCAAATTTTGCTTTCAGTTGTCAACCCCATACTCCTGCCGATGGATCTCATTTAGTGAAGCCTTTGACGCCGACCAAGATCAATAAGGGAAAAAACCGTGAGTCAGCATACCATGATTATTTAGTTTTTATGCCAGCTGACGTGAATCACACGGGTGAGAATCTAGGGAATCTTGGATCAGAGAGCCAGCATCTTCTCTTTGCCGATATTGAAAAACTAATCAACCCTCACTACAAAACATATGAGGAGATGACACAATACTCGCGAAAGCGTTCTCAGTCATGCTTGTCTCAAGAACAAGAAGGAATGCAGCCGAAGCGGTGGTGCGGACCTTCGAACTCGCCTAGGACGCACGACTCACCCCAGCATGAGTCGAAAGAACCAGGTGTGGACAAAGAACAAAGTTTGCCATAATTTGACTTTACTTCGTGTTTTTTTTTTGTTTTCTGACGGAACTCTACGCTGTCCTATTTATCTCAACAAGACCATCCAGGATTAAACCAACCACCCCACACCCCTGCCAGTGACTGTGATCAGACTTCCAACAGCATGATCGATTCACAAAGTGATTTAGATGACTCTGGACAGCAAAGCAACCCTGAGCAGTACACAGATACCGATCATTCCGAATCAACTACTCCACCGTTGAGCCTATCTAGCACTGTATTGCTGCCTAGTCGACATCCAAGATCCGAAGTGCCTTATTGTGCATCAGAAGATCATAACTCGGCATTACTAGAGATCATGAATCAATACAATTCACGAAGGTCGCCTCAATCCTCTGCCAATGATCACACGCAGCCTGAACCGAGCTCTCGAACCTCAAGCTCCTCCAAAAGTACTCCGTCTCACCAACTTGGAGCTTCCTACAGGCCTCACTCAACAGCTATAGCATCACCCTCTCAACAATTAACTACTTGCCAGCAGCGCAACATCTCAACTCCGTGTGTGGATTCTCAGCAGGTTTTTTCATCAAATGATCCGGTGCAAAGCTCACACATACCTGATGTTAGATGCGCTCAACCAGAGCCACCGACATTCTTGCCACCGGACGAAAATTCGCGACCATATCTTACTTTACCTCAAACTCAACAATCTTCCCAAACAGCAGCTTTGCCTCATTACACTTACAACCAACTACCAAACTCTCGACCTGCTGTTCCGCCTGAAATTCCTGATAAACCTGCTCAGTACAGGCAATTTCCAATATCTAATGGTTCTCACTGGAGATCGCATAATGATATCAACGGTCCTTCTGGTCCTTCTCCTCAGTATAATCCGTCTGGCCACAATGCCGGACTTTTGACCTCACAAAAAGAGCTACTTCAACCTTCAGCAACTTCAAATTTCAAACAACGTCAAACTTCTAATCAGTCTCAGAATCAAGATTATCCCACACACGGTCCATGGGATCAACCCGCTCATATGTCTAACCTTCCAGCACAACACAGTGGTATACAACAGTACAGTCAACTCCCTCTAAGTTGATATCCCTATAAGTGCATAATTCTCTATCTGCATAGGATTTTTTGCCGCCAAAAAGGGGTTTTCAAGCCAAAATGAGGTCTATAAGTGCATATTCCTTTAAGTGCATGAAAAAACCACCCGCCAAACTGTATGTAATTAGAGGGAGTTGACTGTATCCACATACTCAGACATCACCGGCCCACAATCTTTTCACTCAACACAGCTCGTATCCCGATATGGCTCTTCCCACTCATCAATATCATATGACACCTTACATGCAGCATCATTACAATCCACAGCACACACACCAGCGTGATATCCAACAAAATACGCTTCTCAGCCGTCCTAGCAGCCGCATGTCCACCGATCCCACGCACCAACAACTCATGTCTACCGATTACACCCACCAACAACATATGCTTTTCCGCCGTCCCAGCAGCCGCATGTCTACCGATCTACCTAGGTCTCCTATCCCTCCCCAACAGCCCCAACCGCCTAGAGATGCCACACGTCCCCTTTGCCCCCGGACATCCCATAATTTCAGTCTACCCCAGCAGACACAAATACACACTCCTCATCGTCAACTCCCTCAGACACAGCAATATTCTGGCTCAATATCAAGTCGTCAACACTCAGCAATGTCAATGTCTTCTTCACATGTTCAAGATTTCCAACATGAACTCGATCAGACACCTGTACATGCCATGAATTCACCTACCTGTAAGTTTCAAATTTTGTGTCATCTATCTTCTTACAAAACCGTACACCTGATGTTGATGAGTACCGCTGATCAAGATAATATGGGTGCACCAGACACACATTTAAATGGTTTTGATGACGACAACGATTTCGATAATTTTGACAATCCTGATCTTTCAGATGAAGGAAGCTCTGATGGCGTCTTTGATCTGGCGGAGGACCTTAGGTACAAAACTAAAAACTCTGAACGCCTAGCTCAACAAACGCGTCAACGACATGACGGTGTCCGATTGGACAAGCTGGCAAGGAATCGCGCTGAATGCTCCCAGTACGAACAACTTGCAATCGCCATTCATGATTATGTAAAGCTAATGATGGGTATTGAGCGCAAGCGCCGGGGCAGACCCACATCCACTCAAAGTCTACCTGCACCCCCTTCCGAGAAGGAGTTCATTACATGGATTGAACGTAAAGTCGAGCGCAGAAGGATTATTGAAAAATGTGCAAAGGCTGCAAGTTCTCGCTACCTTCTTCGCCATCCGCTTGCCAAACGTTCTCAACTGGCCAAAGTCGAAAAACACGCGGTTGAGACACATCTCGCAACCCTGACGCGTGCACCTTTTGTGTCACAAGTTTCGCATACATCAAGTCGCGGTCTCAAATATTCCACCACGGTAGCTTCTACCTGCGAAGCCGCTTTGGCTCTTTCTGGGTATCCACGATGTACCCTCGATTGGTTTGGCTCGATCAAGTCGGCTTGGAATGAAGGGATGTTTGCTGTCATCCTTCAGGAGTGGGAGAAATGCTACAAACGCGGAGATGCAGACGAATACAACATCCGTTCCGATCAAGTGACACCAAAGAACATTCGGCAAATACTTGAGCGTTGGTTTGTGACCAAATCTCGAAACTATTCTTCCCCAATTAGCGATGATCTTGAAAACTCAGAGCAAAGAAACCGAAAGGAATGCGGCCTCAGGGAGAGACAACGCCAGAAGGCATCACAAAAACGAGTGAGTTTCTCATTCATCTGATTTTCATCTCCTCGCTGTTTCGTCTGCTCATTGTAACGGCTCTGGTAGGTATGTAAACTTCGAGAAAAGACCTTCAAAACTCATTTCAAAAACGAGGTGGCACTCGGCCACATCCTTTCATTCTGAGGATGAAATTGACTCGAATGGGGACCAGTTCCGTGTAAGAAAGGCCTGGAGATCAAGAGACCTCGACAGTTTGATCTATGAATTGGATGAGATACATATCACTGGACAGCTAGATGACCGTAGTCACACTTCTGCTGTCAAATCCTTGCGCCGTGGTACACATCTGGTTGCAGGAGAAATGGAGAACCTTATGCGCCCACCACCAGGATTTCCTAGGTCCTTAGTAGATAGGCATTTCATCGACGGTAATATTTCAAGAGTTGAAATGGCAGCCCTCAATCTCTCTGGTCAAGAATTTGATATACCAAGTATGATAGCGCATGTAAGATGGCTCCGGTCAAAAGTTGGCTCATGAATTCATCTTGTTTTCTGCTTTCCAATCACTTAGTGATTTTGAGTTTTTATATGTTTTTTTGTTGTGGCTTGTGGATATTATGTGTATAAAGTGTTTTTTTGTGGTTGGTTTCAAGATGACTATATAGGCACTCAACAAGAGTTGTCAGAATATCAGGGAGTGTATCATTAAAGTTAGGTGAGAGGTTGCAGCTCACTTGTTTCTGACTGAATCTAAGCATATAGCTTTTCATTTTTAGAGATGATCATGACTCAGTTACAAACTTTGATGTGAATCGGTAAAGCCTTTTGTGTAAAAGTCTTTTTAAATTTGTCATCTGTTTTTTCCCACATCCTCTCTGGTTTTTTAATTCCGGTCACTGTTTGACTTTATGTCCATTTGATGACTGTCTTTGTCCGGTATGGCTATAAGTCTTTCGCTTTTGAGACTCAGCGGTGATATACATATATTACTTTGTATACATGACAAGTTTGTTCTTCTTCGATACAGACCTGTCTTTTTTTCTCATTCTGGCTGACACAAAGATGAGTCTCAATCGCTTTGGATGTTGGACAATCACTATCGGAAGTCTGTTTAACTGTCGGAAGTCTGTTGTACTGAGCAACGCTGTTCATTCCAAATATGAGGACAAGCTGTGTGGTCCTCAGAGCTATGTACAGGACTTGTACTTGAGGCACCAAGGCAGGTGAAAGTCTGAGGATGATCAAGAAATTACGTGGTTTTTACCAAGATTTGTTTGCGAGATACGTCGGGCGCAATTTCTGCGGACACCGTGTTTCCAGATTTTTGTATACAAATAATTTAATTTTCTGCCCAGAAAATGTTATGTTTCTTGTAGTGTGAGACGGCAGAAAAACCTGGGGTACACGCGAAAATTGAATCACCAGTTCTCAATTGACCAGGAGGACTACATACCAAAACAATCATTATGGATTGCTCATCTTGGAGATAAAGATGTGCTAGATGACTCACCGAGTAGCTCGGGCCCGACCCAGGAGCGCTTGATAGCTGCGCGTACGAAGGACACGGGACATCACATTGATTTGCCCATTGGAGGACCTGATAGGATAACAAAGACACACATTCATGTCAGACAAAGCAAGCAACGATTGAAAGAAATATAGAGAAAAAGAGGCTCAGGCTCAAGGAAAAGAAATCATTGAATTCATAAGGGTAAAGAGACAAACAAAGGAACATGTGAAAGGTTCCTGTTAACCATGCTGTGAGTGACTGATGAAAAAGATGTTTAAAATTGCTGAAGACAAGGTTGGAATCGGGAAAGGGGAAATTGAAACAGAGGGGGCCCTTTTGAGTTGGTCAGGTGAAATCGCTCGAATTGTGGTTGACAACAATCACCGATAGATCGCTTAGGTTTGCGTGCCGGGAGTAGTCGTCAAATGAAAGGTTGTCACTCGATATCTTGATTGACTCGTGATTGACCAGGACCAACCGATGGCTTAGGTTTGCATGCCGGATGAGGCTTTCAGAGCTTGATTCAGGCGTCGAGATCTTGATTGGTGTAATGAAGGTGATATCAAGGTGGATACAAAGGTGGATATGGGTGGTGGATATGGGTGTAGTGCCCGTGGGTGCTTGAACAATGATCGCAAACACCCACAAACAAACCCGCATGGGCGGTACAAGATATCTTCGGATCTAGCCGGATCGAGTAAGCCACATGCCGTTACAGTCCTGCTGCGCTGCGCAGCGCCTGTATTCAAGCGTGGCGCTGGGGGGGAAAATGCAAAAAACCGTGCCACTAGGACACGGATTTCTTGAATAGCTGTACTCACACCACGGGAATTAAATAGTTCAAACCCGGATTGAACCAAATTTTGGTGTCCGGGTTTGAAATTTCCTCGAATTGTGAAATTTGTTCACAACTCGTTTGCAATAGGTTTGCCGGTTTCCCTTGAGTGGTACTCTGTTGGCCCCGTGTGTGTATGTACAGCTTCATCATACAACAACAACCCCGATTCCAACCATTCAACCATCTTTCCTTTGTCATGCATCCTCAGTCTTGAATCTTATTCTTGATCCTCTGTACAATTGGTGAATCATTGGTGACTGATGCTGAAGGGCGTTGTTGTTGTATGATGTAGCTGTACATATACAGGCCGAGCAGAGTACCGCTTGAGGGAATTCGGCAAACATATTGCAAACGAGTCGTGAACGAATTTCACGATTCGAGGAAATTTCGAACCCGGACACCAAAACTTGGTTCAATCCGGGTTTGAACTATTTAATTCCCACGGTGTCAGATGTTTGTGCATATGTAGTTACGGTACTCAAAGCAAGTATGTACACGTACACTTTTTGCTACATAGTTTTTTTTGGCGGAGAAAATGAGTCCAAAAGTATATTTGTTTTATTTTCCCTGCCAAAAAAAGTATATAGGACAACTATAAACGTGTAACTATGTAGCTTTGAGTACCGTAAGTGTATGCTTTATGGCTCAGATGTACAGTTGGTGACAAAAAGTTCACGTACCTGTACCATAACTCGCCAATTTGGCAACTCTCAGAAAGCTTATCTAGCTCTCAATCTGACTACTACTTTACCTGAAAGTACATGGTCTGAGTGGCCAATGATCAGAGTACATATGAATGAATTTCAGGATTCACAAATGTAATGTAGACTCTAAAATACAATGACTGTTACCAGTGAGTGTGTCCGCCCTCTGCTTTGAGCACAGCCTTGATTTGATCAGGCATGGACTCAACTAAAGCTTGAAACTTTCTCTGATGGATTGCTTTCCACTCGGTATACAGTGCTTCCACATTTCTTGAACGGTTCTAGGTTGGTGCTTTTCCAAGACTTTTTTTTTCATGATGTTCCAAATGTTCTTGACTGGGTTAAGGTCTGGACTATTTTCAGGCCAATCTAACTTTCTAATTGAATGCTCATCCCTCCATTGTTTCACAACTTTGCTTGTGTGTACCAGGGCTCCATCCTCCATCAAGATGAGGTCTGGTGGACAGTTTGGTGAGGTGGTGAGTGGTTTGATAATCCGACAATACACCAAATTGATAAAGTTGGCTCTGTTAGGAACGGGTAGCTCGTGAGGGATGCAAGATGCTAGTAAGGGTGTTCAGTCTAACTAGCTGGATTGCTAAGTGAGGACTAATGCCTACTGCTCACGAGCGCACAGGATGTACTCGAAGCACATGTCACAGATCAGTAAGTACAAGTGTCACACTAATAGAATTGTAACAGGCTCCAGTTCAATGTCCTACCGGCATTACTATCATTGGTAAGCAAATTTCAGCTGTGAAAGCCCCCCATATCATTACTGAAGTCCTTCTACTCTTGAAACTTGGGGCCAAACAGTTTTTGTTGTATTTTTCACCCGGTTTGCACCACACCCAAACCTTCTTTGCAGACTTTCCAATTTCAAATGAGGATTCATTGGTCCAAATGACCTTCTTCCCATTGTTGTAAGTCCAATCCTTGTGTTTTCTAGCAAACTCAAGACACTTCCAAATATGTTTGCTCTTGAGATAGGGCTTGACTACGGCAACTCAAGAGTGAAAGCCAAGTTGCCGAATCTCGGATTGAAAAGTTGATATACTGGCTTTGATGGGCAACTTACTCGCAATAGAGGCAGCCAAAGCACATTGGTTTTGTTGGATCACCCGCTTCAAGGTTTGCTGATCACGTTCCAAGAACTTTTTTGGTTGTCCGAGCGTTTTTGAGATGGTTGATTTGCGTCTTTTGCAGTCGTTGTAGATCACTGTGTAGACAGTTGACTTGGGATTGCCAAGTTTCTTGGCAATTTGAGTGCCAGGAATCCCAACTTCGTGCATATAAATGATAGATTTCTTCCAAGTGGGAGAAAGGGTGCAAGTTTTCATTTTCAGAGGTGTTCTGGATGAGGTGTGGAGAAGTTATCTAAGATTCAAAGTACCCATAGACTGGGCTACGCTAATACATATTTAGTCGAGGTCCGTAAACTTTTTGTCACCGACTGTACAATGCAAGATGATTTGATGACCCATTCTACTCTCAATTGTGTTCCCAGCCTAGGGCCTGTTCCAACCAAAAAACCTATTTAATGCTGGCAGTGAGTGACCAACAGTTGACACTGCCAAGTTGAAATCTCAGAGCATCCACAGCCATGTGGCCTACACCACATTGCATGGAAATTTAGGGCAAAATCATCCACAGCCATTCCCTAAATTTTCACACAGCTGAGGGATTTCCCTCTGGGTGAGCCGAAGTACAGTGTTTCCAAACCTTTTGGAAAATGCTCAAAGGTGTGTCAAGCACTTTACATATTGGGTCATGAGTTGAAGCTTTCAATCAGACGCTGATTGCAAATCTCTAGCTTCGTAGCATTTGACTATTTTCAACCAAACATGAGCTACTGCTACTTCATACCTGATTTGGAAAGAAAGAGTGTTTCAATGAGGGTGTTCCAAAGCCTTGGTCTATAGACATCAAGATAAAAGATGTGTAAGTAGTTGTTTGATGTAGGTATTATCCTATAAATTGAGCTCATGAATATGAAACTTGATTGGATGATGCCCATCACCGTTGATGAGAACGCCTGGACAATGACTTGTACCCCAGAATTCGGACCCCCAGAGTATATGCTACAAGGTATCACTCAGATTTTGAATCGGAAGTCGAAGTTGAAGTCTTAGGTTCATCATTTTCGAGTATAGCCAAAATCACATATCCGATTAAAATTAAGTTGGTTACCACAATTGCAGCGATTGCAGCAGCTGTTGTATTATTAGCTAATTATATCATAAATAATAATCAAAAAACCTTTTTTAAGTGTAATCTCATTCCTCTTTCTATGACTCATTATAGATACTCACTTTTCTCCGCATGAGGGAAGGAAAATAAGTGGTAAGAGGCTGAAAAAGTGAAGAAATTAACAGACCTTCGAAAATCCGTCCAAGTGTTCCGTAGTAAGTTGCGATAGGTAGTATAGCCTATCAATTAGAAATACCCCAGAAAGAACTATGGTTAACAAGGGCGGTCCGTTTGTTTTGTGGTTTTCAATGGGTTTCATGTGATATTTTGACTTGACTGAAGTTGGATTCCATGCGAGTTAAATCAACTGACCATCGATATGCTAACGATACCCAGTTTAAAGATCGGAGCACTTAATAAACAGAAGAACAGGTCATGAGATTCAGGTAAACAGTAGTTGTGATTAAGAAAAGGTTGAACTCAACTTGTAGTCAGATGCTCGAGGTAGAGAGGAACTCTTTTGAGCTATTGATGTTGAAGGGACCGGTTCATCATTTGTACTTTGAACTTTGCGAGACCTCAATGTGGGTGACATGACTGATCGAGATGTGAGGGTGAACGGTAAAAGATGAAGAGTGACTGGGCTGTGGTGAATCGATCACCGAGTCTTGGTCCGAGTGGACCATCCTGGCAAAAGACCGACCCGCATCTGGGTGGAATCGGTGCCCGGTCCGCTCCCTCTTCCCTATGTAATTTTTGTGACTGGTGCACAGATATGTTTAGCCAACCATTGTGATTCAGACAGTTTGTGATTCATAAATTATTTGAAAATGCACTCTCTGATACAATGATGATCCATGGAAAGAAGCAAACAAAGTTGACAAGTAAGACTTTGAGAAATGATAACATATGATGAAGTATGATTTTGGAAGATCAACTACTTATGAGCAAGAAAGCTCTTCAAAAATAGGTTTCAAGACACTCTCAAAAAGTTTACCCAAAGCTTCCGTGAGTGATGAATCATTTGAGTATGTTGCATTGTGATTAGGATCACGAGTCTATAAAATAAATAAAAATCATTTGATCAACTTTACATCTACTTTCAATTTTGAAAATAGTGAAAACACTTAACTTGTTGAAGCAAGTAACAAATTACTCCAGCTTCTTCTACATTTTGAAGTTGAGTCAAATCTGGATTCCAATTTCCAAGAGTACCGCCGTTTCTTCCAAATTCCGTCTAGCATTTTTTACATGATGAGAAATGAGATGAGATGAAAATTCAAAGGAGAAGTCGGGTTTAAGAACTTACAGGATCTTATTGTGCCAAAGCAATTTATCATGAAGGTTCTTGCATCAGCTAGAGGAAAGTGGACGGGAGCATTACAGAGCGCAGAATCAACAGAGCACTCACAGGCCAAGTAAGTATCAGTCAAAGTTAAAGCAGCTTCGACCAACTACTCCGCCCCCAGGAAAACATCTTTGTTAATTCCTTCAAGCGTGAACAGCCACCAAAATTCAAAGTGACTTACCGATAAAGGAACCGTGCGACGATACCAAAACCCATCTGGACCGGGAAGCAGTTTATTATCACCGCGATAATATGTACCATTATCATTTTCAAAAATTCCAAAGAAAGATTCGATAGATTTGACATCGGGATCTCCAGAGGATCCGTCCGGAGCAGCGGAAGCCATCGTCTTTGATACAAAAGATTGGGCGACATAGAGAGCAAGCCTTTTTATTGGAATGTCAGCCACGAGCCTCACAAAACAGTTTCAATATCAACACTGACTGTTCTCCTATAGCCTGTTTGAAGAGGAAAGAAACGATGTAATTGATTATGACCCTTTCAAACTCGATATAAAATGGGATGCTTACCCATTGACAGTGAGGGTTGTTGTTTCTGCAGTCCTGGTACTAATGTTTTTCGCGAGCAAAACTGGTAAGGTTTCCAAACGCAAGAGAATCAAACAATCGATAAGGAGCTTACAGCCTGGAACCGAGCCGCTCCACAGAATCTCGAGGTCATGAGGCCATCAAAATGATCAACTGAAACATTTCCCAAAGGTTATTAACTCGATGAAGCAGGGAAGGCGAAAAAGAAAATTGGAAGGTTACTAGAAAGCGTTCTAAATTTCTTCCAATGTTCGCTAGTGAAATGATCAGTATCGCCTTGCGCAAAATATTCATCAACTCTACTGAGAGATCCATCAACTTCGAATTTATTATGAGCCAATGGAGAGAAAAATCCAGGAATTTGGCCAAAGACGCTGGATAATACTCCATTTGTTCTTGGGTCTGTTCTACCAATTGACAGCTTAAACCTATCATGATCAAATAATCATCAAAAGATTTTACCAATCTGAAGAAAAAAGAAACTGTCTAACGTGGTAAGATCGACTGCAGCTTTTACACCAAGAATCACAAGGAGTGCTGCGGTATCAGGACCAAAACCTAGCATCTCTTGCATTCCGTACATCAACTCATGAATATCAGTGATCCCAGTTCGCGAGATCTAAAAGTGAGAGGTGGTGATGAATTGGTCAAATTAAGAAGAGCCTTCACAAGACAGAATTTCAAAAGGCACACATATCCATAGTTGGCCATGACGTTAAGACCCGGACAGCCACCTAGAAATCGAATGAATTTTGAATTTCTTTTACCACCATTCGGAAGGTGAAATCTATGGTTATACCTCTGATGTCTGTAGATCCAGGAGCCTATGATTGGTGGATGTTATGAGTTTACTTGGTTTTGACGTCTTTGTCTGTACACGTAACAAGCAGAATCTATTTACCATGAAGGGATGATCAGCATCAGGAATTGCTTTACGTCCAACTGTGACTGGCGAGGAAGATGTCAATTTGAGGTTGATGATAGAGTTCACTTTGAGGATTCGATCGAGATCTGATGCCAGAATGCTCGCACCCGTCGACGTCACGCCCATTATATTGTCAACAAGCTGTTTTTGAATGGAAATCGAAAGGAATTTGATCAATTCCAGTCAATCAAATCATGGGGGTTGAAGAGAATGGGAGCATACGCCATTAGGCAATGCGAAAGAGTCCTGAAGAAGTGAAATGAATAGTATTAAGGATGTTCGCATCTTCGTAATACACCGAATGAAAGATTACTTCAATTCTGTTGTTCCAACTTCGAAAGGAGCAAAAGTGTCTCGCACAACTTTGAAGCAGCAAAGACTACTTATAGTCTAGAAACGCGGCCTTCGGAAAACCTCGGTGTGATTTAAAAAAGTCAGTGGTCTGGAATTGAATGCGCCCATTGCTCAATTACACGATCTGGGCTCCATGCCGTATCCTGAACTTGACTTACTTTTGATGAACATACTCAGCGATCGGTCAAAGCGATCAAATTCTTTGATCCCGATCTCATTCTATATTCTCCAACTCTAAGTCAAGTAGCAGAGTATAGACTGCAGAAGTCTCCGCTCACAAGGGAACAACGTGGAGAGAGAATAGCTTGTTGTACTTATAAGCTCCGCACACATGGAAGGAAGAAGATTGCTGAGAATGGGTGTTTAAGAAATCCTAAAACATGGATCAGCTAGTACGTAGAGGTTTACGCCGACAGGGCGTCCAGAGACAATCTTTGGTAACCCTCTTCGCCCCAGAGCGGTTGATTAAGAATGGCACTTGACCCACGCGAGACCGATCAGATTTCATATCAACTTGTAAATTGCTTTGAGCCAGGGGAATCATGATCAATGTATAGGATGTCATCGGATGTGATGATATTCAACAAGAGTTTCAAGACTTTTGAGAACAAGGAGGAATGTAAAGGGACGACTGGATGTATAGAAGTTTTCTCTAGATAGACCCACGAGGATCAGAAAAAGGTGAATATCAAGATCAAAATGAAAATGCCTGTAATTTGAAGGTGAAACTTGACTGCTTACAAAACAAAGGTATAGAGTACCCTGATCTCGATCCTCATCAGGTCGGGCAGGGTAGATTGCGTCCCCAGCATATCTGTTTGTCTGGACACCATTTCTCATTACCGTGACAGGTACCGCTGATCTTACTCCTTGGAATGAGCTTTAAAACAGAAGCAAAAGTTAATTTCACTCAATCATTATTGTTTTGGGAGCTTTGGAGAGAGAAAGACGCACAGGTGTTCTCTTCCACTTAACAGAGCGTTGTGCTGTAAATGCGACTTCTGAAAAGGCCAAAAGACAGGAGAAGAATAATAGTACCAGCATTTGTAACCTCATTCTGCGATCAAAGACACATGGTTTAAAATATCACTCTGTGCCCATCAATTTTTTCAAAGACCAGAGAGAAAGAAAAACCAACGTGACGCGTCCGAATTTCGAAGTTCTGATGATGACTTGATTTTGATCGATACGTAACAAGTGCTCCGAACTGACTTACGGGAGGTAGGTGCGAGGGGAATCCGGGAGGTGGCCCTCAAATAGTCCACAAGCTGACATCGCGAAGCTTGGATCAGGTTTCTTTGCAAGACAATTTGGCCTCCGCCGATGTGGCAGTGGCACATTGCGGTAACAGATGGAGCGTTCCGAGACACTTGTACAAAAATCTTCTTGCACAGGTAAAATGATTTTTGCGGCATGTCGCTTAACGTGCGTGGTGAAGCTCAACTTGCCGATTTGCATATCTGCAAAAGTTATTCAGTTCTACATACATACATAGGTTCAGAGGGCTGTCAATCTAGATCAATCCAGATCCGATGATCAGGTTGTCTTGATTTCAATGTTTATTATGAACTGACCAGCGCCCTCCTGCGCCAGGAATCCAGTCTGAAGTTTATTGTGAGACGCAAGAGCCACATCCAGGCCTCGGAAGTTCGGATTGAAGATCCGAGATGCAGAATTATCTGCGATCAAGTCTGTGCGGCCGGATCCATGATCAAACAATCGTTGAGCAATTTAAAAGATCAGAGCACGTCCTCAATGTAGTTTTTTTAAGCAAGGACTATGAAGACTCATGTGATGTCATGGCTGAAGTAACCTGAAGTAACACACACAATCCATTCCATTCCATACATTATACTTCTCATTTATTTTTGAAACAGTCTCTTGCAAGTTTACTGGAACCTTCTCTTAAGCCCAAGACCACAGTCAGTCATCGAGATAGGCAACCTTCTTAAAGTATGCATACCTGATCACTAGTCTAACTTATGATGCAAATTTTGTAGCTCATGTTTCTTTATCTAATTGACTAATCACCCTGTAAATGATATTGCATAGATTCTTGACACTGTTAATATCTGACTGACTCTCATATTATAGAGGATGTGTCTGATGACTATACACAAGAAAGTTAAATATGGCCCAAACATACATGCCTCAGAATAAGATCAGTGTAACAACATGACTCACAAATTGTAAATCAAAGACTGGCTAGGATTAGCAACATATATGATTCACAACATTGTTTGTGGGGCTTTGTTCTTGAAAAGTCATGAGTGAAAATGTGTGACGCCATGTAAAATTGGTCATTCAGCCTTGATACATGTGCAGGTACACTTGATTCTGACTTGGTCACTGAGGATCTGGATTCTGAAGGATAAATCTTGGTCCTCAGAGCCATAGCTCATCCCTACTCCTACTGAGCAAATCTGTATGCAGATGATAGATACTAATTTGCTCGGTGGTCTGCACATATGTAGTTTGGGTGTTCTGGCTCAGGCGTGCAGTAATGACGATTTTATAACCACTTTTACTCTCAAGTACATTCCACTCTTCCACTTGGGGAAGTTGCTGAATGTTTACTGTGACACGGTGATATGTAGGGGTTCAGTGTTTATGTGCACTTGCTAGGCCAGCCCTCAGAAGTGTGGAAGAACATCTACAGATGTTGTTCCTACACGTGGCCAACGAGTTCATTCCAGCAGTGGCATACCTTAATTTGTAACACACTTTATGAGAAATTGATTGAGCTTTTGCCCAAGATTTCCTTCAATTCTTGAAATCAATGAGAAGTTTGAACACCTTAGATTAACAATTGACAACAGGTAGAGTCTGAGAGAATGATGGGTGCTCTTGCATTAAACTTCAAAAGAACCATTTTGAAGAGCAGAAGTTGAGTCTGTGTAGAGAAAGTTCATACCATCCAAAATCAAACATGTCAAACCAGCACAACAACCACATTTCTTGCTTTCTATGTCCTTAGGCTTGATTGATCCTGAAGTTGATGAAGAATTCTGTTGGGGACTCCATCTGGATCATCTCATTTTAATCAAAATACTGTGTAGTATTGCAGTGTAAATAAAAAAAAGGGTGGTGAGTCGTGAGAGGGGTGTACCGGTACCAGATCAGATGAGTAGGATGAGTGACGCATACAATCGATCAACTTGACAACTTACCGTCATTCAACAATTTCAATCATCAATAGGGTCTTGAATCTCATATCCTCAAATCGAACGAGATTATCATTCCCCAAGTATCTAATTGGAAGTTGATTGAAATTAAACAAACATGGCCATCGCGTCTGGAATGGGATCAAGAAGCAATGAATCCATTGGAATCGAACCCATCGAGTGGTTAACATTAGCTCTTTTGATCGAATTTCAATCGATTAGATTATCAGTCGAAGATATCAAAAGTCAAGGAACAATAAATGATTTAGATAATCAAGAAAATGAATCTGATTCAAAGAAATTCAAAACTTTGGAGAATGATGATTTAAAAAAAGTTAAAGAATCTTATCGGTTGGCTAATTCGATCTTGATTATCATCACGGATTTGTTATTCGGAGTTAGTTTTGTTTTTGCTAAGATCAATTTCAGTGGGGGAGAAAACGAGAATGATTGTTAATGGAGGTTCTCTTATTCAGCCTCAATCAGCACCTGAATCAATCTCGAAATTTTATAAACACTTGATGGATTCAATCTCATCGTCCATCGATTTAAGGACTTCTCAAGCATTCATCACGTCATTTCATCAATCCATCCGATCTAATTTATTATCATCAGTCGATACACTTTATCATTTCATTCACAGTCGGTTATCATTCATCAATCTTGAAACATCGTCACCAAAACTTATCTTTTCTTCATCGATGTCATAGGACTCTCAATCCTCATAAGCCCTCCTATTCAAGAGGTAAATCCAATGACAATACGATTGATGCGTTGCAAAGTCTCTTACTTTCGTACTTGTGTTTTCTCAAATATAGTCGAATCCAGATCGACCTATTGAGTTTCATAAAGAGTCTCCAATCGGTCTTTATATTCGTCGATCAATTCTCAACATTTCAAACCTAGAATTCGATCAACTCTTAAAAGTCTTTTACAAGTTGAAGAAATTCTGTACAACAGAAGATAATCATTCTTCATCTTCAAATCCTCATCTCGATCAACTTACAAAAGCTTATACCGAGTATTTATCCTTTTTTCAACAGATCAGTTTGCAAAAAACCACGCTGATCATGTTTCTCTGTTTATGTCTATGTGTTAGGTTCAAGAATGATCATCATCCTGACTTTATTCAATCTGCAAACGCACTGAGGAGATTTTATGATACGCGTTCACATAATCATCACGCGTTAGTCTTGACCCATTTCTCCAGCTCTGAGTTTGAGTTTGAGTTCGGGTTTAACTTTTTTTTCTTTTATAGGCATTTAAATTCTTCCATCCATTCTCATGCTTTATTTTCACTAGCTGAATTTCATTATCAGAACCGAGCTTATCCTGCTGCTTATGATGTTAAGTTTTCACTATCCATTCGTCTTTTTCAATGACTAATTTCAGTCATTATTACATACAGGCACTAGATGAATCTACAAGATTAGCAAGACTGTCATCAGATCGGACGATTCTTGATAGATCAACTTCGTTCGTGATCCCAATCATTGTCAATCTAATGCTCAAGAAGTTATCAACTGATTTTCTTTTGTTTTCTCATCAAGTTTGAGACGCCAACTAGATCATTACCTCTCAGACCAACGTTCGCAGGAAGAAGAACAACCTCAACCCATCATCACAGGTCCAACCCAAGCTCAAAGCTCATTACAGTCGCTCAACAACCATCATTCAAATCAAGAACGGGAGTTTTGGGATCCTAATGAAGAACTCTTTGACGTTATCAGAGTCCTTGATCGAGTCTGTCCATTTTTCTTACCTCTTCCCTGACATCATCTTGCAACTTATTCTAAGATCATCGATCATCGATGATAGGGTGAAGAAAGCCTAGGCAGGCTATACGCAAAGCTTTTCAAAGCTAAGCGAATGACCCTTTCGCCTTCCACAAATCACAATCTCCCAAGTAAGTGATAGTTCCATTCTTCTGTATCCAGTAAAGTCAAAAATATAAAGCTAAGACCTCTTCCTTCTTCTCTCCAAGATGACGGTGATCCACTCAAAGTACCCGAACGGAAATTTGATCAACTATCTTGGTTTGGCCTGAAAGCTAAACTTTGGTATCTTCAAGGTACTTTATAAGATACCCCAACCCCGTTTCAAGTCTCAAAAACGTTCCAGTCTTTTCTTGACTTATCTGTTGGTTAAAATCTAAACAAAAAAAAACTCGAACAAAAGGTCAACACAGTTTATGTAACGTTTACGAAGATTTGGCCTTATCCATGAAGGCAGAAGAAGAGCTTGACGAAAAAGGATTGATGTCAAAGACTACAATCTTATGTGATAGAGCAACTCGTGTAAGCCTAATTTTTTTCCTTTGGTTCTTTTACATCATATCAAATTATTGATAAGAAGCCAAATTTGAAAAAAATAGTTGGCTAAAAGAGGATTGATCATCGAAGGCTTAATCATCTTGGTAGAAGAAGCCATCAAGAATCAATGCTCAGCCCGAGATTTCGAGAAAGTCCATGATATGATTTTTGATTTACTTGAAATGAAAGCTTTTAAAGAGTATTATGACACCTTTTACTGAGTTTCTTTTGATTTGACTCTTTTTACCATGTAGGCTGATGCTATCTTATGATCTTTACTATTAACAGACGTGATCCGAATCAATACTTGAAGTTTGAGAAATATCGACCTGGCTTATCACGTACCAAGTCAAGTACTAACAGTATCGAAAACCGAGTCAATGAACTATGTCAAAAAGCCCAAAAGTTAATGGTACATAATCTCTTGTTGATCTAATCGACGAGTTTTTTGTAAATCTGTTGACATGATTTTGGATGATAATAGGAAGAAGGACAACTTTCAAGATCGTTATGTATAATCTTATCATCCATGAGTTTATCAGATCAAACAGGTTTAAAGATTCATGAAACTAAATCAAGTTCGATTTGGTTAGAAGTGATGATGAGATTAAATCAAGAAGTTTCATTAGAGATTTTAAATCAATTTAATGATTCGTTTCATACCACTTCTTTACTTAAAGCTAGATTAGAAATCTTTAATGGATTAAACCATTTAGATGATTTATGTAAAGCTTTGGATTATTTATCTATGGCTAAAATTCGTGAGTGATTTAGATATTTCTTTTTTGGGTGTGTTTGAAGAAGTAAATGAAACTTAAAGATTGAATCTCCTTTTGTTTGGGCGAGGGGAATCTTTTGATTAGATTACAAGAAAATTGAAGATTTCAAAATGATTCAAGTTTGTGAAAAGTATAAAGAGATCATCAAGAAAGAAGGAGAAGTGAAATTTGAAAAAGATATAAAAGATTCTAAAAGATTTAAAGAAGAAAAAGAAAAAGAAAAAGAAGAAATTTTAAAAAGTCAAGAAACAGTTTTGAATTTAGAAGAAAGATTAATTAATGGATTAAATTGGTTAAGTGCCAAAAGGTTTTCAAGTGAAACTTGAAACTTGATTTACATTAAAAAAAATCAAATTTTATTTTTTCAAACAACTTCTTTGGTTAAAGAGAAGGTTTTTACTTTGTACTTACATTGGAATGTTAATTCATTAGATTTTGTGTTTTGAAGGAATTGGATTTTTGAAAACTTTTTAATAGTTATTGAATGATGTAATTTTGAGTTTCAGTTCAAGTTTTAACATGTTGGAAAAATCCATCAACCAGGACTACAATATTGAAGAAAAGATTTGGATTGATATAGATTGAGAATGCGGTAATTTCATTCCAGTTGATCTTACACTTTGATTACTATTATCTTACTACAAATTCTGTACAGTCTTCATTCCACTATGTGTAAAACATACCAGTCTTCTTGCTCTTCTCAATAACCTTCCGTGAAAAAACCAAGACCTTAAACCCCAACCAGTCCATTTTTCCTTACATCAAACTCATACCAAAATTTAAACCCGCTCACTCATTCATTCAAAAAATAAACTCACAATCACTGACTAGCTTTAGCTCTCACACAAACCACTCTCAAATTCTCAAGTTTTCAACGCACTTTAAACTTTTTAAGAAAAAACACACAAAAGGTATATATATATATTTATTTTTTCTTAATAAACTAAAACCACTTATAAATAAAATCAAAATAAAAAAAATATTAAAAAATTAAACTTGTTTTTTTTTGATGTGTGAAAAAAAAAGAGAAAAAGAAAAAAAAGAAAAATTACAGACACCAAAAGCAAAAAAAAAAACTGAAAGAAGAGAAAAACAAATCCAAAGCGAAAAAAATCAAAAAAAAAATCAATCTCTTAAAGTTGAACCATGTAAATCAAATCAAATCAAATCGAAAAAAAAAGAAAAAAGAAAAAAAATAGACCACTTGTATAAAAAACCCAAGAAACCAACCAAAAATCACAAAATCACAAACCAAAAGAACCAAAAAACTCTAAGATAATAAAAGAGATGAACAAACCAAAAAAAGATTTAAAAGTATTGAAACAAGAGATCATTTAAATCAATCCTTCAATTGATCCAACAAATAATTACATTTTCGATCTCTCTTCCAAAGAAAACCCTCAATCCCTCCACCCCTCCACCCCTCCACCCCATCCCCTCTTTCCTTCTCTATAATTTCCACTCAAAACAAACCCAAAGCTTTGCCCGAACTTCCAAACGTTTCCAAAGCATGTAAAATCACTTTCGGGTCCAACTTCAAAGCGTCCCCCAGCGCACCCAAGACTTCATCAATCGGTCCCAATGATCGAAGTTGTAAAGATGAAATCACATTTTCAATTCGAATGATCAAGTTTTCCAAAACGAATCCTAATTCTTCATCTGTAGATTCTAATCTAATAGGATAACTTAATAAATGTGAATGTGGACTTGATTTCATACTGCTTCCTAATCCTCCTGATTGATGATGGTTTGATGATGAAGTAGATTTCGATTTCGGAAATGATAGAGGTGCATGTACATTAGCTGCTGAAACTAAATTCAAAAAAAAATCAATAATCAATATCATGTTCATGTTCATGTTTAGATGAAAAGAGAGTGATCATTTACCAGCTTCTAATCTCAACACAATCACCGCAAGTTGTCTAATATGATTCACATCCACCATCCTAGGTGTAGGTTCATAAACTTCATCAACCTTAGAATCAGGTCCACCTAATGAAGCTCCTTGTCCATTCAATCTACCGGCTAACGCTCTAGGATAAATCAATGACAAAAACTCTGGCATCTCTAATCCTTTCAACCTCTTTTCTCCAATCTCTGAAATCCCAAATCCCATCTTCCTAATCGATGCTACATCTCTTCTAGTAGCTGGATCTAAAACCGTTTCAGCTTCTTCACTCAAAGAAGGTACCACAACCGTTAATGAGTTCGCACCACATTCTTTGTTTTCCTTGACATTCCTTAAACTTTGAGCTTCATCTGATTCTTGATCAAAACATAAAGTCTTCACAATCTCAATCACATCCAATGAAGCCGTAATCTCACCTCCTTTAGCTTCACCCGAGATACGTGCAGATCGATTAACCATCGGTCCAAAATAATCCATTCTTCTGGTGATCGGATCTGCTTCACAATGTGGATTACCCCAATGAATTCCCATTCGAACAGACAAACCTCTATAACACAACAATCCATTCGAATCATAAATCTCCTTTCCATCTTCAGAATCCAAGATCTCCTGTGGCCAATCTTCCCTCAATAATTCAAGTTGTACTGTAAAACACCAAAGCAATGCACTCGTCACTGATGGAAACGAAACCATAAAAGCATCTCCTTCAGTCTTCACTTCATATCCTCCAATCGCTCTTAACTGTCTACGAAGTAATTGATTATGCATTCTCATCGCTGATTGCATTCCTGGATTAGTTTCCCAAAGTGAGGTTGAATTCCTGATATCTGTAAACACCAAAGCTACCATCCCAGTCGGTGGTGCCACTTCTCGATCTAAAAGTGTTAAATACTTTTCCCCTGGTGCATCTGTCAATTGTCCTCTTCTAGCAGCTACTCGAGTGGCTCCATAAGCTTCTTCATCAATCTGAGCTCCTCCGGCTCCTCTATAAGTTAACCTTCTCTTTGCTTTAAACAAATCTCCTAGAGCTACAACCATCACCATCAAATTCGATTCAGCTCCATAAGATAAAGCTAAATCTCTTAATTTCTGTGCTGCCATCATCGGATCCGCTTTACGGTTTTGAGCTCGTGCCACATCTACAGCAGCTTGATAAGTAATATGTGACCAAATCCCTGCATTGGCAATAATAATCAATTCATCATCTTCCGAAAGCTCAATGGTTTGTACACTCGGTTTCGAATTGATCGCTGGATGAACATGAAAATATCCAAACGATCTTGACACTTCTACTTCATCTGCTACTAATCCTTTTTGTGAAACCCATCCTTCAGCCGATCGAATCCTTTCAATCTCAACCGAATCAAACGGATCATGTTTATGAGCAATCGGATGAGCCGCTCCTCCTCTCTTTGCAATCACTGCCAATGCATCTCCTACATTCGCCACATAAACTGTCTTCTTAGCCACATAAACTACTACACCAGACGCTCCACATTTCCCATCAGCATATCCGTTCGTACCGGTGATACTAGGTCTTTCACTCGTCAATAAACTTCCACTCGATCCTTTTCTTCTTCCTTCGAATTGAGAAACCACCAGGTTTCCATAATCTCGATTGATATTCAAAAACGCTCTTCTCAAAGCTTCCGAAACCGATTCACCTTCTCTTAATCTTCTTAATTCAGATGAAAGAATCGATGAAAAACCATCATGTAAATACTTGGCTAGTTTCCCACCCGCAAAGGCCGTCTTTGAATGAGCATCAAACAATCCAAAGAGTGATTCATCATCTTTATTCCTAAACCTAGAAACCACCATATCTAATCCTACCACATTATAATCTTCTCTTCCCATCGAATCAGCTATCCCATATCCCATCGAACTCACTTCAGATTGAGTGACTCGAACCCTTCGATCTTCACTTTCATCCGGTACAGATGGTGTAGTGAGCGTTACATCCATTAATCCTAATAACCTTAACCTTCTTAATGCATTGAAATTCGATAAATTCTTTCGTTTAGCCGTCGCAATCGCATCTTGTTGATTTCCAGCTGCAGGTTTGATTTCTAATCGTTTATTTCCAGATAAATTCAAATACTGTAAATCCAAATTCCAATTCCTACACACCCAAAAAAATCCATCCAAATCAATCAGTATACATCAAATTGAAAAAACAATAAGAAGAAAACCCCTTACCAATTCCAATCATAAGGCCAATTAGTAACATTATACTTTAAAACATTACTAGAAACATCCAAAGATTCCAAATGCTTAAGTTTCCCCAATTCAGCCGGTAAAGTTTGAAGTTTATTTCCATTCACAAACAAAGTTTTCAATCCAATCAAATTTTCAAAATCTTCACCTGGTAAACTCGTCAATGAATTCCCACTCAAATATAATTCTTCTAATGATTCACATTTACTTAACGTTAAGGATGGAACTTCATAAAGATCATTAAATGATAAGTTCAAAACTCTTAATTCACTTAATAATGAAATCGGACTAAACACATTGTCTCCTAATCCATTATCTCCTAAAAATAATTCTTGTAAACTTTTCGATAAGGGTGGTAAACTTCTACTAACCGATTGACTCGAGTTCGAATGACCAATTCCTCCAGATGAACCTCCTCCTCCTCCTGAACCTGTTCCAGCTGCTGTTGCCACATTATTAGTTTTCATCGAAGGGATTGAAGCTTTCCTTTTCATTTCTTCCTGAGTAAGACTTTCAGCCAAAGGAGGCATAGGAAACTCTTCAATCAGATTCGAACTAGCATTCAAGACGATCAATTGAGAACAATTCCAAATCGTCTTTGGCAAAGCACTCAAATTATTATTAGCCAAATCCAATGTATGTAACCTTTGAAGTTGTCCAATCGATTCAGGTAACGAAGTCAGTTGATTGTTTTTCATTGAAAAGTTTCGTAAGTTGGTTAATTGATTAAACGAATCACTAAACGATTTGATTTGATTGTTATCCATATTTAAACTTTCACAACTCACTAGAGCATCAAAAAACTCTTGTCCTAAAGATGAGATCTTAGCATGAGAAACATTCAAGGAAACCAACGTCGAACCCGTCCCCACTAAAAGTAATCTAGTAATCGAATTATGACTCGCATTCAGTTCGGTGAGCGAATTGAAGGCTCCATCTAAGATCGTCACCCCATTGTTTTCACACAAGAGTTTCTTGAGTTTAGGTAATTCACTAAAGATCGCAATGTCCCCTAACATACACCTTCGACAATCAATCTCTCTAAGTTGTCTTAATCCTACAAACGTACTTGGAATGGTTGAGATCGGATTAGCCAAGATAACGAACCTTTCCAAGTTCTTCAATTGTCCAATCTCAAATGGTAAAACAGTGATCATATTAAATGAAATATCTAAATCTACCAATGATTCAATTTCACAAATGATTAATGGTAAACTTTCAAACTTGTTGTTCGATAGGTTCAAGAGCCTTAAAGATTTAAACGTTTTAAAATAATCCGGTAAGTTCCATAACCGATTATTATGAACCTTGAGTGCCATGAGATCAGTTAAATCATCTAATCTTGCATGTTCTAAATCGACAATCCGATTGTTTGATAAATCCAATCGACTTAAACTATGACACTGTCGAATCGATGGATGTACCCGTTTCACTCCCATATAACATAATCTTAATTCTCTTAATGAAGTACAGAGTTGAATGAAATCCGATGGAATGTCCAGTTTAGGATTTCTTGATAAATTCAGGCTGACTAATAAAGGCGCATGTTTAAATAAAAAGATCGGGATCGCTTGAATACTTCTAGCTTGTAAATCTACATATTCTAAGTTCCCTTGAAAATCATCATCCTATCAAAAAAATTCAATCAAAAATCGTCAAAAAAAATTCTTGTCTCTCTTCATACATAATTTGATCGAAAAATCAAAAAAAAAAAAAAAACTCTTACACCTCCCACTGCAGCTAATGATTCTTCTTTATAAACAAACTTAATCAAATAAGAATAATCAGCTCTTCCCACATCATCTAATCGATCAGCCATAGTATAACCAGCTTGTTCAAGCCGACGTCTTTGAAAGATCAATGGTTTTTCATTCGGTGCTGCCACTCGTTCTAAAAAAACACCATCATCATTTCAATCAGTTTTTCCTTTTTGTTTTTTCGAGTATCAAACTTTAATTTACCTAATCCTCTTTCTTTAATGTATAGTTTATAACTTGCAGGTGGTTTTTGGTTAAACAATTTCCGTCCCAACTGATGACAAATTTCAGATGTAGTATAAGTAAGTGGACAAGAAAGAGTAGCAAATGATCCATCAGATCTCGAAATCCTAATCGTCCACTATCAATACCAAAAAAATCAAAAAAAAAATTAGTTCACGAAGACCTGATGGGGGAAAAAAACCAACGGACCGGTTTACTAAGATCAGTCCCCAAGCTTCTCGAAACACTTCCCATCTTCCCATTCACGACCGATCCGCCCACCATTCCCGCAGCCAACCCACCCACAACTCTGGATGTCGAAGAACTGCCAGCCTCCGATCCATTATGAATAGAATTCCCACCTGTATCTGAAGGTCTCCTACTCGAAGGTGTAAGTGAAGACGAAAGGTTAGGAGTCGTCCCATTCGATCCACCTATTCCTACAATCCCTCCGTTCTCTTCTATCGATCCTAGTCTACCACGTGATCCGATCGTCAGGTTTCCCACTGTGTTACTCGGGTTCAGTGAGCTGGCATGGGTATGGTTCGGATGTGTTGTACTACCACCTGGAAGTGATGGATGAAGACTCGAGCCACTCATACTTCGTACAGGTAATGGGTTAGGTAAATCTAATGCATGTTCTGCTTCAAGTAAGGGTCCATGTTCGAATTCTCCAATCAACATCCCTTCCTCATCTTCCGATTCATCAGCATCCAAATCATCCCCATCCTGGCCTTCTAATGGGTTCACAGCCCAACTTTCAGGTGCCGTCCATCCTGCTCCTCCAATCGTAGGTGTCATGTTCGTCCCTCCTGGTACCGGTGCCGTATTCGTGGACATGCCAAGTGGGTTAGGTCCACTAACCGTTGGAATCGAATTCAGAGCTAAAAAAAATCCAAAAGTCAATCACACAAACCCATCAAGAAAAAATGGTAAAAGAGACTGACTATGTATACTTGCATGACTACCTGTACGTTCATGATGAGTTTGAGATTGGGATGGATCTCGACCGCCTTGGGCTCGTTGTAGATGAGGTGATGGATTCGAAGAAGGATCTTGATGAAGTTGTTCAACCGAATCAATCAACTGTCGATCGGATTCCAAAGTCCCATTCCGAGCAGGCAGAAGATGATGATGATGATGATGAAGATGATGTGTAGGACCTTCAGCCGTACTAGCCAAACCAAGTGTACGACCCGGATGAAACGGATCAGCAAAGAGAGTACCACCTGGCGTGGTAGAATCATGTTGAGGGTTCGGATGAGGAGGACTACTGGTATGGTTAAACCCAGTAAGCGGATCACGAGGAGGAATGTTCATGTTATTAGTAGTCACTGCACTCATACTACTGTCTCTTCGAAGTTGAAACATTAAATCACGATCGATGATGCCTTCCATCTCATCCAAGTTGGTATCCAGTGCGATCAGTTCTCCATCAATCCCATGATTACCCAGACCATTAAGATTAGAAAGAGATGATTTGTTAAGTAGATTATGTGAATGATTAGGATGTAAATCTTTGGATTCTGAATGATGATGTTTCGAAGGTTTATCAATCAGTTTCCGAATCCGTTGTTTTTTCGACGTCGTCGTGCTAGGTATGACAGGTACAGGTGGAGCATGAGATCGTTCTTCTTCCAACATGGCTTTGATTTTAGATGATGATGATGATGAAGCCGCTTCATCAGGTAGTGGTAGTGGTGAAGGAAGTGGAGGACCCAAGATTTCATCGGTCGTATTCAAATCCACTCGACTCGCCTTTTTACGTAACTTTCCAAAGAATCCACGTTTCTTTGTACTAGGAGGAGTTTGAGAAGGAGTGAGAGCGGTGGCCATGTGATGATGAGGTGGAGATCCAAAGGTAGAAGAGGATGAGATGTTGGGAGTTTGGTATGAAGGTTGAGATGGACGATGATGATAAGAATGAGATAGTTGATGATGATTAGATTGAAATGAATTGAGAGTAGGAGAATCGAGAGCGTTGGGAAGAAAGTTGTGATGAGTTGTATGAGGTGATTGTTGTTGTGGTTGTTGTTGAGAATGATGAAATGAAGAAGGCATTGGTTCATCACATGAAGCTTGATGAAGATTAGGATTGATGTTGGCGTTTGAATCTCTTTTTGAGATGGGATGGTGAAGATTGGATGAGATGGTAGGACGTGATGATTGAGTTTGAAGTTGATGAAGTTGATGATTAGAAGTAGAAGAAGGAGAAGAAGAAGAATGCTGAGTTCTTGATGGTAAGGTAGAGACGTGTATTGTGTTTGAAGAAGTAGATTGAGAAGGAAACTAAGAAATCAAAACAAAGCATAGAGTCAGTGTTTGAGATTAAAGAAGAAGTAGAGAAAGAGAAGTAGATACCCTTTCAGATTGATCGATTGTTTGATAAGGTCTGTTTAGATCAGGATTGATAGGATAAGAGTTTGAATGATGATGATGATGAATTGAGATTGGATGATGATCAAGAACCATATCAAGCTGATGATGATGAAGATGATTTGATATGATTGGGATTGGTTTTGGATGAAGATGAGTAGATTGAATATGAGTAGAAGGTAATGATTTTTGAGTTAGATTGATAGGATGAGGTAATTGATGATGAAGAGTTGAAGAAGTGATAAGATGATTTGATTCATGAGTAAGTGAAGTTGAAGTGCTAGTACTGTTAGCAGTCGTATTGTTACTTCCTATACTTGAAATGATAGAAGAAGCTGAAGAAGAGATTGATTGATTATGATGACTGATTTGATTGAGTGGTGGATTAGTACTACTACTGCCGCTTTGTAGATAGTATGAATTGCAATAAGTTGGATTCTGATGAAGACCACTACTATTGTTTAATTTGATCGGTAATGATAATGGTAATCCTAATCCTAATCCTGTACTTGATTTTAATCTTTTGATTCGATTTCGTTTGATCTCTTCTATTCTTACTGGTCCTGGTCCTACTCCTACTCCTACTCCTACTGAACCTCTTGATGGTGTTGGTGTAGTAGTAGTAGTAGTAGTAGTAGTAGTATTTGCAGTTTTGATAGTTGAACTGATTGGTTGTGGTTGTAAATTTGATCTTCTTCTTCTTGTGATGGTAGTAGAGGGTTGAAGTGGTTGATGATCAGTTGAGTTCATTCTAGTGAGATTAGTACTTGGTGTGAATTGACTGATTTCAATCTTAATTTCATTATTTGATCGATGATTTCGATTAATCTGTCTTCTTCTTTCAATTTCTTTAATTTCTTCATTCATCATCGATTCACTTCTTCAGATTTAAATTGGTTTCTTCTTTTTTGAGTAAATTTTGATCATAGACTATTGGTAAATTCACTTTGAAAGATCGTAGTAATAATCAGAATCAGAAATGAATTAATCAAATGGTAGTCAACAAATCAGATTCTTAACAAATCTTTCAATTTTACAACCAATACAACTCATCTCTCGGAACAATAGATCATCCTTTTCAATTGATCTCATCCTTGACATCTGTTCAACTCTTCAATCCATCGATTCGATTCAATTCAATTGATTACACCACGGGGTAATCCATACCGTCGTTCGGCGGCCATGGAATACCGCCGTACGGCGAGATTTGCTTGGTGGTGGACGCTCGCCGCCAGATGGTCAGTGGCGCGGCGGTCGAACGGCGAGATCGCCTTACCGCCGTTAGACAAGCCATCCGGCGGCCTACAGACCGTTTCCGAGGAGATGTTTCCGACGAAGTTTATGTGCCGATCATTGGGGAGCTGATCGAGAGAACCTCTTCGTTCCCTCCCATAGCCACGCCATCCACCCCTGGTGGGTTAAGGCATCGATGTTGAGGAAGATGTGGAGGAGCTCCCAGACCAAAGAATGGATTCTGGGAGCTCTCCCGCTGTCAGAATAAAAAAGGGAAAGTGACAACCACGTCTATGGAGGCAATTGTGAAAACCGGACCTTAACTTCACAGCCTCCGGTTTCACATTCCTTGAAGACATTTCCTCTTACCGTCTTCTGCTCGCCAAAAGACTGGTCAACCTCTCGCCAGGCCCACCAGACGGCCTACCAGCCAAAATCTGGCCAAAATCCCAGCTTTTGACCGGAAATCAGCTGGTATAGCCGTACCAGCCAAAATCTGGTCGAACGCTGGGATTTTGGCGAGCGTTCGGCCAGATTTCGACACGACCAACTTTTTGCTGGTATTCCAACGAAAAGTTACCCCGTGGTGTACATATATCTATCTATCTACACTCTTACTTTAGCTCAACTTAATCTCAATACATACTACTTACTCTTTATCTCACAAATCTCATCTCCATCATTATCATCATCATTCTCTCAATCAGTCTGCCGTTTCCTCAGTCTCACTCTCTATCAGTCCAGACTTCTTGGATGCCTAACTCCGCTAATCACATCAAGTTCTATAGATCAAGTCATTTCAGAACCAATCAAGAAAGCTTAGGGCCCGTTCGGTAGGAAAAGTGATATACTGTTACTGAAAAACGGTATATCGATCTGCCCCTACAACAAGGGGCAGATTGAAATACCGTTTTTCGGTCTTGTGACTTTACCAAACACCCGATCAAAATGGTCATCGAAAGATCAAAATGATCTTTGTTGACCTTTTGATGACCGTTTGAGTGTTCGGTAACGACAATTTGAAATGAATATAATGATCAAAAATCGAAAATCGTTGGGCGGTTTTTGAGAACGATTGAATCAGTTTCGATTCCATCCATCCGTCCATCCATCTCATCTCATCTCATCATCGTGGTCATCAACCACTCATCATCAACTCAAAACCCATCCCTTTTTTAAAAATTCACTCCTCGTGTTCATCACTCATTTGTTTTGAATAAAGTTCATATCATTCAACTCATTTTAAAAACCACTCATCGTGGTCATCAACCACCTAAAGGGTTGGTTCATTTGCCAGTGTCTCATTCAGATCACATAAGTTTACACCATGGAGGGCCTTTCTCAAGTTCAAGCTATCAGAGCTGAAAAACGTGTTAAACATAGAAAAATCATTAAATTACAATTTCTAAAAGAACTTCTTGCAGTTCAACAAAAGCAATTTCGAGTTTTTTCTTACTTTAGCACTAGTGTACAGGCCTGTATGTCACAGATGTTGCCTAAACTCACCAAAACTCCACGACTCACGTCCTTGCTCAGCGGTCAGATGTGGATTGATGAGCTCATTCATCATCCAAATGAATCAGTATTTCATGATAATCTTGGAATGCGTAAACATGTCTTTTTCGAACTACGCTCCGTTCTTGAAGACTCTGGAATATTGAGTGACTCCCGTTGGGTTACCAGTACGGAAAAGTTGGCACTCTTGCTCTATAGTGTCATCACTGGCCTGTCAAATCGTAAACTTCAGAACCGTTTTCAAAGATCAGCTGATACTGTTTCTAAGTGAATTTTTTCATTCTTTTTTTTTGAATTTTCTCATCACTCTTTCTGACATGTCTTCTTTTGACTAGGACAATCAATCAGCTTGTTAAAGGAATATGTAGTGATGGAAAGTTACTTGGCAAATATATTCCTCTTCCGAATGCCAACACTCCTCTCACGGATACCTTCTCCGAGAATCCGAAGTTCATGCCTTATTTCAAAGACTGCATTGGTGCAATTGACGGTACACACATTCCGGTCACTCCGCCAGCTTCCGAGTTTGTTCCGTTCTCTAATCGTAAAGGCTACACTTCTCAAAACGTCCTTGCTGCCTGTAATTTCAACATGGAGTTTATTTATTTATTGGTTGGAGCCAAAGGAAGTATGGCCGACGGTGCTCTTTGGACTTTGGCTCGAAGTCGTGATCTTACGATTCCCGCTGGAAAGTATTATCTTGGTGATGCTGGCTTTGCTCTCACCAAGGATTGTCTTGTTCCTTTTCGAAAAGTCCGTTATCATTTACAAGAATGGGAAAAGAAAGGTTTCAGGTGAGATTGATTTCTTTTTCATCATTTTCATGCTTTTCTCTTTTTTATTCTTCTCAACCACTTCTTTTATTCACTTGCAGACCTGCCAACAAAGAAGAGTTGTTCAACCTTCGACACGCTAGTGCACGCAATGTCATCGAGCGCATCTTTGGAGTTTGCAAGAAGCGCTTCAAAATCATGGCGCACGGGTGTGAATACACCATTGAGATTCAAATTGCTATGGTTACTGTCATGTGCTTTATCCACAACTTCATTCGAGTTAAAGACCCAAAAGGTTCAGCGGAAGAATTCCCCGAGTTTGGTGAAGGATTTATGCCGGATCCTCAAGAAGCAACAGAACCCGCTACTCAAGAAGAGATTGGTGGTCTTGAGGCCTTTGGTAGCACGGCTGAAGGTAATAACTATGCGAAGAATCTCAGAGATAGAATTGCAGAAGACATGTGGAGAGATTATTTAGTAGAAATTGAAAGACAAAAAAAAGTAAATCGAAGCAAACAAAGACATGGACAACCTCCTATGTATCCTGGTATTTAAATCATATGTAGCACTTTTAATTCTTAGTTTGCAACTCTCAATCAATCAAAGCATCTTTATCTTATACATGTATTATTCATTGCAAGTCTCAGTTAAAATCATTATTATCTTACATGTATCAATCAAATATTTCACTTTGGTTTGTTCAATGAAAAGAATCTTTTCATTCAGTATTTTTTAATTCATGAAAACACTTGTACTCATCAACATTTCAATAACTAACCAATCAGACAGTCACTATTACATTTGTATTAGCATGTATACATACAAATGTAGGTAATAATATTTTATTGAATGGTTTAATAAGTTTTATTTAATCAGAGAATCACAGTCACTACATTTTTTATTGAAGGGTTTAATAAGTTTTATTTAATCAGACAGTCACACAGTCACTACATTTTTTATTGAAGTTCTTAAAGTATTCTTTGAGATCAGGAAGAGTCACTACTACATTTGTAAGAGCATGTATGTATTAAGATGAGTTAATAATATTGTAAACTTGATCTTCAAGGGACATGATCAATGGAATCATCAAGTCAGTAGGTATATATTAAATAAGTAATCAAGAAGTTCTTAGACTTACTTTACTTGTTGAGGATGTATAGGAGCCAATCGCCACGTTCATTAGCTGGCGTGTTAAGGTACGTTTCGGCCATCACAGGCTTCGCAGCAAACAGATCTACAGCAGCATAGCATTGAGGACGAGTCATATCGGACGCATAGACCAGCTTGACCGCTTGAGCATGAGATGATGCAGGTTCAGTAAGGGATTGGGCCACATGGTTGATGTTGGCTGAGCTTGAGGTGATGGAGGACTCGATGGTTGATCCAAGTCTTGCATAGTACTCGAGAAGTTGTCCATTATCTCGATTCCTGATCGTTTTTTCTTTTTGATGGGAGCACGGGCAGCAAGGGCAACCTTGGACTTGCGGTGTCGTTTAGCAGCGGTAGTATTGTCTTCTGAGCTGGACTCGTTGATGTCATGTGAATCGACAGGAGGTACAAAAGGATCGGAATGAGGAGATGAGCGAGGAGACAAGTGAGGAGAGGCAAAGGGAGAGGGCAGAGAGGAATGCCTCGGTGGAGGTGTGTTGTGGGGTTCTTCGGAATCCTTTTCGATGATCGATTGTTGAGGTTCCTTAACAATTGCGCTGCTAACATACTTAGCAGTGGCTTTGTGTCCTTCCAACAAAGGAGCAAGCGAGTTGAATAGATGAAACGGTCGGCCTCGGCATTGTAAGAGCTCCTTAGACTTCCTGCTCTGAAAGCCGAAGTTGTAACATCAACAAATTATTAAAAAAAGAAACAAAAGGAAAATCAATACGTACTTGATCAGCGATGATTGGCGCCCAAACCGCATCGGGTAAAACGACACAGCCATCCTCCCAGCCAGCGCCACTCAGTCCATTGAGGTACTTGTAATCCGCGTATAGATGAGATAACTAAAGTTGAAAGAAGGCATCAGTTAGAACCAAGAAGTGATCGATAGAAGTGATTGATAAATGAAAGGATACTACTTACCACATACCAGCGGGATTTACAAGCCCCGATCTTTTTGACGCCAGTGATATGCTTGACACCAGCAACGGTCTTGACCTCGCTTCCGGCGAGGCGTTGGACCACGTTGTTCCAGGTGGTGGGCTTCCACCCTTGAGCACTGGTCGCGTTCTCAGGTGTGATTGGACCGCTGGCTGGCTGACGTTCGGCAGTGAGGACGTCGATCATCGCTTGATGGTTGTCTTCGGTCCACTTGGCACGGAGATTTGGGGTCTTCGGTGAAGTTTCTTCAGTATCCTCGATCGGATTTGATATAGAGGATGGTTTAATAGCGGTGGAAGTAGAAGGCGAAACAATCAAAGGTCGGATGGCTCTCGGAGCTTGCTTCTTGGGTTTCTTGCTGCTACTCATAGTGGTTGAAACGAGGATTGAAATAGGACTAAGAACTAAGAGCTGGAAAATAAGAGATAGGACTAAGAACTAAGAGCCGAAAAATAAGAGATAGGACTAAGAACTAAGAGCTGAAAAATAAGAACTAAGACGAGGATAGGAATGACTAAGAACTAAGACGAGGATAGGAATGACTAAGGACTAAGACAAGGATAGAAATAAAGAAGAAGAGTCGGATTAGCCTACGACTATCAAAATCGAAAGGTGGTCTTGAAAGGGAAAGGGTGATGAGCATTGAACGAGGATGGATAGGACGGGATCAAAATGAGAACTAAGACAAGGATAGGAATGAAGAAGAAGAGTCGGAGATTTTGTTTGACTGAGCTATGAAAATGGTGACGAGCAAACGAGGAAGGATGGATGGATGATACATATGTATGGTAAAGGGAAGAGTATGGGGGTGAAAGAGCAACATGGAAAAGGAAGAAGGTGATATGGAAAAGAGAGAGGGGCAGATATCGTTTTTCGGTCTGATATACAGCCAAAAGGCTGTATATCAGAATCGAATATTATTTCATGATATACAGTATATTGTTTTGGAGAAAAGGATCTCCCGAACAACCCTCTATTTTGGGAATTTCAATATACGTATATGCTAATATACAGTATATTACTTTGGTGTAGTATGTAGCGATATATGTATATCGTGCGGTACCAAACGGGCCCTTATCAAGCCGTGTGACAATCATCAAAACTAAGATCATCCTGCAAAATATCTATGATTCATAACAGGAAATTAATAGCCAAATCAAAAGTACACTTTAGACGCTCAAGAACACCCTATCCAAAACTGTTCTTCAATCAGTTCTTCAATAAGCATTACCTTTACTAGTCTGTTCATCATACCCACCAAGTCCAATAAACCAATCAATCAAAACCCATTCACAAATTCCAAAAAAGCCAAAGAAATTCTTACCATCTCAGCCTGAAGTTTCAATGCACGTGGTGCATCTTCTTTTCCCAGTTTCACTTCTACAAGTTGGATCACATCAGCTTTTCTAAACCCAGAATCTTTTAATAAACCAACCAATTCATCATATCTTTCGATTCGATATGATCTTGTAGTTGGATTCTTTTGAGGATTGAAAAGATCTAGGATTCCAGTCCAGACCCATGGTTGGATATCATTCTAAAAAAAAATCAAGTTCATCATTTTACTGATTCAATGCCTAATCTGGGTTCTGGATGAGAAAGATTGGAAATTGACTAACATATTTCCGTTTCATTCCATGGATGACTATCAGATCATCATGATCATAAAATCATCAACTTAAAGCTTCAAATATTATAATCGGATCTAAACTCACATCTTTCAATACTATATCCATCATTATTTAAAACCACAATAATAGGCTTAACTCCGACCCGAATCATCGTACTAATCTCTTGAACAGTAAGTTGTCTTTCAAACATCAACAACACTCAAATCAATTTCCAAATTATATGATAATCAAACTTAAGCCTAACAAAGAGTGACTCAACAAACTACCATCACCAATAAACAAAATCGTTCGTTTCCCTTGCTCAGCTGCTGCTTGGGCTGCACCTAAGCAGGCTCCAGTGGTCCATCCTACATGGAAGAAGACCAGTTCGAAAAAGGTTTCATCAGTCTTGAAGTTGAAGCCTTTCACTTGAACCTAGATCGATGTACAAACTCACCTATACTACCCCACAAGACTTGAGACAAAAACGAAGCACCATCCGGAAACTTCACATCAAGTAATCCAAAGCTACTAGTACCAGTTTCACCCAAGACGACATCATTGGGTTGAAAAAAATCTTGAGCCCAAAGTGGCCAAAACTGATCTTGAGTTATCAATCCATGATTCTTCTGATCATCTTTTGTAATAAATCTTGGATTTAATTCTTCTTTTCGGATAGTTTTTTTGGGTAAAGATGAAAGGGTTTGGGTTAAGATTGGTAACAGTTGACGGAAGCCAAGGTCTGGATAATGGGCGTATTGGACTATTGTTTCGGATGAATGTAGTTCTACTCTTGTAGAGGATTGTAAATTGTACGAAAAGTTACCTGTGTTGACTACCAAACCATTACGCCAAATAGACATCAACACCATATACTAGACCAATTCTTGCACAAAAGAGAGTTTGGACCACTTACAATCAGACATGATAGTACCGATACATATAATCAAATCTGAACTTTCTACTTGTTCCTTAACACCTGCTACGGTGATATCACCCACATAAAGTCCTCCGAACAAAGGATGTGATTCATTGATGATAGTCTTACCCATTGGAGTAGTATAGACTGGAATCTGAAGTGCTTCAACTAATTTGATGGCTTCTGATTGGACTCTGAACCGATCACAACAAGCGTCCAACTTGAAAAAAAAATCCAAAACCCAGAACCCAGAACCAGAATCACTTAGTTTGAAGTTCATTTTTTCAAGCATGATCAGATTGCTTACCATAAGAATTGGTCGGTTTGATTTCACAAACAATTCACTAATCTGTTCCACAACATGTTGGATAATCTTCGGATCAAGTTTAGACTCTAAATCAATCAAGACTTGATCTCTTAAAGACTTTTTCAATGAACCAGAAGACACTTTCATATAAACCAAATCGGTTGGTAAGGTTAAATAAACAGGTCTAGAATACCTTAAGGCAGATCTTAAGATCCGATCGATTTCTTCGGTTGGATTGGTGTGTTTTGTTAAGAAAGATTGAGCACAGGTGAGTTGTTTTGATATCTTTTTAAAGGCGTCGAACCCTATAAGAACGTAATTGATCAGGAAACCCATTTCAAAACATCTCGAGTTAAATCATTTTTAAGAGTTTGTAGCAATAATGTCTTCATTGAAACTTACTTCCATCACCTAGAGTGTGATGCAAGATTGCATGATCGGCTTGTAAAGTGGTGGCTGGAACACCTACTAGATGGACTACGGGAACACGCTCGGAATGTGCACCCGCTAGTTCCACAGACAAAAAAGAGCGTATCAGAGCTTCCCAGGCCTAAGTCTTTCGAGACGATAAATAAATCATCCAAGTCAAGGATGCACAGAAAAGTTAATATATACCAATTCCATTTGATGCTGAAAGCTCTCCTACTCCAAATGTAGTGACAAGACAGCCTATTCCACCTAAGAAAAATGTATGACAGAGTCCAATCAAAGGGGAATGGATCAGTCAACGAACCAAATGAAAATTTCTTGTGAGAAGGAGAAAGACCTTGTGAAACTCGAGCATAACCATCTGCAGCGTAACTTGCATTTAATTCATTACAACATCCTACCCAATTTAAATCCGGATGATCTTCAATCAAATCAAGAAACCCAAGACTGAGACCCCAAAAAAAAGAGAAAGTACTCATTTGAAATCAGAAAGCTGAACTTTTTATATGAAAACAATGGGATAAGCTTAGAATATCAAATTGAAAATTCACTTACTTGTAGTCGCCTGGAACGCCGTACACTTGTTTGATACCTAATTGAGACATCCTTTGGAAGAAAATGTTTATAATCTTTCGAGTGTTTAGTGGGTACTTGGGAATGGTTTGCTGGGATATCTTACGTACCTAGATAAAAAGTATTCTCCTTGAAAAAAGAGAAGAAAGATAAAGATGAGGTGAGTTTGGGATGTAGGATGTAGGATGTTGGATGGAAGTTCATATATGATTCGAGTGATGGAAAGTATTTAACGAACCAACTGTGATTTGATGATCATCATTGGACTGAGATTGAGACTGAGACTGAGATTCAGGGTTTGGAGTGGTCATGATGAAATGAAGAAAATGAAGAAAATGGGAGAAAAGTTTCAAAGATCACTTTTTCACTTGATCTCTCTTGATTCTTGAACGTATGAGGTTCTTTGGTTCTTTGGTTCTTTCTCCTCTTCTCTGATTCTTAAATGATTTGCAAGGGATGATGTCATCTTTACATACTTTGCTCATATGGGATTTTCTTATTTTTACATATATTTGAACTTTGTGGATTTTGCACATGAAACTTGAAAATTATGCAAGAGCTACGAAATTAGAGATCTTATGTGAGGGCTGATCATCAGCTTGTGATGAGTCAAGTCTTACGAGAAATCAAGATAGGATGGTCAGCTGGTAAAAAATTACGGATCAAAAATTATGCGGGTTGAAGAAACACGATTCTGATCAAGGGAAACCTGCCCGCGAGTATTTATCGTATACTCGAGAGGAGACCGTGAACGGGTCGGAGTCTCACCGAAAATAAATCGTTCGACGGGTACTGTGGTATCATCTTGACGTTAAATATATCAAGCGATCAGAATTCCACAGGATGGTCAACACCTTTTACGAATTTTCAACCAACGATTTTGTTTTTCGACCATCGATCAGCCAACAATAGACGATGGGAAATTCCCCATCCAACAATCTTGCACGACCAACAGCCTTGACGTTGGATAGTTTTGTATCTGAATTAGGCAGTGATGTGATTTATGAGAAATCGTCAGACTACTTTCCCTACCATTTCATTTTATGATTCAAGAAGTTTATATAGGAGGATGGAATGTTTTTGAAAAAAAGTTTGAGATTCGATCTTGCTTTTTTTTGCTTAAGATAGTTTAGGTACCACTAGGTTTTTGAAAACCATTCGAGCTCGTCATCAACATGGTCGGATTGTCGTCAAGGTCTTTGTGAAAACTGATCCTTCTTATGGGCTAAAGGCTTATCTCAAGCGACTCAAAGGTAGCATTTCAACTTGAACTTTTTTCAATCTATCTTGAGAAATTGAACTTAACACGATCTCGTGTACTTTTCGTCTCTTGATTTTTAAAGCTGAGCGCGAACTACTTCAAGGAATTCCGAATGTGTTGACTTATCAACGATCGGTGGAAACGGAAAAAGCTGGATATCTGATTAGACAATGGCTCGCCAATAACCTCTATGATAGGATCAGGTAATCAGTTCAACAATTTCATGAGATTCAGGATCAAATTTTGAATTCAAACTCTTGCAAACCTCGTAGTACTCGACCATTCTTGAGCATCACTGAAAAAAAGTGGATTGTCTTTCAGCTACTGACAGCACTTCGTGAGTCATGGAAACAAGGGGTACGTTCTCTCTTCAGATCTGATACAACATGAACTCACATAGCTTTTGTTGGACGTATAGGTCGCGCACGGCGATATCAAGTCGGAAAACGTGATTGTCACCTCATGGAACTGGGTCTTCCTGACCGACTTTTCCACGGCTTTCAAACCAACATATTTACCTGAAGACGATCCAGCCGACTTTTCATATTTTTTCGATACTTCATCACGAAGATCATGTTACCTAGCACCCGAAAGGTTTTTCACAGTGGATAAAGATACAGATGGTTTGGATAAAGCGAATGTGACTCAAAGTATGGATGTCTTTAGTCTTGGATGTGTGATTGGTGAATTGTTTATGGAAGGAAATAGTCCATTTACTCTCAGTCAGATGTTTAATTATAAATCTGGAGAATATGATATCGAACCTTACTTGCGTGGAATTGAGGATAACCGAATCCGCGTAAGTCTTTCAGAAAAAAAAACTACTTTTACCATGAACAGGGTATGTGTGCTGACTGGTGACCTCATCCTGGCATTAACTCAGAACTTGGTACGAAGTATGATCCAGCTAAATCCTGAAGAACGTCTGACCTTTGATGAATATCTCACAGATTGCCGGACCAACAAAACATTTCCGAATTCATTTTATGTTTTCTTACATCCTTTCATGTTGGGACTTCAAGAGTTGACAACTTCACTTGCGCCATTTACCTCCTCAAGAATCGCGAGTGACAATGGGACCGGTATGAGAGAAAATACCCTGAGGGGCGAAGGATTTGGTCAAACATCTGTACTGAGGAATCACTCTGATGAGATCATTGAGATGGTATGGAGTGACTTCAGCTATGCTTCAAAGTATTTCTGGGTAAATAAGAAGAAGAAACGTGCAGGAGGGAATGATGACATGGATGATGACCATCATCCAGAGCATCATCCAGAGCTCGACCCTTCTGGTAATGAAGCCGAGACAACTAGCAAACGCGCATCCCGTCATACAACGGTGAGCATGTTTTCACCAACTGTCTGCACGATGAGGTTGAACAATCTACTGACGCAAATTGGATCAGGCTGATTTCCCTTTGCAGGTATATATCCCAGGCTATCAGGCTGACTTGCAAGCAAAACCCACTACTTTGAAGTCGAACACAAGTGGTCAGTTGAGGTAGATCTCGTATGGAAAGCAAAGAGATAGATTCTGACACCGTAATTCGCTTCTCCCTCCAGACGACGTTGCTCTCATCATGCTCTCACTGGTATCCTCCAATATTCGAAATTGTTCACATCCTGGGACAATAATCAAAGCATTGGATCTTTATCTAGCTCTGTCGGAGTACCTTACGGATATCATAATACTCGATCGAATCATTCCCTACCTCATTAGCCTTTTGAATGCCAGCGAAATTGACATACACTCTAATCTGGTCAAGAGCAAGACACTGTTCTGCTTGACACAATTGGTAAGTAATCGAACAAATTGATGTATATAGGGTCAGGGTTGATGAGTTTTGCCATGGTGAAACGCATATTCAGTTATTGGGAGTCGACATGATCACCCCTTCCAATTCTTCCTTATTCCCAGAGTACATCCTACCCAATCTCAAGCACTTGATCAATGATTCGTCCGAATTGGTTCGATCGACTATTGGCAGATGCATCGGTCCGCTTTCACTAGTAGCCAAACGCTTCTTGAACTTGACTCAGGTCATGAATCAACAAAAGAGTGGTCACACATCTTTGAAACAGGCTTCTGGCGAAGGTGAAGATCCTGTCGAGGTGAAGATTTCACACCGCACCATCTACTACCATATCGTGACCCATAAGCCTGATTGGAAGTTTTTTTCCTACGGACTTCTCTGCCGTCCAGTCATCTTATGATTACAATCTTAATGAACTACACCGGCAAATTCAAGACTTTGTAGTTTCTCTTTTGACAGATAGCTCTCCAGTTGCAAAGCGCTCTCTGCTTGCCAGTATATCGCATTTGTCCGCTTTTTTCGGTCGGCTCAAAACCAAGTACGTTACAGCGTTCATGATGTGCATATCGTTACCCGATCACTAAACCACGGATTATCTGTAGTGATATCTTATTATCACATACATTGACCTACCTGAATGAAAACGACTGGATGCTGAGGGCAGCATTCTTTGAACATATCGTCGGGATTGTTAATGAAACCGGCCCGGTCAGCGTCGAGGAATACATTCTTCCTTTGATGGTTCAAGCTTTGACAGGTACGTGTGTTGAAAATCGGATCTAAGAAAATGTGCTGAAATCGGTTGGATCTTGAAATCCTTCCAGACTCGGAAGACTTCGTTTCAGTGAGAGTCATAAGCTCGTTAACTGAGATTATTCGAAGAAAATTGTTGAGCAAACCAAGGCTCTGGAAATTGATTGCTGCCGTCATCATTCTTCTTGGTCATCCAAATTCTTGGATTCGCCAAGGTGAGTGGCTGTGCAACATGTCAAGATTGGTTATATATGGTGATTGACGATCATCATCTCCGGTTATTCTCGAAAGCTTCTGCCGAATTGATTGAAGCAGTTTCTTCAATACTTCCTCTAACTGATACATGGTGTATACTCTACCCTGCCCTGCGAAGATTATTGCGTTGTGATATCGAGGTACTGGATCAGACATCTATACTTAACAATTTGAATCCTCCGGTTTGTTGAATCCATGCATTTCTACGTCTACGCGTGAACTCGTCTCAAGGATTTTGTTCGTATACCTAGATGCCTCGAAATGTATATGAAGCTGCCATTGTATGGGCTGGTCGAGGTAAAGGATCAACATTCTGGTATCCTACCGATGAACATGACCATGCTTCCCGACGCGCTCAGCAGACATCGAATCAGACTGCTATGGCCGGTACTTCTGGTCGACAATTTCCACCTGCCGTTGCAACTTCCCCTATCGGACTTTCTGTCGAGTAAGTGGCTCACATTGGTATGACAATGAAAACCCGACTCTGATGTTCCTTTACAGTGACGCTGCGCATCTCGCCAAGCTCCGTCAATTAGGAATGAAGCGCGAAGATGAGGTCAGGCTAAAAGATATGCGGCAGCATATTTTAAAGGTTGCTGATGCGCGTGCACGGTAAGGCCGATCTTGGCTCTCTACGCCATACAATTTGGGGTTGCGCGTTGAAATCTGATCAATGTCTTGGAACGCTAGGCTCCCACCGGCACATCCGACCTTGGAAGCAACGAATTTACTCAACAAGAACGTTGTGTCTTTGCAAGATTTGGGGGTGCTCCTGCATACTATTTTGCTCAAAACGCCATCTGGGACCGAAAGTCACGCGCTGCGAAAAGCAGCAGGCCAATATACTCCTCAGAACTCCTCCAGGACTCTTGATATACCTTTCCAAAGAAAACTATCAGCCGATACGTCTCGGCCACCTTCTTCTACTGAAGTTGATCGATTATACAATAAGATGGACTCGCCTATCGTCTCTGATTTAAGAAGACATCTAGCGCTGAGAAATACTGAAGGTCTTGGTGCGAAACATGCCGATTTACGTAACTTATCTGTACCGCCATCTCATACTAGCCCAAGCAATACAGAACTTCATTCTTTAAGCAGCAGTATCGAGTTGAATTCTCCCAGTACAGCTAGGCCGGTATTAGAATCCAAGCATCCTGGCTCGACCTCAAAAGGTTATGATTTCTCAAAGTCGAATGCTGCAATTGCCAGTGATACGACTCAAGCCTTTGGGATTCTCGATGTTGAAACTCGACGGGAGAATCAAGTCCCTTCTGTTCTCAACTCTCACGCTGGCGAACAACTCTCGGTTCATACAGGCCTACCTATGGGACGGAATCCGTTCATGCTTCAACGATTTAGTAGTACCTATGAAGGTCATGATGCCAACATTCGCTATCTATTGGAGAGAGTGTTTCTAGATAGCTATCGTGAACCGCTGACCGAATTCGGCCCGGTGGTGAGTGAAGGAATACCTCGAAAGAAAGCCTTCCGTTCGATGTTCTCGATCCGCAATAGAGCATCAACATCTAGTAACGGTACCCTTGTGGGTCATCTTGTAGAGCACACCGCACGCATCAGCAGTATCGCCGTCTCTCCAGATTTTGTATTCTTTGTCACTGGGTCTCACGATGGTACGGTCAAAGTGTGGGATTCGATCCGGCTTGAAAAGAATGTGACTAGCAAATCACGTCACACCTATACCCAAGGCGGTAAAATCACATGCGTCTGTGCACTTGAGCATAGTCACTGTGTAGCTAGTGCTTCCACCAACGGTACACTATGGGTTCATCGAATTGACGTGGCGTTTGATGGTCCGATACCTGTCTATGGCAAACGACAATTGATACGACAGCATCAGCTGGAGAACGGTTCTTACATCACCTCGATGCTGCATTACAATACGCCAACGTCGTCAACCTTGGTATTTACCACCAACAGGTGCCAGATTGTATCATTGGATCTCAGAACAATGCGACGCCTACAAACCCTTCACAGTCCGGTGTATCTGGGTCCGTTGACTTGCTTATGCGTAGGGCCTCAAAAGATATGGTCAGTAGTCGGCACAACACGTGGTTATCTAACCCTCTGGGACCTAAGATTCGGGCTCCTTTTGAGGAGCTGGAAAGTAGCGGAAGGTCCAATTCAACAATTGAGTTTACATCCGACGCAAGGTAAAGGACGTTGGATTATCGTCTCAGCTCAATTCGTCTTTGATGAACAAAAACACAAACGACCTACACCCATCTTACAAGTCTGGGATTTGGATAACAATAAGTTGGTCGAGAGTTTTATTGTGTCGAATACCTCGGCGGAAGTTGCGGTTGATCGATTTAGAGCTGAATACGAGCAACATCACATTGGTGTTCATCCTACCGCCAACACCAGCCCAAAGGCAAATCACGGAGCTGTTGACTTGAACGCTTCAAGTGCAATTGAGGCCTTTCTTGCACAGAATACAGTTGACGAGCCAGTTAGCAAGAAGGTATTAGATCCAGAGGCGCCCAAATACCCTCCTCATCTATCTACTGTCTATTCATTTGTGGTGGGGTCGCAGAGCTACGATAGCACCTCGAGTTCTGGAGAATTGGTACCGATGCCTGAGGAAATGAGTATGAAGAGAGCTTTATCTAAACCCGCAGGATACATTCTTACGGCAGGTGAAGATAGAATGATACGCGTTTGGGATCTCTCAGCTGTTGAAAGATCCAATACGGTTTCTGGACTTCATCTTGAAGCTGATCGACCGCATTACAGGTAAGAAGATGATCTTCTTCTAAGCTATCTCACATTGCTGACCAAACTTTTTGGTCACCTTGCCTTTCAATGACTGGTTTAGAGCGGATCAATCTGCTAGTCCTACTCTTTATTTGGAATACACTGCAAAACGTAAAGCTGGAAGCTCAAGTAGGCGACTGGATCCGTCGCGTAACGATCCAGTGTCTACGCCACATAGATCAAATGTTGTGGCTGGATACCAGCAGAGTGTTTTGCAAAACCATTTAGATGCTGTGACGGCTGTTGCGGTCATAGACATCCCATTCCGGTGTATTGTCAGCGCAGATAAAAGTATGTGACTTTTTTTGTGATTCTTCAGCGTTATGTTTCCTTTACTGATGTGTTGTGATATGTTGTGGCATTAGTGGGAAAGATACATGTGTATGAGTATGCTGATCGCACTTAGGCGGTGGCTAGTTTATGTTTCTGATGGACTTGTAAGATTGATAATTTGGCAGATGACTCTTGTTGTATAAGTTAATGAAAATATGGGAGCAATATAAATATTATTTTCATGGGTTCCAAATTTGGGGTTTGACATACCATGATGGCACCTTGTCAAGTACCTCATTGGATGTTTCAACAGAATTCCAGAATCTATTTCAACTTGCATTAGATATCTGTATTTTACACATCAGATATGATACTGCTTGACTGTTGAGAGGTCACACAAATCTTGTAAAAACATGTTTAAACACACTCCATAAGGAGGTCCTATTGCAACGTAGACAATCTATACATGTATTTGTCTCATGAAGTCTATATTTTTTAATCAGCAAACTATCCTAGATAATTCTATCAAGTGATTGGCGAGTATGGACGGATAGGTTCTTCAAAAGCCTGAAAGATGAGATATAAGGCAAAAAGAGAATACGAAGAGACGAGTTAGTATTGAGAAAAGGTAGTCGATTGGATAAATTATAAGGAAAGCAAATAACTCACAGAAAACTTGATCATTCAATTTGCTCACTACTTTACATTTTTCATAATCTAATTCTTCTAAATACTTTTTCATCGCTGTTGTCATTGGAGGAGGACCACATAATAAGATCTTAATAGAATCTTCTGTAGCTGATGGTAATTTTTCGGCAATCATCTCTTTACTAACAAATCCAACCCCACCATTCCATTCTTTGTCAGTGGGAGGGTTGTTGAGAACGTAGTAAACCTATTGATGGCAAGTACCCGATTATTTTCTTTTGGCAAGGATTAGATGTATATGATAAATGAAGTAAGGTAAGAAATGACTTGCCGAGAATTTCTTAGGGTGTTTTGAGTGGATTTCGTCTAGCTCTTGTTTTAAAAGGATATCTTCTTCGTTGACGTTGGCATAGATCAATGAGATTTGAGTGTTGTCCTTAGGATCTTTGGCACAAGCTCGGATGATTTGCTATGATGTTATCGATATGGGAAAGTATAGGTAAATTCACTTAGGATCAATTTCAATGACAAAAGGAGCTCGGAAAGAGGATAGGATGAAGAATGTAAACTGACTAGCATAGGTGTGATACCTGTTCCACCTGCAATCATTCCGATCTTATTGCAAAGCTCTGCATGGTATTTCATTTGTCCTTTTGGTCCTCTCACTTGAATCGAATCACCGACTTGTAAGTTGGCTACATATTTTGATATATTTCCTTGATCGTATGTCTATAAAATATGGATATGATCGAATTTTGAAATTAGGAACAAGGAATATCAAAGAATAGAATCAAAACAGAGTTAAATTCACCTTGATCAATAAATCAAAATAACCTCGATCATCATCACTTGATACAGGGGTATAACTTCTTTGAACGTTTTTACCATTGATTTCAGCACGAATTGAAATATGTTGACCGATAGGAAGTCCCAAAATATGTTTTTCAGATGGTAATGAGAATCGATAGATAGCTGTGTTTGGAGAGATTTTTGTTTTAGATTTTAAAGTGAATGGTCTATAATCTTCTGGTGAGAGAGTGGGTTCGGATTCTAAAAGAAGTGAAAGATATGAAGGTCAGTTTATCATTAGAGTTCATGACTTTCAACATAAGATAGAATGTCACTGACTTGGTGCTAAGAAATATGAAGCCATTGCAAGTGCTACCACAGCCAAGATGATAGGTAAAAGTTGAGTACTATCCATACTGAAACCTTCAAATAGCTGAAGGTGAGCTTTCCTCGGTTGGTATGTACTGGGCAAATATTTGGACGTTGGATGCGATGAGACGTTAGTTTTCAAAGTGTGATGCTGCGATTGGATCGTACATGCAGCAATTTTGGTTGGGGCTATTGGGCCCGTCGAAGCGCCGAAGTTCAAGTGGGGATCGAACGGAACAGCCAAAGCCCACTTCCGCAGCTACACGTTGGTCATAGTGTAGCTAAACAACCGATTCGTCACGCGCGACTTTCTTGCCTCGAACCTTTGCAACCTTAAGCAGGAATCATGACTCTCGAGCGTCACTTGGACGACAATTCACGAAGCTCGAATTAACTGGTAGTGTAAGCTCCTTTGCCTTCAATCCATAAATATCAAAGGGAAGCCTCCTTGTTACAGTCTCTTCCATTTTCCCGGCTTGATCAAATTTTGCAAAAAATAATCTCTTCCTTCATCCACGTCTGACTCTACCTGCTTTAATTTGATTGCTTTTGTTACAAAAAAACTTTCAAACCATGAGGTTTTGCTATCTTCGCGTTGTGAGCCTCCTCCTCTTCCTACTGACCCTGACGTACCAAAAAGATATTCCTTGTAACTCGGTCTGGGCACCAAACATCAACCCCGGACAAGCAAGTCAGTTAGATATCTACCCTTATGTCTCATGCGTCAAAAGCAGACATACAACTGGACTTTTGAAGTGCTGATCCTTGTATCAAAATCATTTTAGTATGCAAGTGCATCGGCCAACCTAAGCGGAGATGTAAAATGGATTCTTGCAAACGTCAGTATCTCTAGTACAGGAAAAAGGTTTCTTTGTGAGGCTTCAGTAGCTTACCCTTTTGTTTCTATACTGAATTTTTTTTCATATCCTTTCTCTCTATGCAGCCATCGTTAGTCAGGTTTCCTGCCCGGACGGCACGACGCATAACTGCGACGGGACACCCACAGCACACGAGTACATCAATAACACACTCGGTTAGTACCCAAGTTTTTGCTTGGTCTGAGAGCAAGATCGGAAGCTCGACAAGATGTTGAAATCATTGAGATTAACAATTGTTTATCTCCACGTGCAATGTCTGATTCTCAATTATCTCCTTCTAAAGTCTGTCGTGGTCAGGGAAATCAGTTTTTCAGAAATTGTTGGCTAACTGCTACTCCAGGTAGGTTTTAAGAATTTCTCCTCATTTGACTTAGGTGGGGTTTGCTGAAAATTTTGTAGTATGCGCGTCCACCGGCTGTTCGGTGATTTGATGATCATGTAAAGATTCTTCTGGGGGCGTGTGATGTTTGTTGATCTGAAGGTACGATAATTTATATGACAAGGTTGGCAAAGTTTATACCACAGCTAACATGTTACTGAGTGAAGGCTACATCAGAGTTTGGGACAGAGAGGTGGGAGATAATAAGAATGTGCATATAACGGCTGGGATCTTTGGAAGGCTCACATTATGCAGATAATCTTTATTATACATATTCCTCTTCAATAAGCTACATAGTTGTATATAATGACATCTATCTTTCATCGGTGAAAGAATTTTTTTAATCACCACTTGCAAAAGTTAATTGATTTACAGCTTGTTAACGCGCAATTTGGTCCAATATCAGCTTTCCCCAAGCCTGAGGCCTCCCACACCCTCATACACATCACTAACAATTGTCCCATATGTGATTGACTAGTTTTATCAAGACAACAAGTCAATCAACGTCTTATTGACGAACTTGAATGTGAAGACGAACTGTAACGCTACAAATCGAGATGATGCAATTTTTTGTTGAGTTGTCTGGACATTTCTAACGTCAAAATTTTTTCAACCGAATAAGTTCATCATTGGGGGTACCGTTTCTCAATGGAAAGGGTTGATCCTAAGGTTACAGAATAGTTGTTACATGAGCCATGTTGAGTAGAGCCAGTGACTTATTTAGGCATTGACTACAATGATAAGCTCAATGTTCTGCCACTTCGATTATCTTGGACCTGTGCAAAGCAACGAGAGTTGCCGAGCTACATAGCAGAGGCACAGTCAACGAAACATTGCTCATAGAAGGCCATAACGGCGTAAGCTTGGCATTTTTTTAGAAACATCTATGAGCATTGGCAGAAGATCAGTTTATAAATACAATAGGCCACTCCAACAAAAAAGAAGAAACTTCTCCTATCCCGCAACAAAGAATTCCTACTCTTAAATAAAGCCCGTACATAGCTGTTATAATCACTCATCATCAGAATCATCTCTTTGCGTCTATACCTTTACAAATCTATATCTCTTCTTCGAAGTATCCTGTGCTCAAAAACAGACCGCCTCATCTCCACTAAGAAAGTACGCTTCTTCAGTTCAGTCTTTGAACACTACTTGCTTTAATTATCAAACTCATAAAGGACAAACGTTTACTTTCTTTTAGTCTTCCCCTTTTCCACGCACGATCTTGACCAATCATGAGCTTTTCTTGCACTCGCGTTGCAGTTTTATTCTTCCTATTGGTGTCTTTAACGTACCAAATGCCATGTAATTCACATTGGTCGACCGAAGGCGGAGTCAAAGCAAGTAAGTTCAGGATCTCTTTTCATCCCTGAAAACGAAACATACTTCTGATCACTTCATTGAAATGTTCAAAGTTTGCAAGGAGATCGGAAATCCTGCAAAGTTCAAATGTGACCTAGTCAATTGTTCACGTTAGTGAAATCTCTCATATGAACCAGGATCCTCTGAATCTCCAAGAGCTCACAGATTTGTTTTCATATCCTTTCTCTCTATGCAGCCAAGGTTAGTCAGGTTTCCTGCCCGGACGGCAAGACGCATAAGTGCGACGGGGCACCCACTGCCCACGAGTACATCTCTAACCAACTGGGTGAATATCAAGTTTTCTGTTTGATCTGAGAGCGAATGTTGAAAAAGACCTCAATAGTTGACATGACAATTATTTATTTCCCTCGTCAACAACGTTTTCTGCTCAAAAGTCTGCCGAAATAATATTAACCAGTTTTTTAAAGGGTGTTCCCTGACCGTCACACCAGGTGAGTTTCAACAAAATCCTTTCTCATTTGAATTCAAAATTTCCTTGTGGTATGAATCTGATTTGACTTTCTTTTACAGACTGTGACCCTGCCCACTGTGTACGTATGTGAAGATTTCTTAGGGGTTCCCGCCTGGAAATTTTGTCAGCCTTATCGGGGCATTTCGATAATACTTTCACTCAGATTTCAATAGTGTCATTTATTCGAGAATAAGGTAATTACAGAGTTCTCAAGAAATATAGTATTTGTATATAGCACGTATATATAATTTTCTCTCTTCAGTTCCGAACAATAAAAAAAATGCGATTCCTATCAAATAAACAGTTGGCTTTGATGGTAACCGAAACAAATTGAGTTGATTGTTTTAAAAATGAACATATAAAAGGCGACTTGACCCAATTTAATAAGATCCTGTAGGATATTCAAAGGCAAAAGTGAAAACTTAAAACCCGATACTGGAAATTTACCTCACTCTGGGTAAAACGTTTCAAAAACGTGTAAGCGCCAAACCTCAACAGATCAACTGATAGAATAAATATACCTTGTAAGCTTTCACAGCGGTCTGCAAGATAGGAGTCCTAAGATCATCTCCTATGGAAGAGAACTTTTGGCTATTTCTCAAGAAAAATATTATCACGACCATTTATTTTTGGCCTTTGGTTCTCAATTTACCCATGTATTAACTGCAGAACCTCAATATCTTCTACTGGTTTTCTTTGTCTATTGTATGTGGTGCTTATCCACCACTATTTCACTCTTTGGTCTTTGCTCTTCAAAAATCTGAGGTTCAATCAGACATCATGGTCGGCTTGGATCTCTCAATCCTTTGCAGAGCGTTTGAAAGCGTCTTGAAATTGAATTCCACTTGAGAAGTCATTCAAAGCCTTTTCAAAACTAAATAGTACACGATTGATAGAACAACTGGCACTCAAAGTTGAAGCCCCTTTGTACAAAATTACTCGGGTGGTTCTTTATGAAGATAACCAAGTACAGTTTCAATCAGGAGATAGCCTTTCTGAACGAGAAGAGAAATGATAACAAAAGGAAATCAGACATAAACGCGACAACTACTATTCTTGATTCCTACAAGCTCAAGGACAGAAGATAACAGTATACTAAATGTTTCAAAGAGTTTTTTTCATCAGCCTCTGATCTGATCTCATCCTTGACTCTCAGAAAAAGAATGTCATAAGCTGAAATCACTCAACATCAGATCCTCCTCCATCAGCGCTGCAAGTCCAAAGGGCGGACTGGCTACTTTCCTGTAGACGAGAAATTTTAGCTTATTGTCACGTTAAAAGAAAAGAATTGATGAAATTTGACTTACATCATAAGCATACGCGTACGCATCCTGGCAATTCCTATTTGTCGAATATTAATAAGAGTATTTGTAAGATAAGTGAAGACCCGATCTTTAGTTTGTAAAAAAATACTCAACGATTTGAAGAAATCGTAAAATTGAACGCCACTGGAAGGACAAGTGTCAGCTGTTGAATGACTACCAGTACAGCAGTTGGCTGAATCTTCTCTGTTGCCATCCAAGTTTGCCTGTGAATAATGGAGAAAAGGTTTGATTTTAGGAAATAATTTTAGGCATCCCAAAGATTTCAATCCAAGTCAAGAAAAGTAAGATGATAGATGTTGATCTCACTTGACAAGCCGAAAGGCAACCTATGGTGACCCCATTTGAGTCACGAACTTTGAGGCGATCATCTGGACAGATCGCATTGAGATCAACCGCACATTGAGGGGTTGGGCAACCTTTTGTGTTGGTGATTCGTACTGGAAGATTACTTCCATCGACATTTGAAACATCATAAAAATCTTGATTGCCATCTCCATTCAACTTGAACTCGGCCAAAGTGACGGGTGCTAGAAAAACAGGTTCTCCGTTCAGTCAATCAAACCAAGTCTTTTTTTATCATACAAGAGAATCAAATACTTACGAACGCCGGTACCGGTAGAGGCATCGCAAACCAATCCACCGTTACACCCACCCACCTATATTGAAGAAAAAAATGAATAAACTGGACTTGCCCGTTGAAAAGTTTGTGCAGGGGAGATCAAAAGTACCGACAACGCAGGTTGAAGGTAGAGTTGACCCTCCTCCAAAGTCACAATTTCGGCGTCCCCAGAATCTTCCGGCCCAACCATCTGGTACCGAGATGGTACGAACGTCTCCACCTGGAGCTTCCCAACCTGCAGGGGACGCCCCTCCATCGATTCTAGCTGAAAATTTAATCATGATATCAGAGGTATTATGTGACATAATCAACTTTTTAAAAACTACACGCACCTGGTGAGTCAGGGTTGTTGAAGTACGCTGGCCCTGTATTCAAAATAGCAAAAAAACAGTTAGAGCAAGATTCAAAAGATGGAGCTCAAGCCTAGACGACTCAACAAATCGTAAATGGACAATTGTTTTGAATTGTGAAAGTTCTAGACTCTGCCAAAGTAGCCAAGTAAGAGAAAAAAACTATAGCGAGGTATGGCACTAATAACTTGATATTGTTTGACATTCTGAATGACACAGGTGTGTAGATTCTTTATGATTGGTATTAAGCTATGAATTCGAATTCTGATTTGAAAGCCTCTGGGTGAACGTTTCATCGGTGTAGTCCATGGTCGGTATTTATAGGAAACAAATCCAGTCCTTGCCATAGTCAAAAGTGGACTTGGGTACACCACCATGAGCGTGACTCATTGCTGTGTGACAGATTCATCTCCAGTGAGCGGCTTTCCTCAAACACACGCTGCACAGCTGCATACGCGGAAACTAATTATTGAGAAGATGAGATCGGATTGCTTGGCTGAGGAGCTCACAGCAATCAGGACCCACGATGTAATATGAGATGCTTGAGTACTAAATATCGTGTCAAGTTCAAAAAGGAAGGGTGCTTTTGCTTCACAGCAACTGAAGGGGTAATCGATAGGTATGATGATATACATTGTCGGAGATCAAACCTTGACACCCTTCAACCCGCCCAGGAATCTTTGCTGAGCTAAATGACGCCGCGAGTACGCAGTTGAACTTATGATATCCGGATCAGAATACACTCGGAGTTTGAAATGTCCATCATTACGAAATTTATGTATCTCTGGGTCGTAGGATGTGATGCAAATCAATCCTTTCCTGAATTGATCAAGTTGTTGTTGGTAACTTTAGGTGTTAGAAAGTCTATTTTCAAAATGTCCCAATTTACCGCGGTCCTTTGATGACTTTCACCATTTACGTCTATATGAAACTTTAAGAAGAGCAGCAGTTGAGGATGTTTTTTGACTCGGAAAAGGTCTTGTCCACCCTTGCAAACGTCATTTGTTGGGTTACATAGATCAGGGGACATCCACCAATCACAAAACCAACTTAGGGTTTCCACTTATGAGATCTCTTTGTTCGAGTGGGGGAATTTATCAAGACATATTGTGATCTTGAGGTGAGTGCACAGCGTAGCTCGGCTGGAGGAAGGATCCTGCTCATGGCGTTTGATTTCTACTGTTACTTGTTTTTCCTCTGAACAATATTCAGTCACATCGTATAGAACCCAAACTCTTCAACATAGGGTTTTCAGGTCTTGGATAGCTTTTCCATGAAGCCTACATGCAGCTTTTGAAGTGATCATCAACCGACAGATTTTTGGTACTTGTAATTCGTGATCCTTCCTCTATAAGTCACAACTTTGGTTCATTATTTAGGTGTTGGATACACTTATCGATGTCCCTCCTCTCGCCTCCTCATCAGCCTTCAGGTGTTGACGAACTTCGGCATCAACGCCACTTATGTGGTTTTCTATTTCTCCGAAGTGAAACGTCCCCTAGCTCCAAATAAATAGTGAACTTGGCCCGTCTCTAAAATTGATGTAGCGAAAGTAGCGAAGCATGGGAAAACCTAAAGAATCGCAGTCAAGTTGAGGAGATGTGTTCATCTTGTCTTCTTTTTCTCACTCTGAGTCTTGCCCTAAAATCAAATGTTGCTCCGCATAATTTGAAGATTTCTTTAGTATGTGGTACGGTTTTGAGAATACCACCCTCCTGACCATTTGACTTGTATCATTTTATATTTTCAAGATATTTCCCATATATGCTCTGATTTTCAACACTCTACTTTGGTTTCAGAATATCCAGTGCAGGCCAGAATATACAAATGGACTCGACCGTTGGAGGAAGTACTGGATACAATACATACTTGTGTTAATACCATGCGATCTTTATTTGGAGTCATCTTTCAAAGACGAAGTACTACGGAGAACCCTACTTTGGCATCCCTAGCTTGTCATCCTGCCTACTTGTTGAGAATTATCACTTAAGAAGTGATGTCAAGGCATCCTTTGCTCCCTTGATCCACATGCAAGTAGAATAACACCTGATCATGTAGAGCTTTCTATCAATCATTGCCAATTCAGCAGACCAGGCTGAGTATATATGTAACTCCACACCAGGGGACAAAGAAAATGGATCAGAAACACCATAAAATGGTACAACATCATCTTAGGCTGCTGCCAGACGCCAATGATCAACTCTAAAGAATATCTGTGTATGTAGTAAAAAGTATTGTCATCATCATCATCATCATCATCATCATCATCATATCATGAAAAAGAAATCATCAAAATCTAAACCGTTATACCCAATCAAACCCAAGCATACACAGGCACACAATCAAATCAAACCAAATCAATCAATGAAACATACACAAACATACACACACACACACACAATAATCACATTTAATATCAACCAGAACCCTCTCAGATATCCAGAAAAAAAACACACACACAACACTCAAAACAGACAAATAAAATATCAGAATAAGTTTAAATGAATGATTCTATGAATACATAGCCATTTCTTTTGGTTTGTTTCTCTTCTTTTTTTTTTGTAAAAAATCGTCAATCAAATTCTAATCACTTCTTTCTTGGTAACCTTCAACCACTACCAAGTCCACCAGATCCACTCCCAATGCTTAACAACAAATGATCATTCCCACCCGTACATGTCCCATTCCCATTCCCAACCCCATTGCCACTCCCACTCATAGCCATACCCGTAGACTTCTCTCTGCCATAAGGTTTAGGTACCATAGGTAAATACGCCATAGCTTGACCACCATCCCTATGATCATAAGAATCTAAAGCAACCTTTTCATCTACAATGACTGAAAAACTATTATTATTATTAGTACCAGGTGGGGTTGGATTCGGTTTAGGTGTATAATAAGTTGAATTTGGATTATATTGTCGTCGATTGGTCCATGATTGTTCATTGGATTCGGCCTAGACAAAAGTTTTGGGTAGGTGCGACAGATAGAAAGGAATCGGTGAAAAGAAATGATGAATCAGATTTTTTTTTCGGATTATGAAAAGTTCGAATGTCCGAAGTGACACTTGAGTTCATAAAGATTTTCAAAAGAACGGTGCATGCATGAAGTTGAGAGTAAGGTTTGAGTCGCTCATCAAAAAGTCATTCTACAGGGCGAGACTTCTTTAGTCTGAAGCACGATCTCCGACGTTGTACATTGGCTGTGTATGAATAGCAAAACAAACAAAACACGTCGACAAAAAGATCATTTGTTGATCATTATCTCTTGAGAGCATTCTGTGATTCAAAATTCATCACCAGATCCACCATTACAAACACAATCACCGCAACATAAAATCAAGCATCAATTCATGTGTCCCTTCCTATCAGATATAAGCCTGAGTGACTCCCACGCCCCCAAGAAAAAAAAGGTCGCGTAGCCGAAGCGAATATTCAAGGGTCGCGATGTTAGATGGCGATATTTTATTTGCATGTTTGACGTTTGATGTTGCGGCCGATCAAAGGGGACGTGTACGATAAGAGTGTAGATGTGAGAAAAGCACATATTCTCAACAACATGTCACATACAAGAGCAACCCACTCCGCAACTTTACTGAGTCGACGTATAGCGAGGGATATGGTATATGTACCCAAGTGCGAGGTAATGAAGGTGAAAAAATGACAAGTGAAAATAAATCAAATCCAACATACCTGTTCATGTAGATAATCTAGTTGAGGATTGCCCCGATGACTTGGTCTCCGATTCAGATTATTTGTTCCACCCCCACCACTACTAACACCAAGGGCGTGTTGCTGCTGTCTTTGTTCCCAAGCTAAATATTGATCATCCCTTCGTAGAACAGGAGTCACACTATGTGCGCCAGCATAATTAGCCAGATGGACTTGAACCTTTTGTAATTGGGGTGGTACGAGATCCATCTGATCTATAGTACCTGACCTTTGTCTTCCACCACCTAGGTGAGGATCATACATGATCCGAGTATGCGGAAGGAAGGAATTGTTCGAGTGAGATCCAGAGGTGGAGGGCAAAGGTCCACTGCTACGGGAGCCGTAATAATTTGACGGCTGCATCGAGATTGAATTTGATGTTTGTGGTGGGTGTTGCTGATGATGATGCACTGGCGCGGAAGTATTTGTAGACAATGGGAGTCGATTGGATGAATATTGATGTTGAAGATGATGGGCAGAACTCGAATGTTGTTGAGATTGCTGGGATTGGTGTGCGGTTGATTGAAGTGTAGGTTGTTGTGAGACGTTGGCCCGATTAGTCTCATGTGGCAGAATATAAGGATTTTGGCTTTGTTGAGCAGCCTGCGCTTGATGTTGTCGAAGTGCAGCAGCTTGGGCGTTGATTGCCTGCTGCTGAGCCTGAAGTTGAGAATAGGCAGCAGCATCGTAGACTTTCTGTCCCGAGCGAGCTGGTGCTGGTGGAAGGCCACCGTAAGGACGTTTAGCTGAAGCGTCGTTGAGACCCGATCCAATGTTGCTAGCCAAGTTTGTATTGTTGATGTGCTGATGAGCAGGCTGTGTGTCCATAGGGATCTGACCCGGAGACGAAGATTGACGTTTGTTGCTGGTTTCGGGGTTTTTGCTGCTTGAAATACCAGTTGAATATCCAGGTCTGGTCGGCACATAAGGCTCTCGCAACGGTTCACCCTGAATGAACGGGTGTAACCTGGCTTGCTGCGGTGTCCACCGTTGATGAGGATTGAGATGTAGTAAACCTTTCACAAAGTCGATAAATGCAATTCGGTTATGTTTTTCTGAATCAGAGAGTAGGTGACATGAACGCCGAGATAGATAAGCAAAAGATGACTCGCTGACAAAAAGGGAAACAGAGGCAGGATCACAAATGATAAGATGAAATTCAATCACTCACCCTTTTCTAGATCAGCAGATTTCATTCCCTTGCGCATGACAGGATACTGACTAATGATATCCTCTAGCTTATCTTGCTGAAAATACCGTTTGCTCGGTTGTTCATTGACATTATGCTCTTTCGAGTACTGCTCCAAGCTTTTCAATTTATATACTTTCCCACCGTTAAAATCGTCTTCGAGTACATCAAAAAACTGCAATGTCTGTTTCCCGACTTCCAGCATATATGTAGGTGGCATACTAGTTCGTTCCCGAAAGCAATTCTAGGATTAGCTACACAACAGTTGGGTGCGATAGATGAATCAATTTGATTTATGAAAAACCAATTACCCTAGCATCTCAACAATACGTGTGATTTGGTTAAATTCTGATGTACCAGGAAATAATGGCAATCCCAAGAATAGTTCCACGCAGATACATCCCAAGGACCACATGTCGATCGCGGAAGAATAGGGTAGTCCTGAATCACAAAGGTTGATATTTCACATCAAAATGCAATGGTCAAAAGCTGTACTTCACAGTCGTTCAGGCCGAATAAACAAGATCTACCTAAAATGACTTCCGGAGAGCGGTAGAACCTGGATTGAATATATGTATATACTGTTTGTCGCTCATGACAAGCTGACCCGAAATCGATAACTTTGATTTCAGGAGACGAGAGGCTGTGAAGTGTATAGCAACAAGAGTTAATTCTTGATCATGACTTGTCTTGGTAAAGCAGACCACTGACGAGTTCAGAAGGATATTTTCAGGTTTCAAATCACAATGTATTAATCGGGCTTCATTCAAGACCGTTAATGCATCCAATAGCTGATTGGTGAACACTCGCACCAAGCTCGTACTCAAGCCTCTGAAAGAGTTCTGCTTGATTAACTCGTACAAGTTAGAGGAGAGTAGTTCGAAAACCAAGCAAAGATGATTATGATGGATGAATGTATCTTTCATACGTAGGATGTGGTGTTTGTTGTCCGGATCCCATGTGTTATTAAGCTAGTTTCATAGATCATATAAGATAGGTCAGTCGGATGACACAAATGAGAAAAGGGGTTGATAGTGTTTGTAGCGGTCTATAACCACTAAAGTAGGCCTTAAATATCAGATGCTCACCAATTCTAAGATTGTGACCTCCATCATACTCTGACTGAAATAAGCTTGCTTATTCTTCACCACTTTCACAGCAACCACTTCATGATTTTTCATATCTTGACACTTGACCACCTGACCAAATGTACCTTGACCTAAAACATCCAAAATCAGATACTTATGCCCATCAGTACCCTTGCGCCCTTGCGTATCTGCTGCATCTTCATTTGAATCACCGGCCGAGCCACCCCCAAGGATGTCATTCACATATAAAATGTAGTCCGAATCTTCATTATCCATGCCGTTGTTGCCTGCTGGCCTCGATGGTTTGGTTAGTACTCTTCGCGGGTTGAGACTTAGCTCATAGCGGAAGTTGGGATTGATGAGTCGATAAGTCGAAGCTAGATGAGTGGTAAGTGCCTTGAGTGGCGAGATGGAACCACCATTGATCGGGTCCAGTCTTCGCTCCGGTGGTACTTGATTAACGACCGGTCGAAGGTCACTCGCACCTCGTGTAATCCTTCGAAAGCCTACCCCTTCACTTGTCCGACGTGGACGCTGACTTGAAGCCCCACTAGCAGAACGTGAAGCATGATATTGTTCACTCGATGACGAAAGCGATGTCGATTGCTGATTAGAATGCAAGAGGCTATGCCGCAAGGAGTTAGGAGCTGAAGAGGGTAGAGTTTGTGTAGGGGGTGGCGGTGGAATACCCGAAGAAGAAGCCGAAGTGAAATAAGAGGAAGAAGTCGGGTTTACGTTGGAGTAAGCTGCGGGCGGAGGCGGAAGGGCAGAACTAGGATTGGCAGATGAGAGGTAACCAGTATTTCCGCTTGACTGGCTAGATGAGTACATGGTTGATTGTGTAGGGTGGTGTTGAGGAAGAAGAGAGGCACCACTAGTCGCAGATGTAGGGCCAAGTGTCTGAGCAGTTATCGAATGTAACGCATACTGACTTGGGCTGTAAGCCATGGCTCTTGAAGAGCTATCCGCAATTCCTGGCCCCGACTCCCCGTAGCCAGACTGACCAAGACTAGGGGAATATGGCGAGGTGACAAGTTGTTGGGGATGTGGACGGCGATGACTACTTCCACGTGGGGAGACTTGAGGAGAACGGACAGAGTATTGAGGTGCTGATTGGGGGTCATGAGATGAGTTGCCAGCAAAAGATGAATAGGTAGGCGTAGCACTCATGGGACTGCCGGGGCCGGGTAGACCACCTGTATTCTCGTCAAACTGATGTGAGCTCATCCCAGAAGAGTTTACCGGTACTTGGACTGAAAAATGTAGACGAGGTGGTGGGTTGGCAGCTTGACTGTTTCCTAAAGAGCCATGTGCTGTAGTAGAAGTAGATTGAGGATTGTAGCCATTGTTGTGAGTGTCATTCCAAGAAGCCGTGGTAGAACGTCGATTCATACCGGGCTGAGAAGGAAGGTGATGATGTGAATTAGAAGGATAACTTGAAGGAGAAGAATAACCCATCGGATTAGCTGTGAATTGAGCGTTGCCAAGATTGATGCCGATCGGATTTGTTGGATCTGTAGGAGAATGATATGGATTTCTGATGGTTGAACGAGGTGGAGGGGGAGGTAAATCATCGGTAGAATTCGAATACATGATTATGACGAGAGGACAACTTGACAGATTTGTTACAACTTGATCGACTGATGTAGCAAAAAAACCAATTCTGATACGGTTAGGAGACGAGCCAAGTGAAAAAGAAGATAGACAATCAAGCTGACTTACATTCTGTGATTATTAAGTAAGTTTAAAGTTGTCAAAAGGTAAGTCTTTGTTTGCGTTTGGATGGAGTATGTTTGAAGATCAAAGCTGAATGTATGTAGGTTGATGTTTGATGTTTGAAATGATGATGAAGGTTCAAGTTCTTCTCTGAAAGTCAGTCTGTCAGTGTGAATTGATTGATACCAGTGAGGTGATGGTGAATGTGATTGTTTGAATGAATAAAGTCACTCTCACTCCTCTCTCTCTCTCTCCCAATCTGTCTGTCATCACATAGACTCAGCTTCTAATTCTAATATTTGACTGTTAATCATTTGATTAATTTTTTAAGTGCTCAATCACACTTGAAACCTTCTTGTAGATGATGTCATTCACGTTTGATTTTTGATGACTCTGGGGCCTTCTGGGGCCTCATCTGACGTACAAATCTCACCGCCTCCGGAAAACTAAAGGATCAAACTAAATCATACTCAAACCCCGCAGGGCTCCGAATGACAAGTTCCCCTTGGTGCTATCATTGCTGAATTACAGTCGATTTCAGAAAGCTTGGAAACATTTGCCCGCCAAATTTGAGCAAATTGGCGCGGAATTCTTTCCAAGCTTTGTGCAATTGACTGTACCAAGTTTCAACTTGGAAACAAAAAAATGACTAATTTGGATGTGTATCTGTGGAATTATGTATATAAGGGGAATCATTGTAAAGTTTGAGTCTTTGATGGTATAGAGGGTTGGAAGATTTACATAGCAATTCTATCATCATCATAAAACTTAAATCTGGACTACAATAGGTGGCAATGCTTTTAGTCTTTGGTCTGATGCTTTGAACTCTGGGGCCACGGTAAACAATGAGACCCAGTGTTTTTTTGCCCATGTCACTGATGCTTTTGGTCCGCTTCTTATTGGATCACATCCTGCTTTTTGTTTTGCATCATTTTGACAATTATCTAAATCACCACTTGTTGTGTCACACCTGCACTTCAAAGGAAGACTTCTGGTATTGTTTGAATTCTATGTCATTACTCTTACTATGTGAAACATGCCCATGCTTCAACTCTGTGACATCCCACATATTTCTTTGTCTTCTTCACAATTACTGTTAGCTGCAACTTGCCTCAAAAATTAGTTTCTATTGCAATACTTATCAAAAGTGGTGTTTGATCCAAGAGTGATGCATTTTCCTAGGGCATATTTTGAAGCATGCATTCATCTAACTTTTGACTGCCAATTGTGTTCATTCAAAGTACTCATGAAAACCAAATCATACTCAAAAGTAAGGCCATCATTCTAAAGAAGCCTAACCCTTAACCCATCAGTGAATCTTGAGTTTGTGCTCAGATGTGATTGATGGATAAGGACAGTTTCAACCACATTACATGCAGCTGGGTATGTTGTCTGTGAGTCTGGAGTAAAAGATGCGGAGGAAAGAAATTGGTTTCTAGATTAGTGTGGACAATTTCATGAAGAGTAAGAAATAAACAAACCTTTGTGTCAATGATACACCTGATAGCAGTATCTATCTCAACATTGTCATCCACTGAACTGAGAGTGTTCATTGAGGGCTCTTATTAGGATTGTTGAATGTGGTGTTGTGGGCCCAGGGCAAAGCTTTGAGGAGGTGGAGCCCAAACTCTGTGGTTCTTGGTTTTTTATGAGTTTGCTAGTATCCCAGTTTTGGGTCTGGAAGCTTAGAAACTGAGAAAAAACCCTAGGTTTCTACTTTGTATCCCCTAATTATGGAGAGTACTATGAGGTGCCCAGTTGGATAAACCCCAAAGCCCAGAGTTCTCGGGGCTTTACTTGCAATTTTTCCAGTCAAATTTGAGCTAATCTGGGCTCTACATCATGTAAAAGATCCCTTCCTTACATATCGGGCTTTTGAATCACTGAACCATGCCTTCAGTCAAGAAATCAGGCAAACTACTCTTGTTGACCTATGATCACCTGCCCGTCACCAACCTCAATACCAATACCAATTGACAAACTCCAACAACGGATTAACTCAGCTCACCTCAGTGCTTTTGGCTTGGCATTCAACTTGTCAGCTTTTTGAAAGCAAAGGTTTCAGCTGCTTGACTGGTACAAGCACAGCACCATTGTGGCCTTTTGATTTTTCAAACTGGTGTTGTCAATCATCAGGTTGGCATCTAGTCTGTTGATCCAACAACAGTGGCATCAGCCAAGACATAACACACTGGGACAACCATCAAACACTACTACTCACTTCTCCCAAGTTGGTATAACGAAGAAAATATCCTGGCAACTATTGAACACCTTGCACACACAAACTGGTCCCAATATGGTAAGTCCTCTCTCTTGTTGGCCTTGTCTTCTCTTGCCCACCTTGCAGAGAGAAGTGCTGACAGAAAACTCCACCTTTGTTGTACTTCAGCCATCCTGCACCTTCTTGACAGTGATTTGTACCTCTGGTAATCAAACTAAACACATTGTATTGACACTTCACCCAACAAAATCCACCATTTCAAAAAACTTGTCATAAATCTCCCACCTTTATAAAGTCTCTGAAGTTTGTAAAGTTTTGCTTCTTGGACACATGTACTCAATCTACCCAAGTACCAGTAAGTCAAAGCAAAGTGTCTCAGTTTTTGAAACCATTGACTCAAGCCATGAATCAAGCCAAACACATATACACAGGTAGAATTTGCAAGGAGCCAAGTCATTGTGCCCCTGCAAGTCCAGCTTGATCACCTGTTGAAGATCTTCCCTGAGATTTCACCACTAAGTGTCCCATTCAAATTTGAAAAGCTGAGGATTTGGACCCCAACTCAAGTGGTAATTTCAGCATTCAATCTCAAGACAAAGAAGATTTGGACCCTTACTCAAGCAATTCTGATGCAAAGAATGATCTATGCCTGTTCTGTGATGAACCACTTTGTTTAGAAACATTGAAGAAACTACTGCTCCTGAAAGAAGCTTTATTTGCTTTAAGTTTGCCAAACATTCCCAAGAGGGTAGCACAGTGAGGGCAATGCCAATGCCATTGCCTGTGAGTTGTATCATATGATTGTGTATTGATTGAATTGTTTGCTGATCAGAAATTAAGTAATTGCACCTGAGTAACTGCATCATGTTGTGGCTGCAGCACAAAAAGTGTGAAAAATCTGTGCTGGGGCTTGTGTATGCTCAGTTGTGCCTCAACAGCTCAAAATAAGCATGGGTGTGCCCCTGTATAACCTGTCCTGCAGATAGCAGAATACCTTGACTCTTGAGGTCAAGAACACACACTCATCTCCATAATTTTGTAACAATAGATCAATGGAAAGCTGAGGTCTCATTTGGCTGGAACCCAAAAACGATTTTTGATCAAAACCACCACCAAAGCCAAAAACTGTTTTTGGGTCAAAACAGTTTTTGATTTTCATCAAAAACACTGGTGTGTGGCAACTTTGTTTGATCAAAAACTTGTCAATGTTGAAAAACAGCCTCCAGGCTGTTTTTGAGACCAAAAAAAGTTTTTGCTCTTGTTTGCCCCTCTATTTCAACTTTTTGATGAGCTCTTTGGCTCAGTGTTTGGTTATTGAAAAACTGAATTTCAAGTTTTTCATTCTGCCCCATGACCAAGGGGCAGATTGAAAAAGAGTTTTTGTGTAACAGTTTTTGGCAGGCCCTAAATAGACTTCATATGCACTGCACCTTTACAGCATACAAACTACAAACCAGATCCATCTGCTTGCCATGAAGCTGCATGAGCTGGCACCCCATGCTGGGGGGTCAAAAGTACCTCTGTGTATGTATGTCAGCAACCAAGAGTAAGTCTCAAATTTGAATGACTGAAACTCACTCAAATATTGTATGGCAAGTCAAACCATTGCTAAATCAAAGAGAGACCAATCCCCAAAGCCAGACAAACCACTCCCAAATGCAAGATAAAAATCATAAATGATCAAGATTTCAAAACTTGTATCACTTGTTCTTTCAGAGTTGAGGAACTTGAGGATTTCAAAAGCTTGGCTGCACTGGGGAACCCTGCTGATTAGTGGCTCTCAAACCTGCCCCGGTTTTCTTAAAACCCAGTTGACCCAGTTGTTTTTTGGCAGTAACTTTGTGTATCAAGTTGACATTTGTTGACAGCTCCCAGCCAAAAATTCTACTGGGGCAACCAGGTTTTTTGTAACTGGGTCAGGTTTGAGAGCCACTATTGTTTTCAATTGTGAGGAAAAAGTTTGGGATTGTCAACAGCTATTGACTTTGTTTTGCTGGAACAGTAAGCCCAATTTTTGAACGTGAATCAAGTTAAACATCAGACTTATATACTCAAGAAAACTGGTCTCAAACATACACGTAATTAAAAGCATTCTAATCCTCTTTTACAAACCATTGAGCAAAAAAATTGTGATGTTTTCTGGATGATGATGCCTAAACCAAATGGAAAACACAGGGATATTAAGATAGACTTGAGGTGCAGCAGCCTGGTTAGTGAGTGACTGTCATTTTACCACAAAAGTCCACAGGACCAAGCAATATTGAAACATCTTGCTGCGTTCATGGTCCAATACATCAACTCCACTTTCAATCCACCAGGTTTTGGCAATTGTGGATATTACATGATCGCGGTGGCTGTTGGGATCTTTTTCAAAGAATCGTACCTGGACGTTAGACAGAAATTATGTATCCGCCGAGCTGACAATACACCCTAAAGATCACGAGTTGCTGGTATCTTCTGCTCAAACCAGAACCCGACCCTCCATCAAGACTCGCCAAACTCAATCATTTGCTGCCGAGGTAGTTTAAGAGCTGTTTGTCCGACTGGATTTCCAGGAAGTCAATTGTTTGTATTGGTTGCGGATGCCATATCTGGGATATGTGATTGCGAGCGCTTATGGTTTCCGACAATGTTATTGGATCCACAGGAAGCAAACTGCACCTCTTTTTTCCGTCACCGCACCACACCAACCAAGCCAGATCCTATTCTACTGGCATTCATTGATAACAATCACTCCATCAGCTTAGGTTCCAAAGACCAGTCTCTTCCATTTCCAGAAGTATTTGGTAAGGACTGCAACACCTCCCATCTCAACACCACTTTGATACCTGGTTGGATCATAAAATATCAAGATCAATTAGCAAGCTGGACACGTCAGAAAAAGTCAAGCATCCCGTTTTCAAGATCCCATTGAATTGTTGTAGGACTTATTGATTGCTCATTGATTATTTTTTCATTTCTCGATTTCTTTCTCTTTTTGTTTTCTCCCTCAGAGTCGCATTCACACTCGTTACTCATGTCCCACTCATTACCCATTATGTTTCTAACATTATACTTTCGTGGTATTGAAATGAATTGTGTTTCTGTCATCACGCGCATATTCCTTTGGAAAGAAAGTGAATATTGGACGTATGTTAGTAAGTAAACATAAGATAGATCGATGAAATAAATTGTTGGAGAGATTATCATGGAAAACCAAGAAAAAATGAATCTAACAAATGGAAATCAGGGTTGCCTGTTTTGCCCGTTCTGCCCATGTTATTCGCAATATCCAGAGACCGGGCGCCAAGTAGTGCTTTTCATGACTATTGATCAAATGAAATCTTTCCTTGGTTGTGAGGTTATGAAGTGGTTTATTATTGGTCAGTTGTTACGTAATTACTGGGTAGGCTGTGTAGACTGTGTAGGGTGTGCACTGTGTAGGGTGTGCAGGTGTAGGTTTAAATAATTTTTGACAAATCCAGTCTTAAACAATTTGTCGATTCCATCATCAGTCATCATCATCAGCAACACCAAGAAACAGTCAACAAGAACACAACAGTCAACTAGAAAGAGTCAATGACTATGAACCATCATCAACTTGAAAAACCACATCCACTTCATTACACCATCCACTCTTGTTCATCTTGCTCATCAACCTTTCACCCTTTTAATATCATTGAAGATTGTCCTTTAGATTCTAGCTCGCGTTGGTCTGGTTCGGGTCCACCTAATCCATCAATCCGTCAGAATCCTAATACAAATCCAGCCAATTCATCTGACAATGGATCTGACTCGCATGATCCATCTGCTCTCAGTTATCCTGGACAATTACCAAAAAAGAAGGAATACATTATCATTGACCTAGGAAAACCTTGTATCGTTCGATCAATCACTTTCGGAAAATTCCACAGGCCTCATCCTTGTAATGTCAAGTTATTTAGAGTCTGGGGAAGTCTTGCTCCAGGTGAAGGTAAAGGTGACTTCAAGGCTCTTCTAGATGATCAATCCAATCAAACTACTATTTCCAACTCATCCGAAGCTCGTGATCCTTTTACTCGTACCGGATCTCAACAAGGATCACATCCATCAACCCAATCTGGACCTTCATCAAAACAAAAGGATACACTTCTTGGTACAAGTCATTCCGAAGATCGAGTCAATGGGAAATCTTATAACAAGACTCAGAGTGCTTCCCGTGTTCAACTTCAAACTGTGAAAGTTAGAGGTGAACGTCATCGATCAGGTCCTAGAATGGAACTTTTGGCTCAAGGTGAACTCAAGAATGATGCAGTACCCGAAACAGTACAACTAAGATGGAGGAATAATCAAGTGGCTTGGTACAACGCTACCGCGAATTATGATTCAGCTGATCCCACTCAGCATAATCGCCAGTCTACCGGTATCATCATTCCTGTACGTTATCTCAAGTTGGAACCTTTGTCAGCTGCTGGGAGCAATTACAATTGCTCTATATGGTCAGTCCTCATTATCCCCCTCAATCCCTTGAGAACAATAGATCGGTATCTGACTGTCATTGTCCTGATATCTCGCTTGCAAAACAAGGCACGTAGCGGTCAGCGGTCACGATGAAGAAGATTTGATCATCCCTGCACTTCAACAGTATGAAAAGGTGAGATCAAGCTACTGGATCCCTTCATTCGCGTGCTTTATATGCGCACATACAACCATTTGAGCTCTGTCTGATCTGATAATTGGGCATGTCTATGTTTGTGACAGTGGCGAACCTCAGCAGCTTTAAGACTGTGTTTAAAGCATCTGCGTCAAACTGGACACCTTGAAGCTTTTGAAGCCTTACTCAAGTCATCAGCGCTACCGAACCATTCTCCCACGCTGGTTGCTCCACCTATTGAAAGACCATTTCAATCGTCTTTATCATCTAAATTATCATTTTCGCCTCCTACCACAGATGTGTTCTACTTTGAACATTCATTCCTCTCTGCCTTACATGATGCACTCATTCCTGCAGATCGTCAGCTACGCGATCATCCATCTTCACTTCAAAAAGCAGAGGAGATTGTTAGAAATGCAACGTTGGGTGGTTTATTCGATCATTGGGCTCGTGGTGAACCCCCTAGTTTGACATGTTATCAGATTCATCCATCAACACAGGCACCTGATCAGTGGCCATGTCCCCGAGGTGGACATCAGATGTGTCTTGATAGCAAGCGTCGAAAAATTTGGCTTTTTGGTGGTTTTGATGGGTATGGTGACTTAGCAGACCTATGGGTTTATCATTTACCTCCATTGGATGAAGATAAACTCGATTTGCTTTCAAAACAAAAGATGAAAATGCGTGGTGGCAATGGTGAAGAAGCGAAAACAGGCTGGGAATTAATCTCATCAGACGTGGAGGAACAAAATGGGCCCATGAGTCGAAGTTGTCATAAGATGATCCTCGATGAACTCACTGGTGATCTTTATGTTTTGGGCCGTTACACCGAACGAATGAGGGTCAAACCTGCCACTGATACTTCGATTTCATCAAAAGCCAACAAGTCTTCAAGCCCATCAAATCGACCGACCTTCTCTCCATCTTCTTCCGCCCCTGCCAATCATCTGATACTCAACCAGAGTCATGACCAACAGTCGATGATCTTGGATCGAGAGACACATCCACATAACCGAACCCTACCTCATTTTGGGACATCTTCCTCCACCCGTTCAGAAAGGCTTCGTGCGCCGGATCAAAGCAGTGGACAAACCGATGAGGTTTTGATGGGAGGAACGAGTGATCAAGTGATGAAGAATGTTGAAAACGAGATTTGCTACACTGGATATTATCAAAATGATTTTTTCCGTTTCACTCCCTTTGCGGATCCGTCTTCGGCTCAATTGTTGGTGAATAGTGACGGTCAAATTGGTCAATGGGAATGCATTTCTCGCGATACCGAAGTGAGTGTGATTTATTGATCTGTGCCCAAGAATCATTCAAAGTTACCAAGTCTTCAGGATATCACCTTTTGCTGACGTTGATCATTTTGTTTGGGAAATATTGCCCTCGTTAGAGTCATGGTGGTCCTAAGCTAATCTTTGATCATCAGATGGTCTTAGATTCTGATACTGGAAAAATCTACGTGTTTGGTGGCAAGGTGATACGACCTAACTATCGGCCGCCGCTTCCTGGTGATTCCACCACGGATAGTTCTCTACAGGCCAAACCATCGTCCCCACCGGCTCAGTACAGTGGACTGTATGAATATGATCTCAATACCAAGATTTGGACTCAGTTGTTGTGCGCTTTGTCTCTTTTTATGTCTCTCGCTGTGTATATCCCTTCTGATCTCACTAAGCTGGGTGTTTGATTCCCGCGCTCGTAGGAATGACACAAACTCACCAGTTAAGAGTAATGAAGCCAATGTGATACCCTCTCGAATGGGACATGCGCTCGTGCTGGACAAAAAGCGACAATCTTTGTGGATCTTGACTGGAGAGCGAGATGAGGATTATTATTCAGACCTATGGCGATACCATATTCCTACTAGACAATCGGAACTCATCACCGCTGATTATAGCTCTCGTAGTAATCAGAACCAGGGTAATCCTGGTAGTAGTAGTGAAGATTGGAATCTGAGTGAGCAAGTTGGTCCTGAAGCTGGCTTTTCACAACGGACCACATTTGATGAACAACGAGATGAATGGCATATGTTCGGTGGATTGTGTCGGGATCGGAATAGTAGTGGAACTGGAAGTGGAATAAAGAAGGGAGAGCTGATGTCAAGCGAGTTTTGGAGGTGGAGAATTGAAGATGGGAAATGGACTAGAGTGGTCATGATGGCTGATGATGAGGGTGCGAATGCCCCTCCGCCACGGTACGCTCATCAGGTGGGTTGATTGTGCTTTGCTTCATAGTTTTTATCATAAGTGATTGAAGAGAAATTGATATCTCATTCGGATGGTGATCCGTGTTTTAGATGGTCTTTGATGAATTGACGAATCATCATTATGTGTAAGTCTTTCCATATCATTGTCTTCTATTCCAATTGAGCTTACGCAAAAGATTTTGCGGTTGGTGACACAGGTTCGGTGGAAATCCGGAGGGTGTTAGTGAACTTCGACTTGGTGATTTTTGGAGATTAAAATTAGTTCAAGCTACTCCGGATGAGGCACTGAGGCGTTGCTTGTTTGGAATTAGACGACAACAGTTGAGTCATCATAATTAGATCTGCTTGTTTACTAAAATCCAAGTTTGTTGATAGAGAGCTTCGGTAATTGCTGCACAGGTTCATCGAGATGTGTTTGACAACTGACGCAGTAACAGCTCTAACATACCTCCAAGTAGATCTATCAGCAGTCACCAATCATTCCGATGAACTAGAGGCCAAAATGTTCAGAGCATGTACATCCTATTTATTAACTTCAAATGAAAGATCATCAGAAGATTATGATATGGAGTTTCAAGCAGATGAACAAGAAGATGAAATCTTATTATCTTCTAGAAGAAAATTATTTGAAGGATTATTAAAATATTTTCCTAAATCTATGACTGAACCTGAAGAAAGTTTAATGGATTTAGTTGATGTTTGGGGTGATAGAGAGACTTTTTGGTAAGATAAATAGAAATGCAGGAAGGAAGGAACAATTGGGAAATTTGAAAATTGTAGAAGAAAAAAAGTTCGGACTGTGGAGGGCGGAGAGGTTTCTTTTGGTCGTTGTTTTTTTATTACTTTTTAATTTGCAGAATGTTTCCAAAAAAGACTTACTTAGATGATATATATATAATAATTATATGCACTATCGAGTTCTGATTTTTTTTCTCTTCCTTTCATCAAGAAAATTTTGATTGAGTTACGAATCAAAGGAGGTTTGAAGTAGAAGTTGTTTTTTTGAAGGTTTTAATTGAAAGATTGTGTGTGTTCAGGTAATGTAATTTGATTGTGTAAGACTTCTTTGAGTTGTAGTACTTACTTTAATTGTTTAGAATAGTTATAAATCCAAAGTGTTGATTTTGTGATAGAAAGATAATAGAGTCCTTTACAGATCACAAAGAATGTTTATCATATATTTTCGTATGGGCGATTTCATGGATCTTGACAGCTGTTCGACGGCATTTTGCTCGAGTGTTGTGGGCCAAAAGTTCTAAGCTTTCTGAAAGTATATACACTTGATGGAGCAAAGACTAATTATGAAGACCAGGCTTGAGTGCAACTCGCCAAATCTTTACAAAACTCATTTCAAGGGGTTTCAAGTTGGCCAAAAGTATGGAAAAGTTTGATGAACCTTGGCCAGCTGAGCTAGTGCTTTAAAATCCCAGAATTTCAAAGAAAACCTTGCTGTGTAAAGGGTGTCCGGGCTTGTCCGGTGCAACTGAATAGCTTTTCAAATCTTTCGCATAAAGTTTGTGGCATTTTGTGGTAGGCATAATTGTGTTTTACGTTTTCTGTCAACTCGACCCTCCGCATTGATCATGAAGTGAGTGCCTGTCAGAATGAAAAAATGAGCCTCGAATTGGTGAAGGCATAGATCTGATGGTGATAGTCGTGATGAGGGAAATCTCAGTCGAAAGCTTCAAATCGACTGGACCAGACAACGATTTTTTGATGTAAACTTCAAGTTTTTGCAGTCAAGAGTTCCGGTAATCGTGGCAAACTTCAACCCTCGTTGCTAGCGATCCAATCATGATCAACTGGTGTCAAACGACTTTTAAAATAGTCTACAAAACAGTACCGTATCCCACAAAATTACTCACGTTTCATTAAAGTTATTCTTTCCCTTCTTTCTTTATATTTATTTTTTCTGATCTGATTCACGGCTGGCCACGTGAATTGACATCTTGGTAAGTCTTGTTCATCTTTTGTAGGTGAAAGCCTCATAATCTATGATTAACAAATTTCCTTTCATTAGATCAATACAACACAAAAACGAGTCCACCTCAGAAAAAAAAGACAATGACCCTGTCACATAATTCAATCTCAGTACTAATTTTAATCATTACATTATTTACTATTACCATCAATGGACAATTACAAATCTTAAGGCGTCAAAGGGATGCTAAACTTCCAGGTGGTGCTTCACCTACAAGTACGGCTGGTTCACCTTTAGCTAGATCTCAAGCTGAGTTGGCTAGAACAAGAGGTGTGGTTGGACCTCAAGCTACTGATGGGAGTGTGATTGTAATTATGACGGCCGAAATTGACAATTTTGCTTTACAATTGTGAGGGAGTTTTTAAACTTTGAAAGAAATTTTTCTCGCAAGATTCTTGTCATGCTTAATTCCTTTTGTGTTTCGATTAAACGATCACTGATTTTCTTATATTTTCTTCAATAACACGAAATAGTAAGATCTCAGCTCCACCAAGTGAATTATTACCAACTGCTCAAAATGGAGCAACTATCAAACCTAGAAATGGCGGTGCTGGGGTCACACCCGGTGTAAATGGTATAAAGTAAGTTATTTGTTTAATCTTGTTCTTGTTCTAAATATCTCATACTGATTTGATTATTTAAATTTTCTTCTAGTGTTCTATTACATGGTGATGGAGGTGAAACTTTTTTCGATTTTGCGAATCAAGAATTTCAAAATGGACTTATGGGAGTCGTCATTATGGCGCCTAATGATAAAAGGTTTTGGGGTGGAGGATGTGAGTGAGACTTGCTGAAAACAATCACCATCTTGATTTGTCTTAATTGACGAGTGTTCTTTGCTTGTTAAAAAATTGATTCTTGTAGCAGGAAATCTCAGAACTGATGGAGCATTACACGCAAGCTTAGTAAATACGCTCATCAGACAGGTCAGTGTTTCTTTACATTGGAACACAAGCAACTTTTACTCACTCATTCTTTGCTAACAGGTCCTGCCAGAAGTCCTTAAGTTTGATCAAACCAAGGTCTATTTTACCGGTGTTAGCGGTGGAAGTCTCTTACTAGCAGGGTTTTTCTTACCTAGTTTGTCTCTCTTCTTGATTCTATTTGATAATCATGCATTTCTCAACCCTTCTTCTTATTCCTTACCATCATCAGTGTACGCCGAGACTTACAATACAGGGGCTCTGCTCGGATGTGGAGCTTTACCACCTCAAGTTAACCCATCACAAAACTTTGGTAGAACACTCACTACAATGCGAATTCATTTCCAGGCAACACAAAACGAACTTCCATTCTTGCAACCAGCTATTGCTGGAGCTGTGGTCACTTATGCTGATACAGCTCTTAAGGCTGGTGGTAATTCTGCTGAGGTGGGAAGAAAGATGACAGTAGATGCAACTCCTAATGGAGCTCATTGTGCATTTGATGGTAAAGATTTCGTTTCAGGTGTTCAACTTGTTTCCTCTAATTAGTAAGTCAATTCATTTTTATAAAAAGTAGTTTCATAAACTTTTACTTATGTTCACAACAAACAAATTTGAATTTTTAGTGCAAGAATCATGTTTGGAACAGGTGATGTACCAGGGATTGGGAATGTTGCTACCAGCGTTTATGAAAATAATCAAACTTATAAATCAGGTACTCCGGTGGCGAGGGCAACTCAAGGAACTTTACTTGGTAAAGCTACTAAACCCTAAACGACTGAATTTGATAAATATTTTTCTCTATATCATCCTCGTGTGTGGACTCAGTGATTGTTTACCCGGGTTTTGTTCTTATAAGATGTCGGAACATCGAGCCACAGGATTTGTCGAATGATTGTTGTTGTTATACATCTCTTCAATATCCATAATTCTAACCACATCAATCACACAATTAATAACAACTTACAAGTAGTGCAACGCACTTGATGACCTAGGCAAAGTGTTCTTGGTCTTAGGAAAGTCTCTTCTGCCGAACTTCTGACTATATAGGAGCAGGCTGGCTCCTGGATCTCAAACAAAAAATGCATATCATTTTCATGCAGGCAGCTTATCGTGGTCTTATTCAGGAGCTGGTCTCATGGAGGTCAAAAGCCAAGGTTTTGAATGCGCAGTTTCAACTGAGCGCTGCAGCGATACAGTCCTGCCAAATCTTGTTGTACTCCAGCCTACTCCAGCACCCCGTGATTTAAATGCACAGCGGAGACCCTGTGTTCGACCCCGATCCTTCCATGTATCAACTATCTAGATCCAATGATAACTTGGTAAAAAACTTTAGCAGATAAAATGAATCTCTTGTTGCTGATTATCTCGAAATGCTCCAATTGAATCCTTACAGAAACAAGATTTTGTCATAAAAAGTGACCTAATCGCATGCAACACATGCGCTACCCATTGGGACTCGGGAGACACGTATCATGGTACAGTCGTTTTCAAAAAGCTTACCGCTAATTCACCGCCAAATTGCTCGAGTTTTGCGGGCAAGTTTCGGCAAGCTTTTTGAAAACGACTGTACCATATGTGGTCAGTTTTGTCGCACTGAGATTCCAAATCTCTTCGCATAACTGAAAGGATGAGCAACCCTCGCGTGATAATTGTTATTCGAGAGTTTTGGGGAGACACAAAAGAAATATGCTTGATCTCTTTTCAACCACAGGGTTCTTTCCTATGAATACAGTGGTTAAAAAGGCCAACAAGCAGGATGAAGAACAGAGTGCGATGATTTCACTCTTCATGTCCAAGAAGCCGGAGTACGGTTAAGCCCCGTTATTGTGGAACTGGGCTTGCACAAAAAATGTTTCCCAATATTTAGGCATCGAGTATGAGTTAGACTGCACCATGTTGAACTATCAGGATATCTCAATCCCAACTTCATATCACAGGGCATGTTAGTCACTATTTTTGACGGGACCACCTCGTCAGGTGTGACGGTCGGTCCGACTCAACGCATATACTCATTCCTTATACCTCGATGGTGGTCTCAGCTTGGTAGTTCGATTTCAAGTGAATGATTCTCCTGATAACATATCGTTGCTGCTGCGATGTGACTCCTTGGACTCTGGTCTCTGTTTCAATTTAAACTCTTATAATATCAATTGCTTTCACACATCAGCGGTTTACATAAGAAACAAAGAATCAACGACTACAACAAGTAAACAACCTCGAGAGGGGTAAAATGAACAGTTCAAGCCGATCATCTTTGATGGTCAATCCAAGATAAACATCGGTAAAACGAATACGTCTGAAGGAAGAGATTATGGTGATCCTAGGTTCTTCTTTTTTGCGTCGCAACTATCAAGTTACTGATTTTATAAACCTCTCCTCGAAAACACAACTGTTGCATGTCCTACAATATTTCTGTAAAGCCATCTTCAAGTTCATTTGAATCCGTTGCGTTGTCCATACGCCTTGCTTGCATATTGTCCACCTATAACAATTACCTATGTGAAAGGGTGCATTAGTCAAAAGTCAAGCCAATGTCAACACCACCTTGGATTTTATCTTAGCAGATCAACTATCAACTCACATTTTGGGGTTCTTGGTCTTTCCCTTCAAAATGGTCTTCAAGAATCTTGCGGGTACCTTCTGCATAGCGAGCTTGAGCATCAAGGGTAGTACCTGAGTAATGAGCTGTCATCCCGTTTCCGGTCCCATGTGGGCTGGTTTCATCAAACCCGAGATATGTGTTTGTCATATTAGCACCTCCTGTTCTATAAGATCATGACTCAGACATTGAATTCGCGAACCTTTTCATCTTTCTCCAAGGATGATCCACCGGAGCAGGTTGTATTTCCCATACATCTCCTGCGTAGCCAGCTATATGACCAGACTCAAGCGCTGCAGCAACATCTTCTTTCACGGCCAAAGCTCCTCTGGCCGTGTTGACAATCCAAGCACCTTTTTTCATCCAGCTCAGGCTTTCTTTGTTCAAGATTCTGTTTTCCAAATCCGTAGTGGTCAGCCATGATGAGACGATAGATATGGTTCATATATGTCGCCTGAAAAAACTTATAACTTACCCTCGGGTTTCTTCGTGTAATGGACAATTAATTGTAAGGACGTCCAACTGACCCAGAAACTCTTTAAGATCTGTGACACGTCGCGCATTTACCTTCTTCTCCAGCTCAGGTTTTAGTGGTTGGTAGTCATAGTAGAGAAGCTCAGCGCAATCGAAGGGAGCAAGCCGTTGAAGGACTCTGTAGCCAATCCGCCCCGCACCCAGGGTTCCTACCACTTTTGATTCAAGATCGTACGCATTCGAAGCAACCTGAGATTTGAGAAGAGATGATACACATTTCAATTCTGAAGGATTCGATTCGACACTTGGTTTATTTATAACACTCACTTGCGCTACATTCCAACCGCCACTCGAGACTTGTTCGTGGGCAGGCATATAGTTCCTGACTAACGATAGGATCATCCTGAAACCATTCCGTGGGACTCAGCACGATGTGATGGAATGGAGATAATCAAAGGATGGGACATACATCACCACATGTTCGGCGACGGAGACTACATTACTTCCACTCACTTCTGTTACTGTGATCTTGCGTTCGTTGGCAGCGTTGAGGTCAATATGATCGGATCCCACTCCGGCCGTGATACAGAGCTTCAAGTTTTTTGCTTTTGAGATCATCTCTCGAGTCAAGTAAGCCGGGTGGAAGGGAGTGCTTCAAAGATGATTTCAAACAAGGAAAGGCAAAGTAAAGTAAGACATCGAGTATAATCTTCATTCCAAATCAAACAAAGCAAAGTGATTGAGGAACAGTGAGAGTGAAACTTCAAAGAACTGACGTGATTAGAATATCAGCGTCGACGATATGTTTGGCGAACTCAGAATCGGGACCTTCCTTATCATCCGTCACCTATCAAAAGATCGCGACCGATCAGAGTTTTGTTATATATATCAACTCAAAAATCTTGCCCTGCATAATGAAAGGGATTGGTCAATATTGAACGTCTTCAAACAAGCTTACCACTAACTCGTGTCCATTTTCTTTCAACCAATTCTCAATACCCAACTTTCGTTCAATCGTCCCCAACATCTTGGGCTCTCGCTTTGCATACTCTCCTCCACTATAGAGTACAGCAAGGATCTTTTGTTTTGAGATTGGCTGGATAGAAAAGCATGCAGAAAAGATGTAAGTAATTTATCTTTTATAAGTAGAGCTGATAATACCAATTACCATGCTGCTTTGGATATTCTGATTTAGTGAGGACAGAAGTTGTTTTTAGGATTACTCAAGTCTCAAGCAGGTACGATTATCGATATATATAGAAGTTAAGAACCCGAGCTCTCTACCGAAAGCTGTGTATTAATCAGCTTTATTGCGGTTACGCGCTACAGCTGATATCGCACCTGCTGCGAGAATAACCCTTCCGTTTAGACTATCTCAAGATGATGTCATGGAGGCGGGGAATAAGTTATTATATACACAATGATGGAGTGGGATGGACCATTTGACTTTATTCACAAATTGGAAGAACTGAACGCAATTCATGAGGATGATCATTTGCGTCCATTTAAACTTGGCTAAAGCCGTGGTCGGACAAGTCGCTCCCGCCGACTGAAGTGACAGGGACTTTTATAAGTGGCTCGTGAGTATTCGAAACTTGCAGGGCATATCTATCGGAAAACGAGTTTGGAGTGCAATCCTACCCAAGTACCCAGCTCATTTATTTCAAGGTTGTCTTCGGGTCTTGGATATCAAGTGCATGATATGAAGCCGTTCAAACAATAGACCAGGCGCAGATTCCCGGAGTTGTCGTTACCACAGCGTGTCCTTTTCTCGTTTTTCTCTTTTTTTCAAGTTCTCGTCTCAAAATCGGGTCATTTATCAATTTGAGACGCCGTGCACAGTCCGAATAGCAAAGGTTTCCCTTCCCTCGTGCCTCACATAGTTTGGGTGAGGCACGTCATCATTCATTCATCTATGACTTTATAATGATCCTCCCCCCATTTGTCCGCATTTCCATCGCAGAGTGACGAATTGAAAAAGTGAATTTCTATACACCACGGGAGTGTTTCGTGTCCAAATTTGGCCCGGCTCGGTCTGACGTTGGTCGAGTCCTCTGGCGGCCGCAGGACGCGCACGCAGACCGCTCATCGCCAGCCAGCGGGCGGTCTCTGCCTTTCATGACCACATGCACACAAGGACGTGCTGTGGGCGGCCCGTGAGCGGTTTGCAGGCCAGCCAAATGACACCGACCCCGTTAGCAAAATATTAACGGGGCCGATTGTGGTGCGCCTTCCAGTTCTGAAGCATGGAGTCACATCAACCCATTGATCCAAGGCATCATCGCAGACAGACCACTTCACCTCATTCATGACCACCGAAACCCCCACTTCAACTCCATGTAAGCCACCACGCTTCAAACAGAGAAGGTGAAGTAGCTCACCCATCCACCGTCTTGACTTGCAGACATCTTGTGTTTGACACAACACAAGAGACCGACAAAATATCGATGCACCGCGTGTGGTGGCCACCTCATGCGCGTCTACAACACCCACATCAACTCTCAATCCCATAAAAACACCGTCAGGCGCCTTGTAGCTCAACAACAAGCCGACGAAGCCCTCCGTCAGCAATATCAAACTCCCAAGAGATCAACAGAGCGGACTCCAACTCCACAGGCTGAGGAGCCTATTGATCCTCCGATATTGTACAAGGATGACGAGCCGCCCACACCCCCATCACCCATGTCATTCCTCCGCACCTTCGATCCAACTCGCGCTTCTGGCTTTGACTTTTTGGACAACCCCCAGGATGCAGATGAATCCGATCACGAGCTCGATTTACAACAGCTTCGCAATGCATTGGAGACTCTTGGCGATCTTGAGGAAGACTCCATTGAGCAACAAGAACTTGACGAGCAAGCTCTCCAAGATGATATCGCCGGAATAAAAATTCAGGATTCCATGATGTGGTACCCATTCAAAAAAAAGAGGTGTGTCCGATTATAAGAGTGTGTTACATAGTAACTGATGATGTTTGCACCTGAACCAGCATGTCATTGCTCTACTTCTCATAGGTTCCGCTCGCTCCCTCCTTTCCCGGTCTCAATACACAAGACATCGCACCATTCTACGTATTTGCAGCCTCAAACTTCCTGAGTGGGGTGTTTTGAGGGCTGTGAGTGTCCGATTGAAAAGACAAATGGGACTTCGACTCAATGAACGCCTCAGTCCTTCCGGCACTCCGTTGTTTGGTCTTGACGTAAAAACAATTGTGCAAAACGTGAGTGAACTGTGACCTACACTCATATATCCGGCACGCGCTGATATATATTGTTCATCTGTTTGGTAGGAGTTGGCCAATCCGTTGGTGAGGCCACACATGCAGTTTCTCCCCGAGCTCGATGATGGCCCCACCAACCGGTTCTCTCAGTGTAAGAAGTGGCGTGAGGGGTATTCGTCCGACCTCCGTGTGCAAATGATTGAATCAAACAGCATTCATTACTACATATACGAACCAGTCCAGCTTCGGTCTGAAGCCCTTGTGGTCCCGTTGTTTTTCTTTCAACACAACGGCCGGTCAATGGCGAAGTGCATACCTGCTGTGGTGGAACAAGAAGCGCAAGAGGCGATCCTGGACGAGGATGAGGCGGATGAATATTCATACCTCAAAGTGATAATCCCTGATGATTGTCCTTTTGATTCGGATCAACTGTTCACTATCGATTGTGACCAGTTTGCGAACACTTTTGACCAAATAACATTGGACGGTGGCCTATTGCTCAAGGATCTGTGTAGACCGTTTGTCTACTGTGAGTGACATGTTATACCCGCATTTTCGGCCCTACCTACACACATCCTAATCTTTGTTTGCCTTTCCAGATTCCCATTCGTTGGCCCAGCCGGCTCATCCAATTGAGAACCCATGGAGGGCCAGAGCGAAAGGCAAAGTGATCAGACACGTTCCTCTTACGCTTTATTCAGACGACACATCCGGCAATGTTTCCAAAAAATGGAATAAGCATATGAGCTTATATTTCACACTATCGGGTCTGCCTCCTCATTGGAGTAACCAAGAATTCAATCTTCACTTCTTGGCTACTTCCAACAGTGCCTCGGCCCTCGATTTACTGGACGAGGTGGTGGATAATATAAAGTTAGTTTTTCATTTTCATAATTCTTTCGTATGGTCGTATCATTGTTGATATGTGTTTTTCAGTGATCTTGCAACCAATGGTTGCGTGGCTTATGACCACTCTCTTGGCGCCGAGGTCCTGGCTATGGTGGTCGTCCTTTGCCACCTAGGCGACTCGCCGATGCATGCCGAGATTTCGAATACCCTTAACCCTGCCAATACCCTCACCCCATGCCGTATGTGTGATCTCAAGGTGGACCGCGCCAAGGACAAGATGACCGCCAAGTATGTATGAGACTTTGTACACATTGATGAAGAGGGAAACAAGGTATTACATTACTTATGTTTTAGCTTCCGGTTATATGCTAACTACGATTCTTAGTCACTCCTACCTGCTCGTCAGTGGTTGACAACCAACCTGAGGATTCGAGAGCTCTGGAGTATGGCAGCACGTCCTCACACAAAAAAACACCACGATGACCTAGCGCGTCAGTATGGCCTGCGAGACACGGTTAACAATTTTTTTTACACCAAGGCTCACGAAGCTCATGCGGCTCTTCCACCGGGCGAGGTGGCTACGCTACTGGATCAATTGAACAGCAAGGTGGGAGACCACCTATTCAATCCAATGTTAAGGCTCAAAGGTTTGTGATAGGGTATCACTGAGCTTTCAATTCGTTCTTGCTGACATGTGTTCTTAATAATGTAAGGCTTTGACGGGCATAAGGATACACCAGTGGAAGTTCTCCATGTGGTATTGTTGGGAATCACAAAGAATCTATTCCAGGACATCATGGACAGTATGGGCGTCATGAAGCCAGGTTCCAAAAAGTACAACGATCTTTCAGGCCGATGGCGCTCCTTTAATACCAAGGGGTTGAATGTTCCTCCAATTCAACCCAACACGCTCATTAACTTTTATCAGAGCCTTGTCGGCAAGGAATTCCGGACGGTCTTGCAAACGGTGCCTTTCGTCTTATTCGAACATCTCACCGAAGAAAAAAGGCATGTGTGGACGTCGTTGTGCCTGCTAGCGTCATATATATTTCAAACCAAAATTGAAGATATGAATCAATACCTCGCGGAGCTCGATATGGTCATTGACTCTTTCCTCAAACAGTTGCTGTCTTTGAACGCACGCTGGGTCAACAAACCAAAATTCCATATGTTATTGCACCTTCAAGAGTCGATTCGAAGGTTTGGACCAGCATGTCTCTTTGCTACCGAAAAATTTGAATCATTCAACGGCGTGCTACGGAATGCTTCTGTCCATTCAAATCACCTGGCTCCCGGCCGCGATATAGGGAATACCTTCCTCACCGCTCTGATGTTGCGTATCTTCTTATCCGGTTCTACCTTTTGGGACCGCGAATTGCAAGCCAGAGTTCTTCCGGGGCCTCTTCTGCGGGATCTGTTGTTATCAGTGCCTGAATTGCATCAGGCCCTGGGCCTCAGGCCCACCTCTGAAAAGGAACCAACGGTGGTCGTGGGCGGTGAGTGTTTTTATTTCCGACTTAATGTTTTAACCTTACAATTGACCTGGATTGGCCATAATGTCATATTGCACAGCGAAATCGAAACATCAGGCTCCACCTCCATTGTGCTTACGACCAGCCCCGGCCGCCCATCCCCTCCTGCAATACGAAAGTGTTACGTTAGCTTCGGGGCAAAAGGTGGAGGTTAATGATTTTGTAATGGTGTGTCTACATAACTCTTCTATGATTGATTTTGGGGCTGAGATGTATGTGGACAGCTCAATACAGATCGTGTATTCTGCCAAGTACAATCCATTTGGCGCCCTGAGAACCTGTCTGACAAGAAGGCTCAAATTGTTGTGAATATGTGTGTTAAAGGGCGACTGGTACCATTTTATGCAATGCGAGAAATGGTGTTGACTAACGATATGAAGTCAGTGAATGTCATGGTAAGCCACTCACCACATCACTTACACCTAATATCGATGGCTCATAATGTTGATGCGCGACAGGAACTTGACCGAGTGTTGAATGTTCAGCACAATTGCCATGAGGCTCATTGCGCAGTGGCCTCCACTCAAGCTATCATGATTGAGCGGAAAGCTTCGTCTAAGAAGCATTACACGATAAAGCACAAGGAGTTTAATTCCTATGTTATGAACTCTGCCGCGCACTACTCCGGCGAAATCCATCGTGAAGTTTTGGACTATAATTTCAATGAAGTCACTCCGGCTGATTGGAAGGATGCTATCGCCCGCGGGGTTGAGGCATGGAAAGCCGAGGGGGCTTGTCTTGCGCAAAGGGGCAAAAGGACGCGAGGTGAGGAGGCATAACGTGGGGAAATTTGGATGGTGAAGAACTTTTGATATGTACTTGGTAGATAATGACGTATATATGTGATATCCATGCTACCACTTGTTAAAAGTTCATTCAATGAAATTTTATCACAATATTTGAATAGATATTGTGCACTGCACAAAAGCGGTCAAAACGAGATTCTCAAACTCTCATTTTGTGAAATTTTTGAAAATATGAGAGGTGGCTAAGTGGGATTAATGCAAGGGGCACCGGCAGTTTGATGATGTGACCGATAGCTGTTGAAGCCATCCGTTATCATTACGAGGCACAAAGATACATGAATAACCAAACACAATTGAATCATATGCTTTGACACCACAGGAGATTAGGCATAACATCCTTAGAAATCGCATGCACAACATATGGTCTGATTGAGACATCCTTAATCCTTGATGATCTGTAAAATAGCATCACCGTGACGTTAGAACGGCACTCGCAAGGCCTGCGCGAGATGTGGCCGATACGTCCATTCAAAGGAGGCGTTGAAATCAAATGTATGCAATGAAAATAATCAATATCTACGTTTTGACATCCGGTAAGTAAATCAAAACGCACCTTTAGGATAACCTAATAAGGCTTGATGGTTGCACGGATCCAAGCCATCCGCGCACGAGTTTTCAACACATCGCGATGACCAGGCTATTTGCGGAAAGGATGCAAACCAAGTCAGCATGCATTCTTTTGGAACATATGGAACGTGATAAGCACCAACCTCTTGCTCAATGTACAAAGTGAGCTGCTCAAGCGCATCATGGGCATGTAAGGCCAGGTTGATCACCCCGAAGTAATGAACGCCTACAGAGCCTTTCATGATCGCCAGGGCCACCTGATCCGTCATTATTTGAACTACGTCGTTTTTGGCCGGTTTGGGTTTCATTAAATAACGCTCAGTGTGGGTGAGGTCTTCGATAAGTTGATTGACATTAACGATCCACGCATCGACGTCACGATTGTGCTCGTCCAACCTGGCAAAGCTGGATCGTACTGGGGTGATTCCGGCGGTTCAATCGAGCATTTGACGGACCCGTCGAATTTGGTATTCGTTGGCCTCTTGAATGCCTTTGTTGACGGCACGACGGACGGCGTCTCGGTAAAATGAATTGTTCCTAGTCGCAAGCCAGGCTTCATACTGTTCGTCTCGATGCTGGTCTGCTCGAGCACGCCTCTCTTCGTACAAAGTGAGACTGACGTTGTCGCCATCGGAGTGGTTATCATCCATATCATTGGATGAGGGAGACTGGTTGCCCTCCGGGAAATCGCTGAGAGGAGCTTCTACGACTTCAGAGGCTTCTTGTTCTGATTGTACGACATGATGACTAGTAACAGCTTGTGGTTCAATGGATTCCATTATATGAGGCGTGAGGTGTCAGATTCTAATGAGACCGGAAAGGAGATGAGGAAGAATATGGAAAGGTCTGATATGAGAAATGGAGCAGACGTTGGCAAATCGTTCGATGGCACTTGGCACAGTGCAGGTTAAATAGGAGAAAAGAGATCTCTTGGGTGACACGGCATTAATCGGCGGAGCCCACTGAGATTTACAAGATATCAGTGCATAAGGTTCGGTGGGTCATTCATATCGTTGCATTCACATCACATGACAAATTTGATTTCCTTGATATCCATCACGGTCATATGCGTGAGATGGAAAGCAACAAATGAAAGAAATACATCGATGTGGGGTTACCACCCAAACTACATATCATATTTTATAAAAAGGGAACCATAGTATGCTTCAGCATTGATAAGGAGGGTCATGCTGTCGCCATAGGGTATACCCCAAGAACAAAGTTTTTCGGCATGGATATGCTCAACAAACAAGAAGAAATGAAAGTTATTGATTCCATGAGCCATCAAAATGGGATGAATACGTGCGATTTCGGCCACCGTGAATTTTGCGTAGCGGAGGTATTCACCCAAGGTTGATTTCTGGATGAAGTGCTGAAGGGCAGTGTAATTGAGCACCCCCCCTATAATACTGACTGCCTTGATTTTGATATCTAAAACGCAAGGCGCTCAAGTCAATGAATAGCTCGCTCGAACAAAGGGTGGACCATACCAACCTGGCCTATACACTGATTCCATGTTGCTGTTGCTCCCATCCGTTGGCGGCGGAACTGGCAAGAATTCTGACCAAACCGAACCATGAGTACCACATCACATTCATAAGGGGCCAACAGTACGAACCAGGTGAAAGTGATCGATCCTCTTGATAATCTCCGCTCGGGGTTGAGGTGGTAAGGTTTGGAGAAGAACCGGCGGTGACATGTGATGGCGATGGCGGTTGGGAATCCGGCACTATGAAAGTGTTTGGATCCTCCTCCTCGCTTGGTGAAATCAAAATCAAGCAAGGTTGGCGACGTAATACCTCAATGCAGAGAAGCTGAGCTGAGCCCATCCTACTTACTAGATCATACGGCGTCGCCCGTCATAGGCCAAAGAGCGTCCTTGTAAGGTGTTCATTTTGGGAGCGGATGTCGAAGTTGTCCTAAGGTCAGAGAGGCTCAAAGCAGTGTAAGCACGATCGCAAGACCACAAGTAGCTCGGAACCACGGTCATTCCAACCATGCCGTGGGGCCTGTCAAGATGCGCAGCTCTCTTGCGTTGATTAGGTCTGGTCCACCAAACAAGACCCCCTGTGCTTCTTGCAAACCAACTCCGAATACCCCCCAACGGCAGCACCCAACCTCAACTTCATATTTTCTGATTATCATCACATCTTACTTCCTTCATTTCAACACCACCGTTAACAAATCTTCAACTTGCAGACCCGTGACTTATCTCATAGAATGAGTAAGTCCTGGCTTATTTTCATCATTCCACGCTTCCTATCATTTCTTCTCATTATCCATCGCGTGGCATTCAGGCAATAATCAAGTCCAACCAGGAGGCTCACCGAGCCTTGGCGGAAGTCAATCCTCAAACTCATTGTCAGGTTCATTGAGCAGCCTGAACAACCACAATGGGCTTTGTAATCTTGCTGGTGCAAATAGCGCTGCTCTTTTGCAAAACCTCCTTCCCCGACGTCTCAACCTGGGTTTTTTGACTTCAATGTCATTTTTTTCCTTCTTCTTGCTTTAAGGGCTTAACCGCGCCACCACTGAACGTGGTGGCGTGGCTCCCAGAACTGGCAGTCACACCCTTACGGGCTTGCGGGCTCCCTTGAGAGGCACGATGTCGCCTGGATTGCGTTCAGCGTCACGCACTCTCCGGGATCGATCTCGATCACCAGTGAGCCGGGGTAACACACCTCAACGAGGTGGGGCTATGTCTGCTGGCATTGGCCTCACCAACCGAGGTGCGGGAGAAGTTGGAGATCGACTCCAATCTCCCATACTTGGAGCATCCGCTTTGGAATTTTTTGAAGGTATAGCGGAATCGGCTGGATTGGATTCCGAACATGCCACAATGGCTCGCGCCCAATGCGAGGTGAGTTCTCTCTCCGTATTACACCTAATGACTTACACGGCTGATGTTATGAGTTATCACTAGATGGTGGCAGATAATTGTATGATAGCTGAAACCGTCATTAACGCGCGTATCTTGATGGAGATTACCAAGCTTTTGAATCAGGTTGAGGCAGTGTCCAACCTTGCCAATAAGGTGGAAGAATTGTCCAATTTGGCCGAGAAGGTCAATGATGCCAACACCCACCTCCACGATCTCACGGAGAGTGTTCAGCACTTGGGTACCTTGGTCTCCCCTGGGGCCGCGGCTCAGCCAGCTGTGCCAGTGGTACCGGTTGTGCCAGGACGTCCGATCCTGCGCAAACGCTGGACCGCGTCATCTGAACTCTTGGTGAGTTTTCTAAGTTCAGTAGGTTTCTTATTAAACCATGGCCATAGGCTGAAAGATCAACTTGGCAGAACTTAATCAACCCGATGGCGTTGAAGTTCCTAGGCAACCACGATTTTCACACGGTGAGTATCCGTTGTCACTGTTTGAGCTCACTCACTTATTGTTTCTATGATATGTTCCAGCTCTTGTCAGGAATTCACGATTCCAAGACTGGAGAAGTTTTCGACCAAGCCGTGCCCGATATCAAGACTTTGATGTTCCAAGTGAGTGGCATGCGCTCGGAGAGAGACACATGAAGGATGTCTGACTACCTTTTCTATCTCAGATTTCACAGACCTGTCATACCCTTGCAGGTCGTAACAAGGAAGCACTTTGGGTGGCGAGCACTTCTCACATGCGAGCCCGGGCGGCATATCTGGTACGACTCATTTTACTATCTGAATTATGAGTGGCACCTGAAAAGCGCTGTCTTTGTAGCGTCGCGAAGCAGCTCGCATCTATCAAAGAGGACAAGGTTCCAGCTCCATCTGGTCCAACGTCGATCAGCAGCTTGCGAGGCTCCGAGCTGGAGGCGCGGATTATACCCTGGCGTAAGTTCCTTCGACACCATCTTGGGCACGGCCTGTGTGGTTAAAAACTCTCGCCGTTTGTTAGGTTCTATGACCTTATCTATAATGAAGACAGCACGGCTTTCACTGGCGATACATTCTTTCACGAGTTGAGAGACGAGGTCGAGTTGCGATTGCCAGCTGAAGCCGACGTCATTGCCGCCGCTGAACAAGGTCCCGTTGCGCTCTTGGCAGCAGCAAATCCGGGAGTATGAGGAGGGTGTGATAATGTATCACAACCATGATTGATTAAAATTAAGTGCAGATGTTATGTATTTGGGTTTCCGTCTATATGATACTTCCTGAATACCATCATTCTTGTACCGTCAAAGAAAGTTGCAATGCGTGTGTGTCACCTTTTTAGGAGGTTCACGTCTCTGATATGTGAACCGCGAGAGCTCTTAGACAGGGTCGGGTCTTTGCATGCAAAGACCGAGGGCCCTCGGTCTTTTTTTTTGTTTCAAAAAAAACCCCATGGGCGGTCCAAGGACAGCATCCAGTCTGCATTTCGCTTGCCCATGGGCCGTTTTGGGTGACGGCCCTGAGGACGCCTACCAGGCCGCGGACGTGTGGACCATCTGTGGATGGCCCAACCTGTCGCAGCCAGTGGCCGCCTGTGGGCGGTCCGCAACGGCCGCCATGGGACGGTCCAGACCCCTCCGTGGTGTACCTACATCGTTTGTTGCTATTGAGATCGTCATTATGCGCGATAGCGCTAACTTAATTAAGTCCCTCTAGGTCGAGCGAGTACGTCGAGAGAGGGACTTTTGGGCCATGGCTTAATACATGGTTTTGGGCGTGTGGGCCAATTTTTTTTGGCTGGGGAGCTCTTCAACCCTCAATAATTCCGTCCCCTGCCAATAAAGATCTTCTATACCAAGGAGAGGCCTTGTGCGCCTGCTTACTCTACACACATCAATGTAGCTTGCTTCTTAGCTGTTATGTAAGTACATCTATTGCAGAGTAATGAGAGGGCGGAGTTTGCAAAAAACACCACAATTCCTGAGAAAGCTGTCCAACATGTCAAATCCTCACACCAGGCAAGCTGGATTGTTACACAGAGCCCAATTTTTTATGACTGGTTTCTAGCGCTTTCTTAAACCTAAGAGAGAATCTTGAAAGACCCAACATATGTAGGTTGAGCAGGCACATCAAGCCTTTCTTGGGTGCAGAGGATTTTATTTGCAGGGGACGGAGATATTGAGGGTTGAAGAAGTCCCCAGTCAATTTTTTTTGGCTTCCACCAAAAATCATGTATAAGCCACAAGTCCCTCTCTTACTTGTGTGTCGACTCCAAGAGGGACTTGGTTGAGTTAGGCAATAGCACAAAAGTTGAATCTTCACCTTTTGAAAGTTGTTTGTAGTGCACATCTTCCCCATCTTAGACAACTTTCAAAAAATTGAGAACACTAAGGGCTATGGGATCGAGGGGTGCATGTGCAGCCATAGTTCTGTGAAAGGTGTTGGATTGGAATAACATGTTGTCCTTTCTTCCAACCTTCCTTGCCCAGAAAGCTCTTCAATTAAGCTACATCAATTGTTTTGTATCTATAAGAACCATTCCCAATAAACCCTAGTATGTTTACCACTAGCATAGAGGGAGAAAAATCAAAGAGGGATTGGTGTGAGGCAGAGAAAATGACCAGATCATGACAAATTTTTGGTAATTGGAACTTATCAAGGATTCAAGCACAACCTTTCAGGTGGTGGGTACAGCTTTTTCAAAATCTGGTGCACCAGTGCACAGAAATTTGACCCAAAATTTTGCCTTCCACCCTCTGTGCAAGGGGTGCATTGCACCCTCTCTTGAAATATTACCATTTTTGACTTGAGCTAATTGAAAACATTCAATATCTTATGAAATGTGTGTACATAGATCTGCTTTTGATTTTATACAAAACAGCAAGTGGAGTACACTAATAGTTTCAAGTGAAGAGATTGTCAGGACTCCAGGCTGCATCAGGGCTGTCTGGAATAACAACCACATTGGTCTTTTGAGGGGTACAAGATGGCTGACTCTACTCAAACTCTTGGAAATCGAGAAATGAGGCAATGAATCCACTCTCATTGGATCAATGGAATCCATCTGCACAAAAACTACATCTTAATAAATCACTGGTTCCTTTGCCATAACAAATTTATGATTAAATCCCACCTAATTCTTCTTCCCCCGGGGACATAGGGTACCTCATTCCCTTACACCTCCTGCATCACCCATTCACAGCCTCCAGGTTCACAAGCTGCTACATACCATCTGTTAATCAATATATGTATAGGGTCAATCAAGAAAAATCAAAAAATTATATCATTATTAGAAGAATTGAAGTTTTTAGGGCAAAATTGGGTTTTTTCATATTTTTATTATTTCATTGTCCAGAAATTATAAATTAATCTCATGTAATCATCAATTATGTAAATTATAGTGATTCAATTTAAAAATAGTTGAACATTATCAGAAGAAAGAAAGAGAAAGAAATGTATAAAAAAGTCAAAAATATGGTATGAGAGTTGGAAAATGGTTTTTGGGTTATTAGTATGGGATTTAAAGGTGCAAGAAGGTTTGATTATTACAGAGGAAGGTCACATTAGTCATCAAAAACCTTAATCATGAGAATTGTCAAGGGAGGAGTGAAGTTCTTCAAGAAAGAGGAAAATTCAAGGATGGTAAACAAGGGTACTACAGGATTAATTCCTGTGTAGTGCTGTCATTGTGGGATTTATGACACCAAAAAATTTTCAGATTGGTTTTATAGTTATTCTTATGATTGGATTGATTCACGATGATCTCATGATAGAAGAGAAATCAATATTAGATGAGAACAGTGCTGAAAATGATCAAAATCCATTGAAATTGAAGGTTGTCAGCTAATTACATATGTCAAAACTTGTCAGATCAGGATGAGTCATAGTTCATTTGAGGCGGAATAATTTGTTTCATAATGTACAACATTCAAATCAATATCAACAGAGGTTTAGTGAAAAAGTTATGAGGAAACAAAAGAAATGGTGTGAATCTTGAATTTTGCGTTTACATATACACATGTACAAGTAGACCCAGAAAGTATACATCACCCTGTGGTGATCTTTTGGCCCCAAGGGTGTTATATCTTTTCCGTGTTGTACAGCTATTTTATTTTATGTTGGTCATCAAGAAAAAATGAAAAGTTCAAATGGGAGTTTTTAACTGGATTCAAACACAGCAACCACTGTATTGTTCAATTGATCAGTTTCACAGCTTTAATCACGGCAAACATCAATAATAATGACATCATAAGGTTAAATCAGAGAGATTTTGTTGGTTTTTGACGGTTTTTGTTGATTTTTGAAGTTGTTAATCGTTGTATTGGTGTTATATATTATCAAATGGAGGATTTGAGTGTTGTTGTTTCCAGTTTTTCTTTATCATTTACAACATTATCAATTTGTTTATCTTTGTAAACTTATTTAATAGTACCTGGTCACTTAAATACACCCTTTATTATTGCTATAAAGAGAAATTCACCTTAGTGTTGTAGTGTTTTGACTTATAAAGTCTTTTGGGAATAATATCAAAAGGATATTGCACTATTTTCTGTTAGTTATCAGACTGGAATAACACTATAAGTGTTGAGAGTTAATTCAAATTGTGCTTTTTTCATATAAAAACCATGCCTTTAGTCCTTTGAGAGTCAAATCAAGTGGCTTTTCTCTTTTGATACTTATAAATACTCACTTCAACACAGTTCCCCTTTTTGATTTTCTTGTTTTAGGAGGGTAGTCTTTAGACATCTTCTACTAGTCTTTATTTGGTAGATTATCCCCTTCACGCTCTGTATAACTGTCAGCCCTGAGCCCTGATTACAGGACCACAGGCTAACAGTACCACATGTAATATTATATTATTGTATAAATCCATAAGTAGATCTCAGTCTCAGTGTCAAGAGCCACATAAAAACATGTGCATAATGTATTGAATATGTAACAAACCTAACCCAAACGTCAACCACAAGTGAGACAAGAATCACACAGAATCACACGCCAACCACAAGATGACACTTGACCCGTGAATATATAAACCTCCCTTCTTCCCTTGATTCATCCCTCATCTTTTAACGCATCACAACATCAGAATCACTTTATACTCAAAATCCTCTTAAGGAGATCCTTGAGTATGTGATTAGTTGTGTAGTCTAAAGACCAAAGTTGAGCATTACGGGTTCTATTACTGGGCACCCTGGTATTGATTCCTATGAGCCTTGGGCCATCATATCCTCTGCAAATGAACCATAAATCAGCAAAGATTCCTCCCTTACCCGGAGTCTAAAGTAGCCTTCAGGATCTTTGGCTTGCCAAAGTGTAAAGCCTGCCCCTTGCAGTCTCACAAGTTAGTGAGACGATTTGAGAACAATAGGGCTTTATTGCAGCAAATAAAAATACCACAAAATAGAAGTTAAACAACTAAACAAGAATAAATCAGCATTTATTAATATCATAAGAGATTAGCAGGATTCATTTTATACCTAAACAAGATCAACACAGGTATAACTTGGTGATGAGTAACACACACAGGATTATACAAGATTCCTGCTAAGTCTTTATTATAAGAGAAACATTAATATTTTGATATTCTTTTTGTCACTTCAATAAGTCATTCATTATTCACCTTTATACTTTGGCTAGGTAGACGGCTCCTCCTGGGTTTGTATACTATCAACGAGATGGGTGTTGTGGTGATCAAAAGTTGTTATAAAGATTTATTATAGAATGATTGAAGAGTTTTTAGAGAAAGAGATAAATCAATAACTGATGGAAAAGGAAATTGAATTTGTCAGAGAAACTTGAGAAACAACACCATGAGCGTATCACACGTAACACCACGCACAACACTAACACTATTTGAAATATACAAAATTAGAGAACCATGGAATGTTCTATAACATTTCCATCATTAGTAAAAGTATTAGAAATCTTGATTATAATGACAACCTTCTTTTACATAATTATTTAGTAAGAAGGTTGATTTCAAAATGCAACAGTGAGAGTGTACTATCTTTGTACTACACCAGGCAGGGGAGGCTCTCTCCCTTTTCCCTTCCTCACATTGAATTTTTGTTATCAAACCCCACCACATTTCCCTGCTCTATCCTACCAAGCTGTTAAGTTCCTCACCTGTCATCAACCTCATCTTATGTATGGGAATTCCACCCCCTATTTTGGAGATTCTTTGGCGCACCTT